CATGTGCACGATCAAATACCTCGATGTCATATTTCAGCAACTGACTTGGTCGGATCTGCCTCAACAAGATGTCCCTTAACACAGCATCATCGGGAGTGACAGCCATGCCAGCTAGGGTAGCATCCCACTTGTTGATGAATCTTCGGAGATCCTGGACAGTATCGCCTACTTTGACAACACCCAAAAGATCTTCTACTCTGTAAAGGCTACCTGCTTCTTCTGATGTCTTGAAGAAGTCCTCAAACATGAGCAGAACATACCTTCCCCTGACCTGGATGCCTTTTCGGGATTGCTGCTCTTTGAAATTCAAGATCCTAGTTGCGAGGTCCCCTCCGGCTGAGCGCGTGAGCGCTGCTGATAACTTTGTATCCAGCGTGAGGAACTTTCCAGGATCTTGGAGTCTCTTCTCCAACTGCTCTCTGGTGCACTCTTGATCGTACACCTCGTTGAGCCAGAGCCATGCCTCATCCGGGCGATCTGAACAGCTTTTCACTTCATCCCTGACATGATTCTTCCAAGTCCTATACAACTCCGGAGCGGGCATGTTGTTCAACTTGATGATTTCGGCCTCCTTAGTTTTTGGCTTATCCTTTTCTTCCCTTTGGGTTAAGGCTTTTACCAATTCAATAAGATCTGAGGGACCCATCATTTGCTGTTGCTTGGTTACGCTCTTAGGAGAGTCATTTGGGGGAGTTTTGATAGCTTCAGTGGGAGTGAAAAACCCTGACTGCGTTGGCAATTGAGGCTGGTCGTTGCCGACGGCCGGCTTTTGCTTGGGACTGCCACCTTTGAGCAGCTCATCCAACTTGGCTTTTGCTTCTTGTGCCAACACTGCAGGCGTTTTCAACTCATGGATCGGCTCATCACTGCCTTTGGCAGCCTGTGCATCGGATGCTTTGGGAGTGGCAATATTGAAGTGGGGCACGCTAGTGGTAGCGGCCGGCTCAGCGTTCTGGACGGATGCTTTCGGAACGGAGGCATGCTGCGCTTTGGCAACATGCTTTAACTGCTCCTGAAGGTCATCGATTTGGTCCTGAAGGCTAAGGTTCTGAGCCGCTGCCTCGTTGATCTTGTCGGCCATCTCCTTCTTGTAGTTCTCGAACTCAGTCCTCAAACTGATGGACCTGGCCTGATCGATTGCAGCCTGATCTTCATATTGCTTCTTCGTGGCAGCTATGGCATTCTTTGCATGTTCAACTGTCTGTGCATAGGAAGCTTCGAATTCACTAGTGATACGTTGCCTTTCCTCTGCAATTTTCTGATCATGCTTTGTGTTTGCCTCTGCCTTGAAATCCTCTACTCTTTTGTCATGCGATGCCTGAGCCTGATTTAACCTGACCTCTAACTCGTCGCCTCGTTTCCTTTCCTCGTTGACGGCACTGATGGCCTTACCTTCAACCTCCTGCAACCTTTGCTCATACTCCTGCTCCTGCATTACGAGTCTACTTGACCATTCGTTTCGAATTGAGTCAACTACTCCATGCATTATCTGAAGGTGCCTCTGTTCAGCTTCCCTCATGACTTGCAGGGTGTTCCCACTGGTGATTTGGGAAAGGTTGTTTTGTATGAAGGTGAAGTACGCTACAACGGGTTGGAACATTGTTTCGTCATCCATCGGCTCGGGGTTGCCCCCGGCCACATTGGGCACGGCGACGGCCGATGGACCTGACCCTGGAACGGCGAGAGGAAGGTCAGTTGGGGTCCCCATAGCAAAGTAGTGAGACTACGGCTGATAACCTGTATTTTACAAGGTCAGCCACCAATGTTACTTACAATGGGGGTGAACCACAAAACCGCTAAGCACTCAGCTCTTTTGAACCAACGCTACAGAGTAGTACGATGATATGTACAATACATGGTTTTACTGCAGGAGTTTTTACACTATGGGATAATTATGGTTATTATGGGATAATTATGGGATAATTATGAACAGCTATGGGATTTATTATGCGAATGTTCAATGCGATTGGGTTGGAAACAAGTGCCCCTGCTAAACTTGCATATGGGAAAAAAAGAATCTGACAATCTTTGGGATTTTCACTATCACAAGTTAGGATACATCATGATACAACCCCTCTGACTATGGTTCTATAACCACGTCACTTATTAGTGGAAGTGCACCCCCCCCCAAGTAGGGAAAGGTCACCTTATAAGTCAGGTCCCCATTGCTAGACTAAACATCCACGTATGAAATCAATGAACTCGTTTGCAATAGAAAGCGACAGTTTCCCCATCTGGGACACTTGGGTGCAGCTGACTGCGTTTTCTTTTACCTCCATGTTGTAACTTGGTGCTTGAGAAGTTACTATTCAGCTCTAAGCTGTCAAAACTAGTTCCAAAGTTGGTGTATAAATCTTGTAAATCCATCCAACTGCAAATATACTGCAAAACTATATAGCAAATATATATATATAAATAATATATATATATAATATTATATAATATATATATATATACATAGTGACCTCTCAGGAATCCCATGGAAAATCACTTCCCGACGCCTAGGCCTGGCTCTCACCGCCTCAGTGACTCTTGGCTCTTTTTTTTTTTGGAACGTCCAACAACGACCAACTGAACATGGTAAGCTGGTGGTTGAGCCCTACCCCTCTGAAAAATATGAGTTCGTCAGTTGGGATGATGAAATTCCCAACTGAATGCACAAAAAATAAAATGTTCCAGAAAAAACAACCAGTATATATGTTAACCAACTCTTGTATCCACTAATCACATGTAATAACTATAGCTGGTGTATGCTGGTGTACCATATCATATATATAGCTATATGATACTGTAATAACATACAAATGTAGTAAACCAACGATAGTCATTCATTATTGTCTTCCGAATGCACCAAGTATCAAGTATCTGTTTAGGGAAATTGTTGAGGATCTTTATACCTCAACCTCTCTCTTTAGTTCCAAATCGAATCTATGGATCAGAAGATATGGACCATAGATTTGAAGCCTCTTTCCATACCTGGTCCATCCTGTGTCCTCAAAAATGGCTTGCTAGAGAATTCCTCATTTAGTTCGATGATTCTACCATCTAAGCTAAATAATTAGCCATTTATAGGGGATTTCCATGGATTTCCACTTGCCATGTTTGATTACGGGAGGGTACGCATCAAGATACTGTCAAATTATTCACAGACTGCGCCATATTCACTCACCACCAATACATCACCTGCATGATGGCTTCCCACTTTTGCAGGACGGACTGGCGGACTGGCGGACTGGCTTCCCACCTATTTAGCAACCAAAACTCTTCGTATCCATAAGATGATCTGACCACCATCCCTGAGAGAGGTATTTCTATATTTGCTTTGCAAGCTGTTGGATTTCTCCCACAGCTGTATAAAACCACTACGGAAAGAAACACCTACTGTATTTGTTTTGTATATTTCCAAGTGTTAAAAGGAAACACAGACTAATCCAAGTATCTATACCCAAGTCTGATCCCATCTGCCCAAACGCTCACCGTGTTCCAAAGCGCCTTGTCAGCTGAAGTGGCCGTGTCGGCTTCCGCCGGAGAACTGGCACCTGGGAAAGCAGGATTTAGCTGGACAACATCATTTCCCATCTTTTTCCCCCAAACAAAAAACATAAATTGGAGGTAAATCCCTGGGTAAATCCATCATTGTCAAACAAACCCAAATATCATTTTGTTGTTCTGTTCCATGATATCACTTAATAAAATGTTGATTGTATAACCGCATTTTGCTGGATAAATCATCAATTTTCTGATAAACCATCAATAATTGTCACGTATATACTTGTTAAATCGCAATCTTTTTGTTTGTGACAAAAAATACATCAGACCGGGAGTATTCACCATTCTGTATCAATTGTCCATGATTCATAGGTTTAAACACATTTTTGTCGATGGGCAAATCCTCATTTCTTGATAGCTAGCTTCCCAATTTCTGATGCTCAAATCCACATTTGTTGCTGCTTAAATGCCATTTTTTGTTGATGAATTAACATCATTAGTTGTTAATTCTATCATGTTCTATCATCTTCAATCCCATATAAGCGCTGCCAGGCGCTCCCCACGTGGCGTTTGCGAAGTGCTTCGACTCGCAGCACGGGGCGCAGCCGACGGCGACGCCGGCGACGCTGGGGTCGGGGTGGCACCTGCGAGGGTGAATACCTGACCAATTTGTGGGACTTTCAAGTTGGAAAAATCCTAGACATGAATTTTGATGGATTCTGCTACCGATTGTGATGGTGATGATGATGATGATGTTGATGATGATGATTAATCAAGTTGTTGATGTCTGAAAATAGGAAACCCACCCAAAAAATGATGGTTAATCATCGTATCATCATTGTGCGTATGCCCAAATTGGGGGTGGACCTCATTTTTTCAGACACACCCAGTTTGATGGATTTTGGGGATATTGGACAAAATATGGTGATTTGATCAGAAACAAATCTGGGCTGAGTGATAAATTACAGGAAAACTCGGTTTCTAGCCTTGAATCCGGTTTCTTTACACTGTTCCCTTCAACTCATTCAGTTGATGCGTTCAACTTGTGTAATTATATATATACACACATGAACTGACAGACCAGCTGCCAAGCAGGTCAGGTCTGCGAATGTACGCAGCACAGCACACCTTTTCAACACCGCCGATGGTTGCGGAAGTAAACCCTGCTGATGCTGTGTGAATGATCTGCGAGTTTACAGTTTGGTCCTTTTGGGTCATTGATGACAACTGATATCTTTTTCATAACGGGGAAAATGGGTCATATACAATCGCATATTAGGAGGTTTCCATACATGGGGGGGGGATACCCCCTCAAATAGTCTAAGATAACATCCACCTTATGAAGAAACATACGTAATACCTGCAAAGAAGTCCAAGAATTGTTCCTCAAAACAACCTAGGAAACATACATAAACCATCCATTGTTGGGGTACCACTTGGAAACCCCTAGCCATGTTGAAACGAGCAACTCCGCTGAAAAAAAACATCAGGTGAGGCTCCGCCGCTTGGAGTCAGGCAGCAGGTAGCCAAGGTCTAGGCAGAAAGCACAACCCCTCTTAGGTTCCTGGAAATGACATGGTTCAACCTGAAAATTGTGGTTTTTATTTTTTTTTGATGGCAATTTTATGATATATAACAGTCCCTCAAAAGCTGGTGATTTATGTTAATTTTACAGTAGATGTTTTATGATGATTTCAATTCTCTTTTCCAACGATTCTTAGCAAATTCTTGGGGATTTGGGATGATTTTGATGGAGAGACATAGGGAGAGAACCAATCTTTGGATCTTTACACCATTTGGGGAATGAAACTGCCATGTCTATCGCGGAAAAAGAACACCGTGGTGCCTAAACAGAACGTTTGCCCACGAAAACCACTGTAATTCTTAAGGAGTGACGAGCAAAATCTGCATGGGAAACAGGAGGTCTTGGGATTTACTTGTTCAAAGTTGGGTGTGGAGAGCTGCAGGGGTTTGGTGGCTTTTGTATGTCTACATTGTTTCAAGGTTTTTTGCATAGCTTTTTGGACGTGTCAGCCTGGTAAAGTGAAAATCGTGGATTCACCAGAAACATCCTAAGACATCCTGAAAGATCCTAAGGTCATGTCCTTTTTTTAATACACAAAGGATATCACATATGTATATAATATATATATAATAATCCAAAAACAATAATAAATAATAATAATAAAATACTAATAATAATAAACATAATAACAATAATAATAAATGATAAATGATAAATAATAATAATAAATGAAAATTAAAAAACAAACATAAAAAATTATCATTAATACATTATAATAGCTAATAAATAGTAATAATGATAAATAATAATCATAATAATAAACATAATAACAATAATAATAAATAATTACTGTAATTAATAATCAAAAATAAATAAATAATAAATAAATAGTAAAAATAAAACTAATAATAAATAATAAATAATAATAAATAATAAATAATAATAATACTACTAATAATAATAATCAATGATAATAATAATTCATAATAACAATAATTATATATATAATAAGGAATAAAAAAATAATTAATAATGATTCATAATTATATATATAATTGTATATATAATATTGAAATATTAGATATGAGAATGGTAATCCTTTTCAGAGAGATTCTCAATGATTCTCATAATGAGAATCATTGAGAATCTCTCTGAAAAGGATTACCATTTGCCGCTCCAATCTTCCAATCCCAAGTGTCCCAACTTCCCAGGAGTCCGCCACACTTCGCTCCTGAGACAGCCTGGCTGCAAGGATTGTCTGATTGTCAATGTATGTCAATGTTATGTTATGTTTGTAAAAAAAAAAACATGGAAAGCACAGTTTGGAAAAAAAACACATTCTGTGAAGAGGTTATTTGGTTCCTCATAATATGTCGTTCCTTTGTGTTCTCCCACTTTTCTTTTAGAATATGGGAATTCTGAAGGGTCAGTGTGAGTGTATTAGTATAGGCCCAGTGAATACCATCTCAGAGTCAGAGGGTCTGAAGCGGCAAGAAACTCGCGTTTTCTGGACGCCCACACGGTACGTGTAGCTTTGCCACTTGACACGTAACGAGGTTACGTTTTTTTCCGCTTTCCATACAATGTGAGGCCCCAAGATAGCGTTCAGTTGGTTTATAACTCCAATAACTATGGTTAATGGTCTTATAACTATAGTTACTGGGGTTTATAAACCAAGAAACATAACTGGGGGGCCTCACATAGCTTTCCCACAGCGAACGCTGCTGTCCATGATCGCTCCATGGTTCCCACAGCGCCTCCAAGGCTTTTTGCTGTCGCTCCTTCTTCTTCTGCTCCCTGTCGCGACTCCGAAAAAAAATTGGGGTCCCGTTGAGGTCCCGTGGTCCGTGCGTTAAACAAAAAGTATCAGATGTGATTGGATTGGTTTAAGGGAAAATTTACAGGAAACCATAGATTTTCCTATTAAATATGGGGTTTTCCTGTAGATTTTCCCTTAAACCAATCCATTGAAGATGGGCCAGATGGGTGTGCGACGATATTCTGAATGAATAAAAATCTTTGGATGTAGAGAAACACCAAGAAGAGGGTTGGCCACGGAACCAAGATGGGCAACCCGTCAACATCAATGATAGTTTAGAGTTTAGAGGTCAAGAAAGCTGCGCTCTTCAGGTCACCTCCTGAAAGAAACTATCGATCCCTGGGTCTCCTTCAATAGCTTAAGCTAAGGCAAACAATTCCAGCAACGGACCAGGGAGGAGTCGAGCCCCAACAGGTTGTCAGGGCAACTGGTTCTATCCATCCCTTTGCATATAGATAAACCATGATAAACCAGATAAACTCAAAACGGTCCCTGGCTTCCTGTGTGAGTTCCTAACATTACCTTGAGTGATTGAATAGTGTGGTTCCGGGATGTTCCGGGCACCTCCTGAAGTGACCAATGATGAATCACGACACTTGGAGGTTGTTTTCTGGAACTCAGCGGGGATAGAAATGGAGGCTCCTTCACCACGATTTGGGAGAGCTGGGGGTTACCGAGCCTTTCTTGCAAGATCTTTTTCCGTTCCTTGCGGAAGTCGAAGCGGATGGAAATCCTTTTAGTGATGCTGATGGTGGTAGTATCCAAGCCTGGTGTGGTACTTTTGACCCAATCAAAATCCAATCTGTGGGTATAGTGTGCCCCTGCGCGGATGACATGAGAGTGAGTTGAATGCTTGAGGGCCCTTTTGAGGATATAAACTCCTATAATATGGAAGTTTCCTAAATTGGGGGTACCCCCAAATCATCCAAGTCATTGGACCATTTGAATATTGAAAACCATGGTTTTGGGGGATCCCCCATTTCGAGAAACCCCCATATTGTTTCAACATGTTTCAACATTGTTTACACTCAACAGTGAGTGCCTACCACGAAACATGACCGAATTTGTGGGTTTGGACTCAGAAAGCTCTTGCTGAGCCATACCAAAACAAAACCAACTATGTAGTTGATTGTTAGTAGTTTCCATCCATCCAAGGATGATGAAAGTCACTAGTCAGCTAAAGGATAATCTTTCCAAATCGTCACATCAAAGCTTTAAACATCCACCAGGTCATACCAGGTCACAATACCATCTGGTTGGTGGTTTGAACCCCTCTGAAAAATATGAGTTCGTCAGTTGGGATTATGAAATTCCCAACATATGGAAAGTCATAAAAATCATGTTCCAAACCACCAACCAGCCATCATCATTAACAATCATTAATCACCATTACTATCTATGGATATTAACCATCTATTAGCTGTTAAATTGACTTTTGGCTTTGTTGAACATGCATTCAACTGCTGGGTACCTCCAATTTATTAACGGAGTTCGCGGAGCGTCCTCGGTCCACTCGGCAGCCTTCGCCTTGCGACGCTCTCTCCGTGCCTGAGCAACGGAGAAGTGGGGAACGATTCAGCAATAACAACAGTGGACAACCAACCATTTTACGGTGATATAATCAGATTTATAACCAAAATATGTTATAGCCCCAAATGGTCAATTTGATGTCATCTGCAACGCATTTTGATGATGTTTGGGTGTCTCTGAGTCTGAAAATCTGTTGCCCCAAATGGCCATTTGTTTTTTGGGAAAATTATGATTAAAAAAAGAAGTGGATGGAATGGGGTACCATGTTTTCAAGCAACCATTTGTATTCTTCATTTGGTTCCAGTGGATCAATCCAATCTACAGAATGAAGATGTGATTTTTCGATCACATGACATCAATGCAGGTGTTTTTGCCCTGCCAAGTCTTGATTTATAGAATCAAGAGGAAAAACTCCTCATCCTACGCAGTTTATGTACACCTCCTGGACCCAAAAATCGATCATAACATACTCGGCCAACCATCCAAGCCACTTTGTCAACATGACCTCTGGGCACATGATCGTAACTCACGAACTTTTCATTTATGTTGGCAAAATTGTTTGGCTACAGTGGAACCATTCCCCCATGATTCCAGTCACAGTCTATACCCAAACGGCCTCAGAGCTCTCAGCCGAGGCACCTTGATGATGCGCTGAAGATAGAGGAAGCGCTCGTCGAAGATTCGCACACGGTCCTGGATCCAGATGATCCAGGAGCGATGGATCTTGAAGGGAACCATACATCATGCTGGCTGCTGGTGTTTAATAGTGTTTGCAATACAACGAACATCAATACATCAATGAAAATCACCACTTTGTCCACTTTCATTGGCAAATCTCTATAAATCTACAATGTTCATCCATTTTCCAGTTCGCAAACTGTCAAATCTCCAGAGTTTGCTGTTGAAAACCTCAGTTTCCATTTCAGAAAACTCCAGCCCCCGCGGAAAAATCGGCCTTGGATCTCGACTGGATCTGCAGTTCGAAGGGCAAAGGCGGCTTGTGATCCCACCACCTGGGCTGGACATAGCAGCTATGACCCAACTGACAGTTCTCAACGGGATTATCATGATATTTAACTAATATCAACTAATAGTTATAGGAGCTATATGGAGTTATAATCCAATTTACAACTGTTCAGGGCCGTAACTGTGGAAAATCACCATTTCCAACTCGGTAAATCGGCAAATCGTCGAAGTACATGATGATACATGGACGATTGTCTGTGAAATTCCCGGCGGGTACACCCACCCCCCCAGTTCCGGCGGAATTCCTAACAATGGAGCATGATGATCAACCAGTGGTTGAAGGGATTTTCCGTGGGAAAATCGGAGACTTTTCTGGGTCTCCATGGCAGATCCAACAAGAAGTTGCCATGGGCTCATGGACCAATCCCTGCAACAACTACCGTTTGTAGAAGATGTTCACTTTTTGCCATGTTTTCTCTTGCCATGTTTGATTAACAAAGGGTTTTTTCAATACCTGGTAAAATCAACATGCAACCTGAAAACTGGTTTTGAACATGTTTCTGGGTAAATTAAAATATTTCACTAACCTGAATTAAGGCCATTTGGGGATGATTTCCCTTACTAACTATGGTTTCCAGTGAGGGAGAACAGTGAGGTCGTTATAATTTACCCAGATGTTTGAACGGTTCAACGGTAGCCTCTTGGGCATCTTGATGTTGGATCCGTTCGGTTGAAATCATGATGAACATCGACCGGTTGAATCAACAGCATCAACGAGTAGAACTTATAGCAATGACTACCAAGATGTGAACGTATTTGTTACCCTCTGGTAAACTAACATAACTATTGAAAGATCCACCATTTTTAATGGGTAAATCAACTATTTCTATGGCTATTTTCAATAGCTATGTTAAATTACCAGAGGGTATTCACTGTCATGCAAAAGACATACAATGTTCAATTGTTGTTCACTGTCATAACGTATTAAGAATGAATACATATGACTACTCAATGTTCAAACAATAGCACTATTCTGCACGATCAATACCAATAATCAATAGATATCAATAGATCCACAGATTCACAATCATTTCTCAGGACACTGATTAAGACAAGCTAGACATTGTTTGCTGGTTACCCCAGGGTACACTAACATAGATGTGGAACATCAACAATTTGTAGACTATTTTCCTGGGGGTTCCCCATGGGTTTTCCACATCTGTGTTATATAGCTATATAGGGTGTAAGGAATTGGGCATTCTTCCCAACACACATATTATAATATATTATAATCCATTATAATCCCCATCTTGTTGAATGGCTAAAACATGTTAAAACATAAAACATGTTAAAACATAAAACATGTTCAAACATCTTAAAACCATCAACATATAGTGGTGAATTATGCTAAATCCATGTGAATCCCGGTTTACCCTGAGAGCGGCACAGCACGCGCCGGGCCGTGTACTCTGGCAGAGGCACCTGGGCTCGGCTCGGCTCTGATCATATGGGTGTGTCTGAACATAGGAGATGCCTCAACATGGCTGTTTTAATGTAATTAATGAGAACATGATGATGAACCCATGGATTTAGGGGTACACATTTTCTCAGGAAGTATCCATATGGATGGATGACATGATCAATAACATGACTAAGAGATAATCATTACTTATACACATATTCTGATATTCATGATTGCCCATCATATCTGATCATAAACTGAACTATAACATGACAAAGAAATACAAAGAACATTAATAAATCATGGAAAATTGTGACGTCGAAATGATGGACAAGTCCATGGGATATCGCCTCGCCAAATCTAACGGATTCCGTCACCGTGGTGGATGTAGGGAATGAAACCAGATGAGTTTTGGACCAAAGAATCGGGGTGTCAGGATATGTCGGATATGTCAAGAATAGGGGGATGGGATTATGTTATATATCCTATAGATTCAGATAGATTCAGTAAATCTGGATGAAGAAGATTTTACATCCTATAGTCCCAAAAACCATGTCCAATCAATAGTAAGTGGAATCATCGGATTAGTAGCGATCTACCCATAGGATCCATGGTGCTGGTATATATGCTAACATTGGGGGTATGTTGATGGTAAATGTTACCATATATAGCATACATGGATCCTATGGGCTATGCATCTATCAAATTATCAAGATTGGTACCTTCCCACCATCTTCCTACAGCGCTCCGCCCGCAAGGGGCACCTTTCCTTCTCGCCACCAGACGGAAAACTCCTGGCTGCGGAACGAGGGCTTCACCGTATGCCGAGAGCCAGGCCTCCAATGGTTCCCCAGAAGGAACTCCAATAGAACTCCAATACAACCTGGGATTATTTGGGGATATTTGGGGATTATTTTGGGATTATTTGGGGATTATTTGGGGATTATTTTGGCTATATTTTGGGTATGCCATTGGGGGAATCAACAAATCAACCAATTCCCGACCTGTCATCACTGGACATCAGACTCCTAAGAGATGACCGGACCACTCCGAGACCGGTTGTGGGGAACGAACGATAACCAGACGTCAGATGGGGACATCACCGGGGCTACAAAAAATGGGGATTTCACCAATCTGGGAATATCATAGGGGATTTACTGGGGATTGGATGAGGATATCACGGGAACAGAACACAGATTTTTTTTCAGATGTAGCTGCTGTGTTTTGGCCGAGCAAACCTCTGCATTCTTTGCAAACAGCACAGCAGTTTTGCCTCATGTAGTCTTTGCTGCAGCGCCATTTTCGCGCGCCTTTGCTGCGGCAAAGCACTGCTTGATCTGCGCTTCGATTTCAATGGAAAGTGTCAATCAACCGACACAATTACCTTCCGAGAGAATAAAAGAACTATATGTAACATTTATAGCCATTTATTGCAGTTGTCTATCTATATGCTAAGTTTTATTGGGAAAATCCGTTTTCCATGTATATCCGCAGATAGCCGTTGATAGCCCATTAGATAGCCATATTTATCGAACGGATTTTCCCAGCAACACTTGCCATGTCGATGTCGGATTCCGCAACCCAAGGCACGTGAGGATCCGTGCCCGCTGGGTGGAAGATACCTGGATGCAGTGGTCAGTTGACCCGTTGATGGGGAAGATATCTGATCAATGGCGGGTTTACATGGTGAATTTACATGGTGGTTATATAGTGGATATATAATATAATGATAATGATAATAATAATAATAATATATATATATACGGTATATATGATCAATGGTGAGTTTACATGGTGAGTTTACATGGTGAGTTTGCATGGTGGTTATATATGATTAATACGAAGATTCATGCTATGGGACTTACATGAGGACACATAGGATGATGATTTTATCGGCTCGAAACACTGAATGGAAGCAAACACCACATCGCATGATGCACATCTGCCGGCACACGCTTCTAATATCAGTCAAACGGGTTTCCAGTGGAATTTCCGAACATCCACATTCACCTCATGTCGTCCGTCCTGTCAGACTATGATCATGTCTATAGATATCGTTCTTGTCACCCTTTTCTTTGCATTGGGCATGAATCGTCGAACAAGACAAGCTAGCTGACGCATGTCATGCATACCCTCTGGTATATAATTTGGCATAGCTATGGACGTCTAAAAGAAAATAAACTAAACAATGAACAATAGCATTCAATAGCTATGTTAAACTACCAGAGGGGAAACCAGATACAGCTACAATTTTCACACAACATTCCCGACCTTAGCACACCTTAGCACCCCCCAATCCCTTCAATCCCTACCGCGGCCAAACAGAAAACCGAAAACCTCGCGTTTTTCGCGACGTCCAGGTTTTGTCCGCGCCGCAAGCGACTCAAATCACCAGGTGCTGCAGGCTGTCGAGGGCATCCATGGCTCCGTGGCGCATCGCTGGAGAGAGACGCCTCCAGGTGTCGGTCGAGCTCCTTGGCGTTTCAAAAAAGCATTGGAAAATCACCGTAATATGCACAGGATATGCCGGTTGATGTATGACATTGTATATATATATAGTATATTAATATAGTGATATGGTGATCTTAATACATAATATATATATATATATCATTATTCATATGCATTTTCAACTACAAGCATGTGTCATATCTTATAACGGTGTACATCAATATCATGGTAATGTCCGGATCTGAGGCTAAAATGATGGATGATTTTGCAAGTCTTGGCAATACGCGACCATCATTTGTGGGGTGCAGCCCATGGCATGGCCCATGGTGACTTTGAATTCTTCCTGCAATTTCGATCAAACCCATTTAAGGAAAGAATCGAAGCTCATAGAGGCTTCGATCCATCACAGCCTGCAAGTCAAAAGTTTGTGTTTTGACCTGGTTTTGGCGTGTCACCAAGAATCACAGGACAGTTTCACCAGTCCTGTCCTATTGCAATGTCAAGCCACATTGCAAATCCCATAGAGTTCATCGGCAGTGCATCGGTTGGGCGTTTTTTTGGCGGGGAATGGTGTGGTGGATCTTAGCTGGAGCTGGAGTAACCATCATCCTGGCAGGTGAAATTCTCCAGAACTGCTGGCCCCCTGCTGGCCCCATGAATTTTCACCCTGCCATTTTGGGGGACCATTTTTGGCCCAAATCATCCAGCCGGGCAGTACGACTCAAGCTTGGGTACAGTGACTCAAAATGGATGTTTCAAGCACCTTTGGCGTCCTCAATTCCCCATTCTCAAAGGGTGAGAACCATCCAAGAAGTTTAGGTCCTTTGGCTTCTGGGAATAAATAGCAATACGTATCTTTCGCACATATTCCTGCTCATGAATCATATGAAACTAAATTCACTGACTCAATGACCAGAACACAAATGGTTGTTTCCCAGCTCAACTACTCAAAGTTAAACTTCTAGTGATTCTATATGATTATATTATGCATATACACATACATATACTATAATATGTCATCCCAAAAAATAAATTATCACGTTGCTATGTCAGTAGGTATTTACTTTTCAAATATTCTCCGTGTTTTTCTTAGGGATATTAATGTCACATAAATTACAATGCAATCAGCATTAAGATCATTAAGTCACCATTCAACCCTATGAAATCACCACGATTTCCCCCCAAAAACCCTCCGAGAATGGTGCCTCCAGGCGCGGCCGAAGGCGTTGAACGCCGCGAAGCTGGCTCTCGCCCCTCACGTAGCGCTGCGTCATCCAAGCCCAGTCCTGGCATCCCATCCCATTGGGCCATTGGGCCATGGAAAATCAGGTTTTTTTTAATGATGGCACTGGCAAAAACAAGCAAAATTGAGATCTATATCTGTGATTTCTATGTATATATCAGTATATAATAGTATATATTTATTGATGGGTTTCTCTTGGTGTCGTTCACATATTCTTTCACCATGCTAATTTACTAACGGCTAACTTGGTTGGATTTATGGAAATCTGGAGGTGCCTCACCAACCTCTGGCGATTCTTCGAGGTGCCTCGGCCGTCAGCTTCAGGCGTTCGCGCAGGTTCCGCTGAACTTCCTTGTAGATCTCCAAGCGTTCCCGGTCCTGCGTTATGGCGAAGGATGGATCGGATAAGCTCGGGTTCTGGTCCATTGGTTGAGGTACAGTTGTTATAGGTCACTGGCCGTGAGAATTGCGGTATACCATATATCCATATAATATACCCCAAACAACGGACAAAGCGGCATATCTGCAACCCAAAGTCACGCGTCCAGGCCCCTGACATGTTCAGTCCTCCTTATTGACCTTGAGAGGCAGGGCGCAATGTGATTGAACCAATAATAAATGTACCAAAAATGTAGCATTTACCCTCTGGTAATCCAACATAGCTATGGAAAAAAACACAGATTTTCATAGGTACGCCAGTACATCATCTAAGAAAAGATCGATCAAGGAGATTTTCCGTAGCATTCCACAGCTATGTTGGATTATCTGTGGGTACAGGTTGCAAATGGAATGAGTTTTTGCTCTCGCGAACAGCAACAGTGCCATGACTGTCCCGGTTGGCTCACCTGCATGACATCCTTCCAGTCCTTTTTCAAACGCTTCTTCAAGTTCTCGAAAATTGTCTTCCTGAAAAAGCGTTGACCAAACGGGTTGACCATGGGCTCCAGATGGTTCCAAGACGGTTCCAAGTGAAATTTCAGGCAAATTACTTGGCAAACGCGGTCGATTTGTTCTTCACTAAAGCTTATTTCAAGTACAAATTCCTCATGGATCTGATGGTCTGTTCTGTCGCCCAGGTACAGAAACACTTCGGCGGCCCGGATGACGGAGACACTGAAGGCTGGGAGTGCCGAGTTCCTCGACCCGCTGAGATGAGGGTATGATGAGGGTATGACAATTATGATGTGGTAAGATTGATAAAATATCGAAAGTGTATAGATATTAGTGAGATATTGTGAGATTAAAAGATCATCTCCTCTTCTTTTCTATTTACTTCATTGGATCGAAGGAACAAGATGGAACAAGGGATTTTCCATGATTTTCCTGCTTCCCTGATGGCATAGATGCCATAGAATGGAGGCATTCAAAGGGATATTGTGGAGATATATTCCAACAAAAACGATACAAAAAGGGGATGTGAGTCACATTTGTCCACCGATTCCGATTGTGGCATGATCGATGATCCGATTCGCTACTCAGTTGATGGGGTACCACAGCCAAGCAATGCGCATGAAGGCTACAATGAACACCAAAGAATCAGGTTCCCTTTCAGATGCCCTCCCAAGCCTTCACTATCTGGGGGACTTTTGGCTGCAATTACAATCCCTCAATTTATGAATGGAATCAAACGGCTTCAATTTCAGCGCGCGTATGCGCGCGCCATACTCACAGTGAAGCAAACCATGATAATCATGGCTGAAGATGATTGAATTCTGACAATTAACATTTTTTTGGACATATCATTGCTGGTTGGTGGTTTTTAAAGAAGCCACCAACCTGGATCGTTATGTTGTAGTTCCCCTCGTTGTCACACTGATAAGAACAGATACTTCCAGTTCCGGGCACCTCCAACTCGGCAATCGCAGCTCGCAGCCGCAATGGTTTTTCGCCAATGCTTGAAGTAAAAAAGCGGCTACGTCAACCGCAGGATTAATTGAAAATGGACATGTGTGGGAGTGTTACACTTCTTGATTTGTGCGTGTCTGCACTCCCCCTTTGTAGAAACCGTCAGGTTCTACAACATCCATGACTCAAACCGCTAATTGAAATTTGGACGGCACTGAGCACACATTGGAAATTCCTTTGAGTCTCGCAAAAAAGGACATCTCAGACTTGTGTGCACTGCAGCGCCAACTCCATTCAAATAAAAGACTACTCCTGGTGGTGGTGGTCCCCTCGTTTTCATCGCCACGTACCTGCAAAGATAACACCAGTGAAATTCGAATGCCCTTCCAGTTTGTGGAGCTCTGAGATAGCCGCACTCCAGAGATCCATGATAAACTACTCCATAGCGCGTTCTGAAAACTCGAGTTGAGAGCTGCTCGTTCTCGAACTCGTTATACTCATTCTCAAAACATGCTGGGTCAGCCCTGATTCGATTCCAGAGCTCAGCTTCTTCTCGATTGATATCCTGAATGGCACGTTGAACTCCTAGTGGATCTTCTTCTTGTGAACTGCTGCTACTTTCTGATGTGGTAGCAGAGCTCAATTCTTCGGGGACTTCTGGTTCTTCAGCTTGTGGCGCAGCATCAACTTCAGCAGGGTGACTTCGGCCATCCTCTCCCTCCTGCGTTGGCAGACTGGGAAAAACACGACTTACTCCAACCTTCCACATCCATTGAAAGGCCATGGTCATCACGACCACCAGCAAGCTGAAAACCACCATGAAAACTTCAAATTCTTTAAAGCTTTCTTCTTCTTTTCCTCCTTTGTTTTCTTCACCTTCTGATTGTGCACCTTGAACAGCGGCCAAAAGCAGCACCACTTTCAAAACTGCTTTCGCTGCTTCGATCTTTGGGCTTGGATGGCCATTTGATGCGGGCATTGCCCCCCGCTCTCCTCCAGCGGTTGGCGCTCCGGCATCAGGCGCGGGCTCGCCACCCCCTTCTTGGTGGGCCTCAGCGCCGGTGTTGGCGGCCATTCCAAGCTCCTTTTTCAACATTTCAAACCTGGCACTTGTGAGTGCTTTTGTGCCCAGGTCAGCTTCCATGTGTTCGCCATTTTTGTGGCGAAGTGTCCATTCGCCGCTGGCAATCAATTGACGTGCTGCCAGCGCCCTCATCTTCAGGTGGCGGGTTCTCCAATTCCCACCATCTGCTGTGAGAATGACAGTGGCGGCTTGGTTGTCACTCCAAGCCATCTTCAAGAGATCACCTTGAAGTTCTTCTGCTATGACGGCGACTGACTCGCCAGCTACCAAACTTTCCATTGATTCCATCATCTCGCTTTCGGCTGTTGACAGACTGATCAGGGATTGACGTCCTGATCGCCAAAAAATGGGGCATCCACAGAGCTTGATGACGAATGCTCCGTGGGATTCCTCACCTTGTGGCGAAAATGAGGAATCTGCAAACGCCTCCAAAAGCCAAGGGCCTTCTGCTTTCACATCGAAGACCAAACCATCCATTGGGTGGACCAGCAAATAGCCCAAGACCTGCTTGTAGATCTCGTGGACCAAGTCTGGTGACTTTGTGGTAGCGGAGCCCATTTTTGAGACTGCGAACATCAGCTCCGGTCTCGTTCTGGTCACTAACCAAAGCAGTTCACCTACCTCTTTCTGAGCTCTTTTCACCTTCTCTGGAGTCACTCCTTCTTCAGGCTCCTCAAGCTGGGAACTTTGATCGCGTGTGATGGGGATTTTTCGCTTTTTCACTTCCTCACCACCTTGTGCTACTAAGTCCCGCACGTAGGACTCTTGCGACAGCAGCCAAACATCACGGCCATCATGTTCATGTTTAGTGATTTCAGTGCCCAAAAACCGAATTGGCACTGAACTGACTCGGTCTGGTGTGGAAGTCGTCCACTTTGATTGAAGTTCTTTCATGACTGAAGTGACCACGCTCTCGTCACCTGCAATCATCATATCATCCACATAGGTCATGAGAAGGCCTTTCAGCTGGGGCTCCTCATCTTCAGACAAATCGCACTGCTTGAGAATCATCCAAAGATTTGGTTCAGCTTCCATCGGACTCAACCTCAGCTTTTCTTCACCTTCTCCTTTTGGAATCTTCACTTCCAAAACTCGCAAAACATCATCTCTGCAGTCACCCCACAGTTTTGGGGATCTTCTCAAGCCATAAACTGCACGTTCAGGGAGGTAGAAGATGTCGATGGGCAAACATCCCTTTTCAACCAAGAGGGATGGTGGCTTGACAATGATCAGGTTTGATGACGTCTCCTGATCAATGAAGGCGTTCAGGAAAGCTGTTTTGACATCCAACGTCCCGGCTTGCCATTGATTCCGGGCACACATCACCAGCATGACGCGGAAGGCAGTGCTGTCAGCACCGCTGGAAAAGTTGCTTTCCTGATCACTTCGGGATTCATAGTTCCCACAAATCACCCACCTCATCTTTCTTTTTCCTCCATTCTTTCCTGGCTTTTTCGTAAAAACCAGCTTTGAAGGCAAAAACTCAACCTTCACTCCTCTTTCTTCTGCAGCTCGAATCATCTCCTCAAGCTGCTCTTTATTGATGCTTCTCATCGCTTCTTTTTCGTTCAAAAGTGCCTGAATCTCATCTTCCGCAGGCATCTTCCACTTTTCCCATTCTTTTGAAACTTCTCTTTGAGAAACGATCTTTGTCTGCAAGACTTCTTCTTCTGGAACTTCCTCCTCCATGGCGACCTTCCTCAGATCGCAAATCAACTTCATTTCTTCCATGATGGTCTCCTCATCATCTCCCACCATGGACTTTGATTCTTCTTCTATGACCTTCCAGATCCTCTGTTTTCTTTTCTTTTCTTCACTTTCTTCAACTTCGCCTTCCAGCCTTCTCACCGCAGCCTTGTTGCGAAGCCTTCTTCTCAAAGTTTGGGCATCTTCAACCTGCCTTTCAATCGCTACCCACTGTTCTTCTGTGGGAACTGCTTCAACTTTTCGAAGGACACATCGGGTCAGGCGGACTTGACCATTTTCCCCGATGATCCAATGTCCATGATCTTCTTTTGACGGTGCCACATACTTGGCCACCTCCATTGTAGGGCGAAAGTCATCGCGATTCCACCTCCTCTTTCTGACAACCACATCTGACAAAAATGGCGGCCAGTTCGGAGTTTCATCTCTTCTGATGCTTCTGTTGACGGCGTTGGCATACCTCAATGCCAAAGGCCAATATTCTGGTCCAACTTCAGCTGCCTTCAAAACTTTTCTGATCTGCGTCTTGGTGTTCTTGATGGCAACCTCAGCTCTTCCATTGACTCTTGGATCGTCACCCGGGGTTTTGGTGACATGAATACCCCGATTCCGTGCCCAAGACAAAAAGGTCTTGGCAAATTCATGTCCACGGTCTGAGTGGATGCGGCCAATGTGATATCCTTCAGTTCGAAGCTGCAGGATCATATCCATGGCGGCGTTGGTAACCACCGTTGCGCTCTTTGATGGTAAAGGAAAAGCCAGCCTGAAAGTTCGGAACTCAAGTTCCTGTTTTGCCTCTTCAACTTCTTTTCTTTGTTGTTCTTCAAGATCAGCTGGAGCATCAGGAAACTCATCTCCCTCCCCCTCTTTTCTTGGCCTTCCTTTCTTTGGTTTCTCTTCACCTCTTACCTCTTCTGCTTCTTCTGGTTCTGCTCTTCCTTCTACTTCGATCATCGGAGCTTCTTCATCCTCAACTTCATCGGGCTGCTTCATCTTTTCTGTTCCAGCTGGAACAGCCCACACCAAAGCACCGCAAAGGAAGTACTTGGAAGTAGAGGAGTCCACATCTTTTCCTTTCTTCAAGGGGCCTGCTGTATCCAAGGACAAAACGCCAGGAGTGGGCCATTTGACTCGCCGATGGGGAAGACATTGTTGAAGTGTTTGCTGGCACACAGCGCAATCACGCCGATAGGGAACGTGGCCAAACTGGACATGTTCCTGCCAACTCAAAGCTTTGATTTTTGGCGTCCTCCACAAAGCTGAAACCAGGCCTTTTGCCACCATAGACATCGTCCCTGGAGACCACCTTGAAAGTTCTTTGGAATTTCCAACCTCCCCCTGGGACTGGCACTTCATGTAGTTGCCGGCCAGCTCCAAGTCCATATTGGTTGAAAAAGTCGTTCTTTTTGATGCTTTTCCTCCAAGGTCTTTTTGGTTGTAGGTGAGCTCGTGCAGGTCAAACTCTTTTGCGATGGCCTTCCATTGGGGAGTGTCCCAAATGGAGACCACATCTTCATTGTATTGACGTGGAGAAGCCGGTTGTTCTAAGGCAAACCACGTTTTCCTTTCTTTTTCCATGGCCACCCTGACGTACTCCGAAACGACAAAGAGGAGAACCATCCTCCACAAAAGAAGATCATCTTCAAAAAGCTTTTTCTTTTCTTCTGTTGTGGCATCAAAAATGCCAAACTCTTCTCCTCCCCATCTTCTGATTGGTCGCGGAGCTTCTGGATTGCCAGGAATCGGAAAATGTCGTAGTATTGACCTTGTTCTGCAATTTGGACCTCCAACCAAACCCTTCATTTTTCCTTGAAAACACGCAGTGAGAAGTGCTCCAAAGACGCCGTCGTTGGAGAGGACGTCATGGTCTTTGCCTCTCAAGATGTCGATCTCGATGATTTCTTCTGGGTCAGAGCCTTGTTGTTGAAAAGCTCTGGCAAGAGTGAACCCTTCTGATGGCCCTGCAAAAAGATGAACCACAAAGCCATCTCTTTTCCACGTCTTTCTCATTCTTTGATTTCCAGGCAGCTTTGCCCAGTCTCCAGGGTGCACCTTGAGCTCCTCTTTGATGTCTTTTGGAAGTTGGCTGAACACTGGATGAGTGTCCACCAAGTCGCACATCCATGCGAATTCCTTTTGAAGTTGGGCACCCTTCAGCTTCAAACCTTCTTTCTTTTCTTCTAACTCCTCAATCAACTCCATGGCCAACGCACGAGGGACTTGTGGACATCCCCCATCTTTGCAAACTGGTAAAAGACCTCGACGTGGATGCTTGATGCTGATGCCCTCGTCAGACCACTGGACCTGACACTTCAATCGGCTTGTAAGAAGGCCCATGGGAATGATTGGCTCGATATCTTTCACTTCTGAAACCATGGATCCTCCTGGAGAAATCTTCAACTTCTCAGTGGTGCCATTGGCCAAAGTGACCTGGACAACTGGATACGCAGTTGCATCTTCAAATCGTCTCAAAGGTCGAAGAGGGTGTGTCGCACCACTGTCAACCAGTCCTTGATGTGTTCCACGTCCAATCTGCAGCAGCTTGAAGGTCTTCATGGACTTGATCTGCTGATGGAGTCTTTCCAAAATTTCTTCTTTTGATCCTCCTTCTGATTCTTTTTTCTCTGAAGATGTCGTAGAAGATGAAGTCGGCGGCTCCTGATATGACTTGAGCAACTTGCTGGCCTCTTCCAGCAAATCTTTCATACTTGTTGTTGATGACGTCGGTGAACCACTTCCGTCTTTCTGAGATTGTTGACCTGTCTTCCCACCTTCTGCCTTCAGCGCCTTTCCCTTCTTTGGACTTTCGCTTCCAATCTTCCGGGGGCAACTTGGCGACAGATGGTCGACAGCTCCGCATGTCCAACATCGCCTTTTCTCTGCCATCTCCTCCTTGGTGATGTCATGCAAAAAGCGACATTCTTTTCCTTTTCTGCAACCAGCATCAGTGAAGAAAAACTTGCACCTTTGTCTTTCCTTCTGCTGTCCTTCTTCTCTTTCATATCCTCGACCTTCTCTTCCACCTTGACTGTCTTCAATCTTTTTCAACTTCGGTTGATCTTTGGTAGAGCTCGAGGACCTTTTCTCACTTAATGAAGCTTGCTCCAACTCCGCCAAGAGGTGGTTGGCGAACTGGGTGATGTTGAGATCGCTAGGGGTTGTGTCGACCCCCAAACTGGAACGTACCAGTGACACACGAAATTGTAGTTCTCGATTTGGGTCCACCACCTTTCGCACCAACCTATTCAAGCCCTTGAGGAGCAACGTAGGATCGGGCGGTGTTGCCCCAATTTCCAAAGTTCTTCTTTTCCACCGCAACCAACGCCGTAGAGCGGCAGGAGCTTCTGACAAAACTGAGACTTCTGCAGGATCTTCAAGAGTCTTCAAAAGGAGTTGCTTTTCTGTCACTCCCCCTGGACTGTAAAGAAGATGAAGGTAGGTAATGATGCCGAACACTTCAAGGCGGCGAGATGCAACCAACTGCTCCTTGACTTGTTCTGGAACGCTTTGAAGCACCATCACTGAAACTCGTCGTTCCAGCCTTTGCCACTTGGTGTCCTGCAAACAAGACGGTGTAGCATGGCCGTGTTGAATCTTTTCCAAGGGGGCGAGCTGCATGTGATCCTTGTACCACGCCTCAGCTTCTTTGATTGTCAACTTCCACCATTCTTCTGAAGATGCTGACATATCAGCCACCAGTGGACCAACCATCAAAAGCCAGTCTCCCAGCTGCAATGGTCCTGTTGTTGGGTTCCAAGACGGCAACACAGGTAGGTCAGGAATTCCAGTCCTTACGATCTCCATCCCTTTCACCATGCCTGCCTCTTCTTTCCCTTCTGTCATTTTTCGCTGCATCTCCTTCATGGAGTCGATCATCAACGCCATGAACTCCAGTGACTTCTCTGTGAATTCACCTTGGCCCGTAGAGCTTCCCTTTGGGGGTCTACCAGCCTCCTTTGGCGGATCTTCTGGGGGTCTACAGCCTCCTGATGTCTTTGGGATCGAAGAACTTCCAACTTTTGGGGGGTCTGCAGCCTCCCTGGGACAGTCCTCGAACTTTTGCTGACGGCTTTCAACTTCCCTTCCATAGGCTCCCAACCTTCTCTGAAGGTCTTCGTCCTTTCTTTGGGGGTCTACAGCCTTACTTTGGGGGTCCGCAGCATCCTTTTGGTGGTCTGCAGCCTCCTTTTGGTGGTCTGCGGCCTCCTTTTGGTGGTCTGCAGCCTCCTTTCTACGAGACACGGGCTCAATTCCTTTTTGGTCAGGTGTATGATACTCTTCTGCGGCATCTACCTGTCTACTTTCCAACTCTTCCACGCGCTTTGACAACCTTCTGTTTTCCATCATCAGTGATTCAACATGTTGCCTAAGCTCTTCATGCCTCCTACGTTCTTCTATCAACCTCGCTTCTTCAAACTCCATGAATTGAGGACGTTGCAGTGGCATGTTATACATCATGTCGAGTCTTCGAGGAAGCAACAGAGGAGCTTGTTCTTCTAACATTCTCCATTGCATCAGCTGCTCATTTGTAAACAGAGGAGTTTGTGGGGTGGCAGCAAAACCAACATCCGGTCTATTGGCAACTGATTCCATCCCATCTCTACTGCTTTGAGGCTGAGTCACTTGTGGTGTGGCTGCCCCAACCCCTTGTCCTGACGAGTCAAGAGCACCACCAGTCGCATCTTGCCGATGATATTGAGGAGAAATCGGCACCACTGAAGGAGCTGCTGAACCTACCTTTCCCTTCTCACTTGCGGGGGTCGGCTCAACTGCTGACGGGCTTTTGGAAACATCTTGAATTGGCTTTACAGTTTCTGACTCCTTTTCACCCTTCTCTTCTGAGGCTACTACTGAAGTTTCAGCTGCTACCAAATCTTTTTGCTCCCCTCCCAACCCTTGTCCTTGATCCTCCAGAGGCAATTCTTGGTTTTCACGTTCAAGCCTTTCTTGAGCTGCTTGCATTTCACGTTCACCTTGTTGGAGTTCCTGTTGTGTGGCCCTTCTCCTACCATACAACGAGGTCATTGGAGTTGATCACAGGGAAGAGCTTGGGCTCATAACCTAAAGAAGCCACCAACCTGGATCGTTATGTTGTAGTTCCCCTCGTTGTCACACTGATAAGAACAGATACTTCCAGTTCCGGGCACCTCCAACTCGGCAATCGCAGCTCGCAGCCGCAATGGTTTTTCGCCAATGCTTGAAGTAAAAAAGCGGCTACGTCAACCGCAGGATTAATTGAAAATGGACATGTGTGGGAGTGTTACACTTCTTGATTTGTGCGTGTCTGCAGTTTTAACCATCTCGAAAAATATGAAAGTCAATGGGAATAATGATCCCATATATTATGGGAAATAAAACATGTTTGAAACCGCCAACCAGATTGTCATTTCAGTCTCATTCCGTCTCGCATCATTTCCAGTGACGTCATGGGATGATCCAACTAAAGCATAACTATCCTCACCATCTTCGCAATGTGACCTCGCAATGAAAACGCTACGTTTTGGTGCCTTGACGATGCCATCGGTGTATTATTTTTGATCCATCTTTTGACCATGGCACATGTCAGATCAAATACACTTCCGTCAAATCTCTCAGATGTGCAAAGTACCAAACAGCTTGGCACTATGCACACACACAAAACACATACAAGGAAGACATTTACCAGCAAAACCAAGGGCCGAAACATCCCAAGGCCCATCATCGACAATTTCGCCCGGCTTCTGTTGCACGGATGGCACCCAAACGCCATGCGATCCCATTGGAGAGATGAACGCCACCTGGTGCCAGGTTTCCCGGGGGACTCATGGCGTAGTTTTTCCACGGATGTGATTGTTGCTTCTATCTTCAACGTGGGTAAAACAATTCCAGAAACCACCCATATGTTGATGGTTTATACAACCTATTTTAGGGTGATTTGGGGGATGGTTTATTATCGTTTTACCCTCATGATGTAAGTTCTAGAGCATTTTTGTGCTTTTAGGGGGAGGTTATAACATGTTGTTGCTTAAGTCACACTATATTCGCCACTGAGATTTTTTACAATTGCCTTACCTTCTTCAATTGCACTTGCTGTCTGCTCCGCTTTCCCTCATCGTTGCCGTTTGTTTCTATGATCCCTGTGAACAATAGCCTACCATGGTATACTGGTATACCCCATTTTCAGACAAACCCATCTTGGAGAATAGTTGGTTGCCTAGAGTTATAACCCATAAAACATAACAACATTTTTAAGTATAGTTGGTTAGTTGTGGTTATTAGTTATACTAGTAGTATGTTTCCACCTTAAGTTGTATGTGGTATATAAATATATACACATATCCCGTAACGGCTAGTTATAGTCATAGTTATACATGTTATACTACCCATCTCAATGGTTTCTTCCCTCATCTTTTTCAGGCCTGCCCAGGACATAAGACCACCAAACTGCCAATCTTCATCTCATCCAACTGTTCCAACACCTGGGGAACTGGAACATCACCCGTTACCAGGTGAAAAATTGGGGGTTCCAAAAGACACCAACCATTGGGAAAGTGCGAGATTCAGGTGATTTTTAATGTTTTTGTGAGGGGAGATATAAATTCTATTCTATTAAAAGAAAAAACACATCCTTTAAAATTGGGATTCAACCATTAACATTGGCGGTTTTTTATTTTATCAAAACCAAGCATTGTGTGAGGATATACTGTAGTATGATATAGTGAGTGGTATATGACCAACAATACGATATTTGGGTCCTAAAATGAGGGGAATGCAACACTTCAACCGGAAAAAAACGTGGGGATTTGGGATGATGGTCATATTTATTTCGAAGCCATTCCCATGCCATTCCCATGCCATTCCCATCCACCTAATGTGGTTAAAACAATCATAAACCATCCATCACCATTTTGATGGGTGGTATGGAAATCCCATTCCCAGGAAAATGGGTAGTAAAAATGGCATTGTGAAATAACCACATGACACGCCGAGCCCGCGTTGCGCCCTGACCTTCTTGAGGGCTACGACATCATGGCGTCCCACATGGGTCACGAAGATGCCCAGCAGCACCGGCAAGAAGTGGAAGATGCTCACGCCCGACACCTGGAATCCCGTGCAGCTTTAGGAACTAAGAAACTGGTTAAGGCATGTTAGTAATCATGGTAAGGATTTCCGCAATTTTGTGGGATATCTCATGTCACCTTTATATAATTATATAAATTATATTATATATGTATATAATTAGCATTTTCAGCGTTTTGTGGAACATCCCATAGATAAATAGGTGAACTAACCATGGCTACTAAATGTTACAGTACTAACTCAAGTTCCTATGGCAGTGGGAAGTAGCTGGATTGATTGGACATTGAGACAAGTAAATTTCTACCGTACCAATCAAAACATGTAACGTAGTAAACCCACTAATAAACCATGCCCAAAATCCCATAAATGGATGTTATAAAGTATAAACCATCCCCAAATGGTAGGTTTATTATTGGGACGCCAATATTATTAATACATGCTTTGAATAGCAAACATGATTGTATGTTCTTGTGTACTGCATTGGATCAGGAAGTGAAATGATACAAACAACAACATCAAACAGCAATCAGCTGTTTTGTTGTTGAGCCGCGATATCTCAAAATACGATGCCTGTCAATTACAGTGAAATTACTGAATTCAGGGATGGCACAGCAATCAGTTTTTCACACCGCCAGTCAGCAACTTTGAAAGGTCTTTGGTCCCAGCATCCATTTTTCGGTGCCATCGAGTGCCATCTGCCAGCTACCCTCTGGGAAACTAACATAGCTATGGAAAATCACAATCTTTAAATATAGGTAAATCAACTATAAATGGGCCATTTTCAATAGCTACGTAACAGATTACCAGAGGGTAACCCTTGTGGCCTGATTGTAGAGCGTGAAGTGAGGCGGCACGTGTGTGTCTTGGTGGTAGGAGGTGACATAGTGAGGCAGTTTCCAGATCAGATACCTCACGGAGTGGCGATCTGGACATGGTTTGCACGCCAAAAACATGACATAGTGTAGTATAGAATAGTATAGTATAGTATAGTATAGTAGTATAGTAGTATAGTAGTATAGTAGTATAGTAGTATAGTAGTATAGTAGTATAGTAGTATAGTAGTATAGTAGTATAGTAGTATAGTATAGTATAGTAAATTATAATTAATATATATATATATATTAATACACTATAATAACTCACGATTATATGATATAATAAACATGTTTGCAACCCAAAATCGACCGATCAAACTATGAGTCCTGATGGGCCTGAAGGAAATCTTATGGCATCAAATTCTGTCTGAGTCCATCTCCGATGTCCCAGGGGCAGGAGCTTGTTCAACTCCACCTCTGCGCAAGGCTTCAGAAGCTTCGACACCTGGGACAAAAGGTCTGATCTCAAGCGGCGAAGCGCAGTAGCCCCGGATTTTCTGTGGCCCCCAAAAGAAGTGCTGACAATGGCCATGTTGATCTGGGGTGTTCTGTCTGATTTTCAGACCGACATGAGCAACAACATGGATCAGGTCATGTGTATATATATATATAATTAAATATGATATATATGATATATATGATATATATATATGATATATATATATATGTATATACCTGAAGTATATATATATAAATTTATATTATATATAAATGCATATAAATGCTATCTGCAATATGAAGCACTTCATCGCGAGTTGTTTTCCAGTGACGATCATGGGGATGCAACTTGCAAACAAAACATGAGAACAACGAGAATGTAGCAACAGGGCGCGGGGATATGGGGTACGACCAACTGATTATGGCACAATTATGAAACATTGGACTTAAGGGTACCCTATTCTCAGACAAAACTATTTGGCAACCACGCCCCAGAGCAAAACTTGTCTTACCAAAGATGCATGCAATCATACATGTATCTTTCCAACATGTTACTTCTCTGGGCATCAAGTCTAACATGGGAAGCAGAAAGCTGGCAATGCTGCTCAGAAACGGAGTCATGGTAACTATCCAGAAGCTCAACACCACTCCTGGAGTCGCTTGGCTGGGGAATGGGAGTACCAGTACCAGCATGCAAGGCCTAATTTAAAGTATATAAGGCCGATATGAGGGTTTCTTAAAATGGTGGATCCCTAAAACCATGCATTATAAAAATAAAATGGTCGATTTTTTGGATGATTTGGGGGGGTACCCTATTTTAGGAAACCTTCATTTGTTAGGGCCAAATGTCGCCTTTTGTTATACAATACCACCATTTATTGGTGCCTAAAATAGGGCGAACAATGTCCCGGCTCCATGCTGAATGCCGGAATAGTAACCTGGCCAACCCTGAGCACCCGGCACCTGAACTTGTTGCCGTTGCTGGTGAGCGTGTTTGACAAATATCACCTTGGTAACCTTGTTTTGGACATGAAACAATAGCATTTACATATATATATATATATGCATAATGAATCATAATTGTGCATGTGCATCCACACATGGAACTTTCAACAATCTTATGCATCAACGATCATCAACATATTTTGCACATGGATGTTCAGCCTTCCCGATGACAGACAACATGTGTCCTGGACATCTTCTTGTAGTCCTTGGTGGAACGGTGATCCCCAAGCTGATCCCCAAGGGGATCACCAAGAAATTCCCACCAACAATCCCGTTACGAATCCCCATGTGTTGCATCTTTGGGGGTATAACATCCCATGAAAATCACGCCTGATTTTATTGAGATGATCTTGGAGATCCAATCCAACATGGAATTTTTGGGGATAGTAACCAAGCAATATCTGGGTTTTCTTGATACCACAGGTTTCGGGGTTTGATACACAATTTGCCATCATCTACCTATTGGTTTTTCAATGGGAACTTCATCTTCTTGCGACCAACCAACAGTGAAACAAGGACATATGAAATTATTGGGTTGATAAATTCCGAGCTGCTTTGGTGGGATCTTGACTTGTGCTACCTTGTGGTTTTTTGTCTGGTTCAACTATCAGGCCGTGTATTCAACTGGTATTAACACATATCCTGGGAGTTTACCTATCCAGAAACGTGTTTAGTGTTTTCAGACTTATTGAAACGTGGTTTTTGCCCACGTCGTGATGGGTTCACTACCTGAGTTCCTGAGTATCTAACTCAACAAACATCAGAAAACCGAAAATTCGATGATTCCCAGGAGAAACAAACACCAATCAATACAACAACCATCACTGGACATCAGTTGATTCTGCTGTCGAGCATCCCACGTGGTGTTCAACGATCCCTGTCGCTCCTTGGGTTTCAGTTCGCTCACCGGCATCGACACACGATGCCTCGACTGCAACGATGGGGTAGGACGGTAGGACGGTAGGACGGTAGGCGATGTCTCTGGTGGATGTGTAATGATAGTCAATGGATTGGTTTAAGGGAAAGCCTACAGGAAACCATGGCTTTACCCTCACACGTAGGGGTTTCCTGAAAATTGTCCCATCATCCAATTCTGTGAGATAGGAGGAACAAAAACATATGAAATCATTTGAGCCGTGTTCTAAATGCTTTATATCCTGGCACCAAAAACGGATACGCTTATGCCATTGCTTAGGTTTTGCTTCGCACACACGGGTTTTGCTTACGTGGATATCTTGTCTTACGCTGAGCTTACGCTGGCTTATGCTCACCAGAGTTTTGCTTACACCACACCCTTACAAGGGACCCCTTCCTTTTGAATGTAGCAATCCACAACTTCCTTTTGAATGTAGCAATCCACAATCTTCCTCATGTTCGAGTTACCTCAAAACATGTAGCTGGCTCAATTTCAGAAGGGGTCATGTGTTTGACTTTAATGCTGTGCTGCTGTCTAAGCAGATTTGGCCCAGAACGTGGCTCCTAAATTTCTGGGCTGCAACAGGGGTACCATCTCTATTAAACGAATCATTTGGGACTGAACCTGGCAATTTAACACATTGGGAAGCAATTTGCAGGCTCGCTCAAGTGGAACGAGCTACCTCAGCAACACCGCGCTAGCTCAAACACATCGCTCTAGCTCGATGGCATTGAGCTGGCTCAATTTTTTTGAGCGAAAAAAAACAACGAAAAAAACACATCGAAAAAATTGAGCCAGCTACATCAAGTTGAGCTGGCGAACGAATATGAAAGCTACAAAACAAATACATAGTATGTATTGGCCGGGATGATGACGGCACACCGAGCTGGCTCAAGGGCATGTAGCTGGCTCATTTTTTTTGCGTTTTTTTTGGTCAGAAAAATTGAGCCAGCTACGAGGCGCTGAGCCAGCAACGAGGGAATGGTGAATCTGTACTGTACGGGACCGATGGATTTTCCGATGCAGCCTTTGCAGTTCCAACAAATCAAACTATTGATCAATTCTGGCACCTTATGAGATAAAATAGAAGACTGGCAGTCTATACATATGTATACATATGTATACATTTGTATAACCCCAACCGTATAATTATGGTCAATCTGAGGCAACACCAGTTTTCTTGAGGGAGACGCGTACCCTTGAGCTGGAGGGAGATTGGGAAAAGTAACTTTCGATCCTTGATAGGATGAAAAACCACATATGAAAAGCACCATTTCCTCATAGTCAAGGGGGCTAATAAATTAGGATGTTCCCTGAAGTAAAACAATATGTTTGCTAAATGCACTATGAATTGCAATGACTCAGTGAGTCAGTGGCTATACTTCACAGATTGTAACCTGTACACCACTCATCTTGAGATCGATGATCTGTAACCTGTACACCACTCATCTTGAGATCGATGATCTTGTCAGGTACTCCCAGATCAAATCGACACCAAGGTTCAAATGGCCACTGAAAATATGTGGGATTTCCCTCATGGATTTGCCCCCGATCAGAGCCAAACAGTCCCAGGCGACTCTTGCTCGAAGCAATTCTCATGGCACACCGTGTAGACGGACGCCTACGACGGAGGGGCACAGCTTGAGGAATGACTCAAGTTGTTGGCGCCCTGCCAGCAAGAAGAACCATTCCTTTTCCATGTCCGTCACATGTTTAGACATGTTTAGACATGTTTAGAAAATATTGGAAAATGATATGCTGCACTTTCAAGTCCGAATATGTCGCTGAATTGTCTTGATGCATCTCCATCCGTATGCAAGTATTACGTCATTTCAGCGCCCAAATGCTTGATGTGCACAGCACATGAAACCACAAGTTCTGGGACCAGGTCCAATAAATCCATCCTTGCAGAAGGATTCATCCAAAGTTCAAAGGGTGCAGAAAGTGAGACCCACAGCCACATATATATTACACATCCATCGTGTGTCATCCAACACAGCACATAAAACCATCCATTTATTTGTAGTCATAAATCACACGGTATTTCCCAGCTAGCCATGTTTAATCACCGAAGGACAAGTCACCAATTTACCCTTCACCACGGGTATAGAAACCTGTTTTGGTGGGCCAAATCCCAACCTATAGTCAACCCACACCTAGCATGTTAAAATCATAAAACAAGCACACAGTCCGACGAGAAACCCTTATAGAAATCCGAACCCCCATGATTAGGGCCCTCGAAACCCTCGCAGGCATCCATGTCCATGAAACATCATGAAATCATCATTAAATCACCATCAAAATCCGATAATTAATAATAATCATAAATACCTATAAAACACATCATCATGGAATCACCATTAACAAAAATCACCACTAAACATACCATAAGTATCACCATAACCATCTATATCCATCTACTGAAAGTCCCATAGAACTCCCATCCCCCCGTCGCCCCGTCATCGCCTCTTCCCCCGAGAGGCGCTGGATCATCGGCACCACCGAGTCGAAGGACAGATCTTGGGACCAGGCCACGTCGTCGATCAGGTCGCCCTGGCGATGTGTGTTGAAAGGTGCGGGGTGCCCCCCAAACGTGAGCGAAATTGGTGGTGATTGGTGAACGGAAACTCCAAGAAAACTAGACTTTATGGGAATGATTGCGATTAGTGGGATGTATAAACCAATTTAGAACTGGGACCACCGAAATGTTGGTGTATAACCCCCATGAATACTATAGTTATGCCATTTCAACTCTAGTGAAAATGTGTGAAAATTGTGATTCTTGTTCACCAATTTAATTTAACTATCGTTGGACAGGTGGCACAATGGGGTAGCTTTGAGCCCCCAGCCGATTTGCTCAGCCTTGCAATGAATAACTATTGTTCGGGGGGCCACCAACAGCGTTGTAAAATTGGAAACTAAAAATATTAGCAAAACTCTATAGCAGTATTATTATTTGCAGTTTTTGGTATCCTAAGCCGAACTGAACCTTTTTCGGCAATTAACACTATTTAGAAACTGGGATCGACTACACAAGCAAAAACAGCACATCTATATAATATATGTGGTTGTATAATTATTGTTATCTATGTAATGAAACGTAATGTAGTGTCATGTCATGGCCTGTATTCTTGCGTAATGTAATGCATATATAAGTGAAATGTATAAAACGTATGAACGACTGAACATCTTATGTTATTTAATGCTATGCATCAACGTAGGCAATGTATGTCCATGTATGTAAAAACTGGTGCAAGAACCATGTTGGAGATAAACTTGGCCCAGTTCCCAGTGAATGGCACCTGCAGAATGTAGCCTTGGTCAGGGAACACACGTTGATACCCTGAACAGGAAGAAAACATGTAGAAATCCATTGGTTTCCATAAGGAAAACAATCTGCAAATAGCAGGTGTTCCATGAAATTGTTAGGCACAAAAGGGATGGAGTGACTGAATGTGGCCAACTTATTGTACAATGTAGGCTCAAATAGGAAGTTCCTGTGACTTGCATATACTTATATAATATTTAATACATCACATAAACACCCAAGCCCAGACGCTTATCGACGGAAAATGGAACATCATAAAAACAAGTGGATTGTTTGGGTTACCGTTTTTGATATGTATATATATGTTATATATATATATACAAATGTTATGTATATATATAGAATGGATGCATCTCTCTCTATATATATATATGTTTATGTATGTATATGTAACTAATATACATATATGTATCTATATATAAATTATATATATAATTTATGTATGTGTATATACATATATATATATGGGTTCGGGGGAATAACCGTGCCCCCTGCAAATGGTTCAGAAGCAGTTGCCTTTGTGTCCATGCCTTTGAAGTCCATTCGTGTAGTAGCAGACCTGGCTTTTTTGCATAATGAGCAGATAATGCACTGCCAAATGTTTTGACGTCAGCCTTGACATTGATGTGCTGTGTGATACTGCATGATGCTCTGATTGCACTAGAAGACAAGAAGACAAATCAACAGACGATATCGCACCATTTGTGTTTTCCCCAGACGCGTCGTTTTCAGACATCCAGCTAACAAGGTGACTTAATTTGCAAGGCCTTCAAGACATCGAAGAAGCTATTCCCTACATTCGTTTTGAATGTATACTCATAGAGATCTCCGGCATCCACGGCATCCGTTTCCTCTGCGTCGTCAGCCCCTTGGCATTGGAAGGATAGGCGGCCATAACGCTCTCTCACATACCTTTTCGATCGGGAGAATTCACTTTCAATGTCATTGGAGTGAAAGCCCGTTGCACGGTCTCGCCATCCCTGGCTATGGTTCACAGGAGGCGCGGATTTGAACCCAATGTCAGCCAGAGCCGGTGAAGAGGCCTTCCACTTGTCATGCACCACAAATGCTTTTGGGCTAATGCACTTCAAGATGGCCTTTTTCATGCTCTTGATGCCCCTGGGCTTGCCGTCTGGTGCTGTCTTTGGAAGGTCCATAATATGGAAGCTGAACCTTTTGCAACCATTGTCATGAGTGTATCGGGTTGCCTTGTTTCCAACAAGAACAGCAGCAAAGAGCCAACGCCCAGTCCGTTGGTCTTTGGACGTCCCAGCAATGCCTTTGTTGTAGATTGACTTCATCACAGCAGCAGGCCGCTTGCGAGCAGAAGTTGATGAAGAGGCAGCAGGGCGACGAAGACAACTTGCTGGCCGATGGAAAGTTCGAGCAGGCAAACGCTTCACAATACGATCCCTCTGGATCTTGTTGGATTTGTGATGGGTCTTCTTGGTGGTAGCGGCCTTTGATATCCCACGAGGCTGTCCCATGTTCGTCTCATCAAAGACAACGACATCACCAGCTTTAGAGCCTAGCACAAGCTGGCCATACTTCTTGAGGTAAAGTTCGAGAGCATCTTGGTACAATCCCCTCCACCGCCGCAATGTTTTGGCATCATGGGCACCAAAGATCTCTTCAATGTCCGTAGTCAGCTTCGTCCAACGGATATTGAGTCTCAGGCCATTGACAAAGTACAAGAAAGCCAGCCAAGAATTGAGCCTCACATTTGAAAGCAAACCCACTGGACAAAGACTAGCTCGAAAGCATTTGTGGCCTCTCACGGAGCATGTCCATTGGAAACGATCCCCAGTCTCTTCCAACTTGACTTTGTGACGAGAATTTGCAGGGCACTTGGAAACCGTTGGAAAGAGCTTCAGTGCTTGGCAAAGAAGCAGCCCTCGCAGACAAAGAGTGTCTTTCAAATGCATGGGCACCAACAGGGGCGTATTCAATGCCTTCATAGCAAAAACGACTGATGAGGTAAACCAATCCTCACAAACACTCTTCTGGAAGGCAGCAATGGAAATTGGTGTGTCCTGACCACCCGTCTGCATGCTCAAAGTAGAGGCAGGTCGCTTAAAGCCAGCAAACATGCCTTTAAGATTTGGCTCTACAGAATAAGCTGATGATAGATTGTCCTTGAACTTCTACTTGAGACAAATATTTCTACAGCAAAAAGCTCACAATCATTTGCAACTGTTTGCAATCAAACGCATTCACGCACACACAAGGAATTGCATATGAAAGTGTAAGTGCAAGCATGAAGAACGATATTGAGAAGGCAAGTGTTGCACATGTTCGAAGGATGACAAGACATCTTTTTACCTGCCAGAGCACACAAGTTGTGTAGCCTATATTGTACAAAGAGAGGCTGCTGCATACTGTCAACATACCAATGAATTAAGAAAATGAAGCGGCCGAACGGTCACCTGTGCATGAAGGTTGCGGCCTCTGCGTCTGCCTCAAAGTCAACCTCCTCTGCATCTGGTGGGCTCTGGGAAGCTTCTTGTAAAGCCATCTCTGCATCCTGAGCTTGTATCTCCAGATCTGCAGGCAGCGCTGGCTTGGAACTCTGGGAATCTTCTGGTGCAACCATCTCTGCATCCCCAATCTGTGTCTCCACATCTTCATGTACAGAAGTTTTTGCACGTAGACGACGGTCTGGGATCACGAAGCTTCCACGGCGACGACCTGAGGGTTGTGTGCCTATCTTTGGCACAGGCACTGGGACAAAGACCTTTGGAGAATCTTCATCTCCAGTAGATGAGCCCTGAGAAGCAGTGAGATGCTTGGCATGACCAAACAAGAGCTTGTCCTGGAGTTTGTCATTGACCTGCTGGATATACTGCTGGACATTCTCACACTCCGTCATGTGCGCAACACCTTCTTCGACCATGCGTTCTTCCTTCAGCACATCTGCATCAAAGGTCGGCCCAGTCTCGAAGGTACCACCTTTGTACTTTCCATACAAAGGCTTGTCTCTATCACTCAGCAGATCTTGATGAAGACCATCCATGTCAATCCGATGAACGATAGCATTCCTTTGTTCACTAGGAAGACGAAGATAGAGAGCTTGGTTGCCAAAGAGGAAGACAATGGAACGCTTCAGAACTGCCAGGACATCCTTCTCCTTATCTCCTGCAAAGATGTCGCTGAGCAGGCTGAAGAAATCTTGTTCAGAGATGGTGGAAGCCTCTGATTTGCTCTCAAATCTTTCCTCAGGTAGATCATTGGAAGCAAATGCCCTAACTTGATTGCGTACAAGACGGGTATCATTGTACCGGGAGTCCACAGTGCCATCTTCATCTGAGGTCAAGAAGCTTTTGATGTCTGCTATGCTGACCTTTGCACGGGATGGGTCATCCAAGAAGAGAGCCTCATGCACAACTGGCGCACGATGTCGAAAGTTGTCCAATGACTTTGCACGTCGCCATCCTGCCTGCAGCCCGTCGCAGCCACTTCTGCGAACATGGTATCTCCCCAGTGCCATGGCCATGATGATCACAAATGGAGTCTTGCCAACACCAGGACAACCGAGTAGCATCACGCCAAAGTTGAGGAGTAACGGGTAGAGATAAGGCAGCAGGAAGTCGGACAGAAATGGTTTCAGGCTGAATGTCGTCAGTGGAAAGGGGGATGCCCTGTCTCAGCCAAGCCCTTGCTCTTGTTTTGAGCCATATTTCGGACCTTCGCTTCTGGCCAGCCAGCAATTGGGGTGCCGGAGTCTGTCTTGATGTTGATCAGAATCCAGAGCGTCTGCTCATTGCGGGCATCGCACTCAGGGGCATGGGAATTGATGAAGGCAACCCCTTCTTCGAGTTCAATGTTGGGTGGGTTCCATTTGTCTTTGGAAGTTGTACTTGACATAGCTTGCTTCTCCTCAAGTGTATGCCAACGAACTTGGTAGCCACCCAAACGTGGAAGCAAATATTGTATGCCCTTCTTGATATTCCATGGTCCTGCCCTGAAGACTGGGACAAATGCATCTCCACTGCACATAGAATTTGCAGCCTGAAAGGTCACTGGCCGAGGAAGGTACAGAACCTTCAAGATGCTGACCTGACCACCACCAAGATCGTAGTAGAGCAGGTCCACCTTGGAATCGGTAGGCAGAGGAACTTTGAAGGCAATTGCAGCAGGTAGGTCGGCATGCTTGCCCTTGGCCACAAGTTCACCCAGTTGAGCAGCATCTCCACAGGAAGGAATGTTCAAATGAACATCGAAGAGAAGCTGGATGGATTTGATGCCTTTGGACAAGGGTCGGCATGCCTCAGTGGTGAAAGTTCCATATGGAATCGGATCGGAGCACTCAGTGTGTCCACATGAAGGGGCATCCAAGGCCACCAATTGCTTCTTGTCAACCGCTGCAATGGCAGTGTCCATCAGGGCACCAGACATGGTCAATGAAAGGATCCAAAAAAACAGGATGGCAAAGGCTAACTAGTTTGAGAGAACTTGAGCCATGACACGAACAGTGGCATTTATACCTTGAGGCATGACACAGAGAGTTGCATGTGTGAGGCCAATGAATGAACAGCAACACATTCTTCAGACGCAACTTTATCAGCCAGAGATATACCGGTTTCTTCAAAACAAAACGGCTATCCTCAATAATTCAGAAACCAGCAATGCTTGGACATAAGAATGATATGTAACAACTACATGTTGCAAAGCAGCTCTACATTTTGCCCATCAAGCCATGTCAGCATGTTCAGCGGCCATCCGCTTGCATGGCACGAAGCTTCGCATGCAATGCCAAGTTTTCCTTCTTGAGTTCCACGTTCTGCATAGTCAAGCGGTCGCAATCATCCTCAATGCGTTGGTGATAGCCGACTGCATCCGAGAGTTCACCGACCAGGCGTCGCAAATAGGTCTTGGAAGTGCTTGCGGATGGGCACGATGATGCTGACCCCTGCGAAGCCACCGAAGGGGATCGACCACGTCCAACATACTGAGAGGATTTAGAGGCCTTGGAGCTTTTGGAGGTCTTGGAGGTCTTCGATCCTTTGTCTGAGGCATTTGAAGCCTTGGATTTGACAGACTTTTTGGATGCCTTGGATGTCCCCGATGACGATGAGCTCGAAGAGGATGATGAAGATGATTTGGAGCTTCCTTTCGAAGAGGATGTCTTCTTGGGTGGTGACTGGGGCTGACCTTGCAAAGCATCTGACTCTTCATGTGGTTGACCTTGCAAAGCATCTGACTCTTCATGTGGTTTGTCCGTGATGGCCAACTGCTGCTTCTTCTTTGGTGGTACCTCATCTTCTTTTGGTGGGGTGAAGCCTCGCTTTGGCCTTGCCAGGAGGCTTCGCAGGCGCTCGTTGGCCTCTTCGGACCATAAGCCTGTTCTAAGCCCGGTAGGAAGACGTAGTTGCTTTTGAACAGTCACCATCGCTTGGGTCATTGTATCTCTTGTGATAGGTCGTCTTGAAGAATGGATCTCCCAGGTCGCCACCATCTCAGGATTTGGCGTCGGCGGTGCAGCCCGAGGAGGAGCGGCAGCATTCATCTGCACAAGCGGTGAGAGGGAGATCATAGCCTCACCATTCTGCGTCAATGCTACTTTTCCTTGCACGGCAAGCTCCATGGTGCTTTTGGCCGAAACAGTTTTTTTTCCAACTAATGATCCTTTTTATGAAAATGGCTGCAGACATAGAAGCAAGTCTCCAAGAATGGCAAGACCAAAATCAAGCAGAATAACTCTCAAGAAGCCCGGCTGCAACCCAGGTGCCTGAGAAGCTCGTGCGCATATAGGTGTGATGTCGCAGCATTCCTGGGCTGAGACGTGGCAGACAAGACATTTAGTGTTTTGAGGTGGATAGGCATGGCAAGTTTTTTTTTCTATGGGTGGTAGCAGAAAAGATATGCATGAAGAATGAACCAATATGCACATTGTATGTCTCTCAAGTAGCCCGGGTGCAACCCAGGTGCCTGAGAAGCTCGTGCGCATATAGGTGTGATGTCGCAGCATTCCTGGGCTGAGACGTGGCAGACAAGACATTCAGTGTTTTGAGCTGGATAGCCATGCTTTTTTTTTTATATGGGCGGCGGCAGACAAGATATGCACATTTTATGTTCAGAACTTTGCAAACTTTGCAAAGCTTTCTGGATTCAAGATTCAAGATTCTAGGAGAAACTTTTTGAATCCAGCTTCTCTCTAGACTTGACTCCTGGATTCAAGATTCAAGATTCTAGGAGAAACTTTTTGAATCCAGATCCTCCTGGATTCAAGATTCAAGATTCTAGGAGAAACTTTTTGAATCCAGATCCCCCTTCTCGACTTACATCTCCTGGATTCAAGATTCAAGATTCTGAGGGAAACTTTTTGAATCCCAAGCCTCCTGGATTCAAGATTCAAGATTCTAGGAGAAACTTTTTGAATCCAAATCCCCCTTCTCGACTTACATCTCCTGGATTCAAGATTCAAGATTCAAGATTCTGAGGGAAACTTTTTGAATCCCAAGCCTCCTGGATTCAAGATTCAAGATTCTAGGAGAAACTTTTTGAATCAGAATCATCCTTTCAGACTTCCCTCATCCAGACCCAAGGCTTGGGATTCAAAAAGTTTCCCTCAGAATCTTGAATCTTGAATCCAGAAAACTTTGCAAAGTTTTCTGTATCCAAGATTTGAGAATTGTGGTATTTTTATTTTTTATATATATATATATATTAAAATGTGTACATGTCTGCATGGGCACTGGGGAATTAAATGAATCAAAGCATATAAACTGTGGTATTTATATATATATATATTAAAATGTGTACATGTCTGCATGGGCACTGGGGAATTAAATGAATCAAAGCATATAAACAAACCAGTTCCAGGGGGCACGGTTATTCCCCAGTACCCATATATATATATATTTATGTATGAGTTATTTATTCATGTTAATGTATATCTCCAATTGATCCCACAATGGATTGTTTGGGTCGACATCTTTTGATAGAGACGACTACAGTGCCTAACCTCTCAGCAAATGACCATTCCCCCTCATAAACGGCACCTGCCAGATCAAAGAAAAAAATCAATGCTCAAAGATATATATATATATATATACATATTATACATATCATACGACTGTAAATGTATATATATATATATATATATGAGTCCCTTCCCCCGAATATTAAATACCACCAACAAACAATTGCTTAATAATGTTTAACATGATTTACACACATTTGGAACCATTTGGGGGTGTTATTTTTTTAGGAAGATGGGATTGTGGCGTCACAAATCAAACCATCTCACAGTTTTCAATGAGCTTTGCCCAAAAGATTGAACATTGAGCAGCAACTTATGAAGTGTTTCCATGGCTTTTTCAGAGTCGGGATCTTCATCATTCCTAGTGTCTCAATTAGAGGGCGGCCTAAAAATGCTTTCCTTGGCTTCGCGTGGCCTGAAAATCCAGCACCCCCATGGTCATCATGGCTGATCTTTACTTTGCCAACATGGTCATCTGGGGCATTCCTCCAAGTCGCCCGGTGCCATATCTACCTGCGCAGGATTTTGATCCACCAAAAAAAGGCTGATCTATATAGGGGAAATCATAGAGCGCGGACACAGGAACTTGATGAAATTGAATCTGCCAACAATATTATCCAACATTATCCAACAATGATTGGGATGCAAACAGATGTGAGCCCGCTGAGGCCTGGTATGATCTCAGTATTTTTGGATATTCGCAATCCAAAAATTAATAATGTACCATCTCACAGTTTTATGCTCAGGCACATCGACAGGAAACTTTCACGAACGGATTAGAAGGGATGGTGGCTCTCAAACATATCTGAAAAAAACATGGGCGATGTTCAAAATCACCAAAATGTATCAACACGTGAGGTAAAAACAAATCCCAAAGGTTATATCATGTATAATCATTGTGTGTCTGGAACTTTCATGGTGCTTCAATCTTCCTGCCACAAGATGTGGGAAAAACACCTGAAACTTCCCAGTTTCATCCTGACCCAGCTCCGTGGGGCCCTTGGCTGCCCCTTGGGCCACTAGGAACCCACCACGGAAGCCTCGCCGTCCATTTGTCCCAGCTCTTTACATTTCTGCAAGATGTCCTGTGTCGAAGAAATTCTGTAGATGGAGATAACACCGGAAAAAAATCTGGGTGTTGTGGGTTGTGCCCAGAAAAATAATCTCTATTCACATAAATATCAATATAAACATAAATCTAAAAGAACAATTCACGTACATATCAATACAACTATATTGGGATATCCCTTTTTGCACTAACAATGGGCACCAGCAGAGGGCACCAAAATAGCACCAACAAATATGGCAAAAATTGGTGTGCCTCCAAATGAACATGCCCAAGACTGAAGGTACTGACAAGTTCTCCTCTACATCTTGGAGTTGTACCAGTAAAATACTGTAGCTGCTTACATGTTCATCCAACTCCAAAAAAAGTAGTTGTAGGCTATAGGCTATAGGATATAATTTGGATAAAACAATAATGAACAATCCCCCAAATCACCAAAAATAGGTGGTATAAACCATTCCCACATGGGTGGTTTATGACATTGTTTTACCCACATTATGGCTATAGGTATTGATCCATAGCCTTCCAGAGTACATGGATCACGCCTCCAGACGCTTGTCTTCCAACCAAAATTCCATGGCGAGACTTGCAAAGTCCTTGGCTTCAAAGATTTCATAGCAGAATCCCCAGTGGAAATCATTTTTTTTTTGTTTGGACAGCATTGGTGATATGATGTCATCTGGAAACATGGGAATTACATTAGTGGCTACCTTGTCTATGGTTTCGGGTGGGGGTCTTGCTTTGTGCCTCGGTGAGTTTCTACTCAACTAAGATACTCACTCTCACCATTCAAAAATAACATGTTTGCAGACATGGATCTAAATCAAGTTCTGGTTGGTGGTTTCAACCCCTCTGAAACATATGAAAGTCAGTTGGGATGATTATTCCCAATATATAGAAAGTCATAAAAAATCATGTTCCAAACTTTCCAAACCACCAACCAGAGTTAAATTACCCAACCCAAATTTGGGAAACCCGATGTTACAGCCATCCCACCCAAAGCATACCAACCCCGTCACCTCCAGCCGAGTGTCTGAAGTGTGTTCCCATCTGTCATAGAAGTCCTTGCATCTCCCCAGTCGGCAGGCACTAGAAACTACGGGGCAGCCCCGGCTGAAACCTTACATGGAACCAACAAAAGTTGGAATTTGGCAGATGATATTTGGATATATTTGGGCTATTAGATGTGTTTGTTTTTGACCATGCTAAAACTTTTGGTACTAAGGGGCCTTGCCCCCTTGAGATTTTCACCTACCTTTTGTTCAACGTTTCTGCGGTGTTTGGAGGTGTACTGATCCACTGATCTCTCCCGATTTCTGTTGTTGATCAGTTTCTTACTCTGCCCAATTTTCGTGGCCATGCTGATTATACCATCCCCTCAACACCCTGAGAAGCTTCTTTTTTCATCCCCTCAACATCAACCGAGACAATCAATCATGTTTGTTTTCTTTAAAGGAGTCTATTCTCACTATTAGACAATCACTATTCTCACTTTTCCAAGACACTGACTATTATCACTTAGAAAAGAGATAAGCATAGTCCATGGGGTTGGTAAATGTCCTAATGTTTCACATCACCCAAATATTGGGGATATCATCTCCAACAGAAACGTTTTCAAGTGATGTTCAACATCCCCAAAATGGGACATTTACCAAATGATATATGGCTATATCATTATATATATTATGACTATAGACAATCACTTAGACAATCACTTAGACAATCACATAGACACTCACTATTTTCACTTATCATTATATATCAACACTATATATCATCACTATAGTTTAAGTCTTCCACCCCCCCAACTCATGGCACGGTCGTGGCAGGCCGTCCTTGGCAGAACTCGCCTGGCGTTGCCATCAGCGCAAGCTGCGTGTGGATTGTGGCTATTTATGGGTCATTTCCTGATTTAAACTGCAGGGCGTGTACTCTGGGGTTTAAATATGTTCTTATATTTATATAATAATATGTATATGTATATATAAATATATAATCGAACTAATCTATATATATATATATTATAGTTATAATAATATATAAAATAATAACACTAATAATAATCAATAATAATAATGATAATAATTAATAATAAATAAAAAATAATAATAATAATAATATATGTGGCAGGGACCTTTGGGGTCTATTTCGTTCCTCATATACATATATATATATATTATCATTTAATGTATATAGTATGTGTATATATATATACACATGATCATACATGTTTTGTCTTGACATCTCACTCTGTTTTTGTCGTTTTCGGTTGCTAGTTTCAACCCATCCGAACATCTCCGAAAGGTCATGAAAGGATCCGCATCCAATGTTTGGGGTTGGAAAACAAAGAGTGGTTGAAACCAACAGCACTCCACAAAGTGATTGAATTGCGAAAAGTCGCCATGCATAAGGCTATCGAGAAATGATGGATAATAATCTTAGTCTCTCGTCTCAAGAAAATTATAAACGACTATATCTATGTCCTGTTCATGGTCATTATGAATGCGCCATGGTCAAATCATGGTTATCCCAACATTATTGTCAATCCATATGTTGGTCATTATAAAGTTTATAGATCCCAATTCATATGATCATCCCCTATGTAAAACTCACCCATCTTTTGACCATGGCATGGCTAAGGCAGACTTGCTTCGATGGATGTCCACCACCATGAGTTTTTCGGAACTCACCACTGACAGAACTACCCTGGCGACGGGATACGGTCCTTCTATTCCGGTTTCTTTTAATGGATACTCTCATATTGGCCAACGATGTCCATATTCTCTCTGATATGATATGGATTGAGGTGGTCAGTACGTGAGTATGTGCCCATGTTTGTTGGGATACCCTGGGTTTATTGGGTCAATCAGCATGTTCAACCAAATGTCCACATTTGTCAATTGATATCCGCAGAGTGTAGACAACCTTAGATCCCAAAAGTGTTCATCATCCAACCATCTATCTTGACAAAACCTAGCTAAAATAAAGAATACCCTAACTACTCATCTGCCCTCAAACTTCTTTGATTCAGTTTGTTCACCTATATGGATATCAACATTGACGTAGCTGAATTCTAGCAGTTGACACTATATCACTCCCTGACACCTGTGATTTTGAGAGGTTCCCTCACCATCGTGAGGGCCTGGATCATCAAACTGTTCCGAGATTCTTCACCAAAGCAATTGAAAGCACCTATTGAATTCATCATTCCCAAAATTGTCTGTGGGATTTTTAGCCAAGACATGCCAAATCCAAACATGTCCAGAAGTTGTTCTAGATTATTCACCAAAAAAAAAAATAGAACTTGTCCATGGATCCATATTGCCAACAAAATACAACTTGTCCATGGATCCATATTGCCTCTCAACAGACGATGAACTGGTGATCATCCCCTATTTTTGGGGGGACCGGCATGCAAAACTCAAATCACCATCGGGCCATTGGTTAATAATATGGTTGGTGATAAATCTCATTGTATTCCATTATGTCACCAATTCTATCACCATCATATCCATTGTTGCTACCCATTTGGGTGGTACATCGACTATTTTTAGTATATACCCTCTGGTAATTTAACATAGCTATTGAAAACGATCATTTATAGTTCATTTACCTATTATAAATGGTGATTTTCCAGTTCGCAAACTGTTAGTGTACCAGAGGGTAACAAAATCCATCAAAACCCCAACATCCGTTATACGTAGCATGATTGTGATTATCGTTACAGTATAATTGTCAAGTTATACATATTACCATTAGAATCATTAGAAGTACCATAATACCATCGCAAATACTATGAAATCCTCTAATTCTTTGTTTCCCTACATGTTCACCATCCCAAATTCCATTTCTTAGTTTTCAAAATCATTCCATCCCATTTAATTAGAGATTTTTAGAGTTACTAATTATTTTTTCAATCCTTTTCTGCCCCCCAAAAAAACTCCATCCACTGGTCCAAACGTCCACCCTTCACCTGCAGGCGATGCCAGCGTTGTCTCAAGCTCTGGCGCCGCTCCGGCGACATCTCGTCCATCTGGCGGCTTGATGGAAACCAATTGTTGACGATACCCTCTGGTAAACTAACGTAGCTATAGAAAATCACCATTATGAATGGGTAAATCCACTATAAATGGCCATTTTCAATAGCTACGTTAAATTACCAGAGGGTAGTTGGGTAATATCCCATGATACTTGGTAAATGTTGGGATGATTATTTTTCATGGTAGTTATAACATGTTATAATGGACTAATTCACCAGGTAAATCAACAATGGTGAAAAATCACCATAAAATCACTCGTTTAACTCCAATAAAACCAACAAGAAACCAGCATTAGACAATGGCTAAAATCCCGACCTGGTTGGTGGTTTCAACCCCTCTGAAAAATATGAAAGTCAGTTGGGATGATTATCCCATATATTATGGAAAATAAAAAATGTTTGAAACCACTAACCAGCTCATATATTGGGCGTTCCATAGTCATGGGGGTACCCCATAATTTTAATGAGATCGATATCTATGTGTATAATATATATAATTATATATATATACTAGGATGATGGAAACTGCTCTTAAAATCTGGATGATTTAAGGGGTACCCCCATGACTATGGAAACCTCCAGATGTGGATGAAAAAAATCCCGTACCGAGATGGGAAGAAAAAAACATGATACTCCAATGATTTAAGGCTGTGTCATAGCTATATAGTTTCCACCTAGTGCAAGGTTTCTTCATGTTTCTTCCATTATACAGTAGATCAGTAGATGTGGAAAACCCAAGGGTTCCCCGTCGGAATATCATCTAGAAATGCTTGAGAAACTCAATGTAATCAAACGCGGCTGGCTGAAAAATCACTCATAAAATGTTTTTTTCAAGAGTTTTCAATGGGAAAGTCATTGATTTTTCATAGGGATTTTCAACCGTTGGATTTCCAGAGGTTACCATGAAATTTTTGGTCCCTCAAAAATTGAACCCAGAAACCATGATGCATGGAGGTGTGATGGGGGAATAGGATTGTCAACTATGAAAAACACAGGAAAACAATGATTACACTTGATGCAAATCAATTGTGTATGTCGAATGATCGAACAATAGTGGCTAAAAATGCTGTTTTACGTGGTCCGACCATCCAAAAAATGTTGGTTTTGAGTCAGAACTATATAGTTAGGTTGTTTTTTTTTGTCATCAACAATGGTGTTTCATGGTGTTTCCATATATTTTTCTGGAACATTTATGATGATTAACCATATTTTCCACATGTTTTTCCATATTTTACCCCATGGTTTCCATGGTTGGTTTCCACATTTTATGAATCCTCAGCCGAGCACACCATCTGGCTGATCCACTTGGCATCAGGGTGTCGTAACCAGGCCTTAAGAGGCGCCATGTCATGCAGGGACCAGAACATGAAAAAAAAATTGCTGTTCTACACTCTGGTAAACTAACATAGCTATTGAAAATGGCCATTTATAGTGAGTTTACCCATTAAAAATGGTGTTTTTCCATAGTTATGTTAATTTACCAGAGGGTAATGATTCTAAAACATTGAAATAAACCATAAAAATATGTCAACATATCTGAAGTTTGCCCATTCTATTGTATCAACGTGTTGAAGGTGTCCCAAGATTTTCAGGGTAAAACCATCAAATTTTTCAGCTTGTTTCAAGATGTTCAGCTCCCGAAACCACTGGGAACCCAGGCGTCAGTGCAGTTTGCTGCTTCTTTGGCCTCCTAGTGAGACATCAAGGGATCTAAACTGATGAAATACAGGACTTGAGTATGGAAAGTGGGAAGTTGACCAGTAAAAGGTGGATGAGTGGAACATTGGGACTTCTACTTTACACCAAAAAAAAAGGTGAGAAGGAAATCCTTCATCATGTTCCTCCATAAATGGCATGGTGTCGCCGCCAGGATAGGGGCCCCGTTGCGCCTTCTCCAAGAGCTGCAGCAGGTCACCTTGGTCCTTCACGACGCGCAGAGCTGCCGCCTGAAATCGGCAGGACTTAAATCACGGTTTATCTATTTTTTTGAATGTCAGAATCAGGATATCTGTCTATCTATCTATCTAGATGGATAGATAGAGTAGAATAGAATAGAATAGAGTAGAATAGAACAGAATAGAGAATAGAGAATAGAGAATAGAGAATAGAGAATATAGAATATAGAATATCGAATATAGAATATAGAATATAGAATATCGAATAGAATAGAATAGAATGGAATGGAATGGAATGGAATGGAATAGAATAGAATAGATAGATAGAGATAGGATAGGATAGAATAGGATAGAATAGAATAGAACAGCTTAGAATAGAACAGAATAGAATAGAATAGAAGAGAAGAGAAGAGAAGGATAGATGGATAGATGGATAAATGGATAGATTAGATTAGGTTAGATTAGGTTAGATTAGGTTAGATTAGGTTAGATTAGATTAGATTAGATTAGATTGGATGGATGGATGGATGGATATCTATCCATCTATCCACCAATCCATCTATCTATCCTATCCTGTCCTATCAATCTATCTATCCTATCCTGTCCTATCCATCTATCTATCTATCTCTATCCATCTATCCATCTATCTATCCTATCCATCCATCTATCTATCTCTATCCATCTATCCATCTATCCATCTATCCATCTATCCATCCATCCATCTATCCATCTATCCTATTTATCTATTTGTTAATCTATCTATCTATCTGTCTAGTTCTATCTATTTCTATCTATTTCTATCTATTTCTATCTATTTCTACCTATTTCTATCCATTTCTATCCATTTCTATCCATTTCTATCCATTCCTATCCATTTCTATCCATCTATCCATCTATCCACCTAATGTTTGCACCCGATTAGTGTCATGGTACCCTATTGTGAGAAATTTCTTGCTCCTAATTCAGTAACATGCTGTTTGTGGGGGGGGGCCTCTATTGAAAGTAAATTGAAATCAATTGAAAGTAAATTAAAAGTAAATTGAAATCAATTAAAAGTAAATTGACATCAGTTGAAAGTAAATTGAAATCCTTACTTAAGTTGATTAACCAACAAATTGTTGGGGGGGTGGGAAAAAGTGCGAGTTAGAGAGTATCCTCAAATTGTTTTGGGGGGGGCTCACACTAATCAGCAGCAAACATTATCCACCTATCTACCTATCTACCTATTTTCCTATCTACCTATCTACCTATCTACCTACGTATCTACCTATCTACCTACCTATCTACCTATCTACCTATCTACCTACCTACCTACCTACCTATCTATCTATCTAGCTAGCTAGCTAGCTGGCTATCTATCTATCTATCTATCTATCTATCTATTCTGTAAATTTATCTATTCTGTAAATTTATCTATTCTGTAAATCTACCTCCATCATTCTACATGGGCGTGTCTGAGCACCACAAAATTGCATTTTTAGTGACAATTGGTGACTATAAATAGCCATCAAATTTTGGGGTACTGTAGCCTATTTTCAGACTGCACAGGCAAACCCACATATATATATATAAATAATTAACTAAATAGATATATATTATACTTATTTGTAGAATAGGAATTGAAAGTGATAGCATGTCATGGCATGCTCCCCTGCCCTTCCATGCCACCCTGAATGCTTGGATGGCTTGTTTGCCGAGGATAGTCTCAACGGTTGGTCGTTTTCACTATGAAAAAAACGATCCCTGCGAGCTTTGCAAACATGGTATCCCACCAGCACATGGTATATATATATATATACTATATATATACTATATATATATACTATATATATATACTATATATATACTATATATATACTATATATATATACATACTATATATATATATACTATATATATATACTATATATATACTATATATATACTATATATATATACTATATATATACTATATATATACTATATATATATATACTATATATATAATATATATACTATATATATATACTATATATATACTATATATATACTATATATATACTATATATATATATACTATATATATACTACATATATATACTATATATATACTACATATATATACTATATATATACTACATATATATACTACATATATATACTATATATATACTACATATATATACTATATATATACTACATATATATACTATATATATATACTACATATATATACTATATATATACTATATATATACTATATATATACTATATATATATACTACATATATATACTATATATATACTACATATATATACTATATATATACTACATATATATACTATATATATATACTACATATATATACTATATATATATACTACATATATATACTATATATATACTACATATATATACTATATATATATACTACATATATATACTATATATATATATGCTACATATATATATATACTATATATATACTACATATATATACTATATATATATACTACATATATATATATACTATATATATATACTACATATATATACTATATATATATATATACTACATATATATATACTATATATATATACTACATATATATACTATATATATATACTACATATATATACTATATATATATACTACATATATATACTATATATATATATATTTACTACATATATATACTATATATATATACTACATATATATATACTACATATATATACTATATATATACTACATATATATACTATATATATATACTACATATATATACTATATATATACTACATATATATACTATATATATATATACTACATATATATACTATATATATATATATATTTACTACATATATATACTATATATATAAATATACTACATATATATACTATATATATATATATATCCACATTGTATCCATATAGAATTGATGAATCTCTCCCATCATTGTATCCCCCTGCATAGTCAAAAACATCCAGCTACCTCGATGGATACCTGGAGGAGACCCGCAAGAAATAGATTCATATGAGCTACCTCCAAAACTCGATTGCCATATGCAAAACATATCCCTAATCGAAGATCTATGCAAAAAATGGAATAAACTGGAATATCTATTCTAATTGCCCTTCAAAATGAAAGGAAGCTTTACAATATCCCAAAAACATAGACCAAAAAGTGGTGGTAACCCCGGTTTTCATCCCCGTCTCTGGCGCCAAGGCTCTGGGGTCTGGCGGAACTGCACCGTCAGCTCCCCTGGTCCAGGCCAGGTTGGACTTGCAGTAAACACGGCATATTCATTGGCGTATTCATGGTATTCAGATTCATGGTCTGGTTGGTGCTTTCCCTCTGAAAAATATGAAAGTCAGTTGGGATGATTAAATTATTCCCAACATATGGAAAAATAAAAATGTTCCAAACCACCAATCAGTGGTAATATGGGAATATGATGGGAATACTTTACGAATTTTCATGGGAATACAAACATATGACAATGGTACATATGACAATTGTAATACTAACATTATGCAGTAAACACAACTTATTCATGGGAATATGATGGAATGGAATTGATATAACATGATATAACCAACTATAATCAAAAGCTGGATGTACCATGATAAACCCATCTTGCGGCGATTGGACTAATCAACCCATGTTGCTGTTGATACAGCTCCTCACCGCAGAAAAAACGCCTGCAGCTTCCGCACTACGCCTTGCCGACGTTTTGGATTGGGTATGAAATTATGGGGCGCAGACGGAACCAAACATATTCTGATGGCTTTCGATATACTTGATATGTTTATGTAAATTTTAGATTATCTTGAATATTATTATCTCTGAGAAGGATCAAATGCGTACATCAACTTCACACAATTTGGTCTTCTTTTTGACTTTCGTAGTGCTACAATCTTCTCGGATTTTGCTCACTGTTGGGACTTTGAGATGTTTAAACCACAAGCAAACCAAGAGTTTTGTCCAAAGTAAGGTGGCTTTTTAGAGATCCAAGCCTACCGTTGGCGACCCCGCAGATCATAGATGGTTCACACGTGGGAATTCCGCCAGGAAGGCCCTAGGTGCAATTTGTTGTATGTTACCCATCTAGTCGTATGATATATGATATCCATCAATATTGTACTGGTTGGTGGTATACCCACCCCTCTGAAAAATATGAGTTCGTCAAATGGGAGTATTATTCCCAACTGAATGGAAGCATAACAAATGTTCCAAACCACCAACCAGTATACATATATATATATAATTATATACACATTATATACCATATGGAAGTCTATAACCAGCATACATTTTACTTCGCCGAGTTTTGAGTTAGGAGCACCAACTTACCACATGGGGCACCTGTCAGCTGTAAGATACCAAGAAAAAACAATGCATTCTGAGCCATGGTGGTGGTGATGTTTGTTGGTTTCAAAACCCCATTAAGCATATAGTCAATTGCAATTTCAGGAACCTAAATTAGAGGTACCTACCATATATAAAGCCTATATAAGGCCGATGTGAGGGAATATCCCCAGAAAATATGGCCGTATATGGTACAGTACCTACATTTTAGGATCCTGAAATTCCCATTGATATAGGTTTAAGTACCATAAAACCCTCGCTAGATCTAGTTAGAAACCAACTTAGCAAAGTAGGGGGGCACCACCTTGAAGGAATATTTCAGGTACCTAAATCAGAGGTACTGATCTGGGTAAGGTCTATGGCCTGAAATTCAGGGACTATCCAAACAAAGCGTGGCAATGTGGTACGGTACAGTACCTCTATTTTAGAATCCTGAATTCCCATGAATTCCCATTGACAATTGTTTCTACAGTATGGGTCCAAATTTGCTTCAAACTTGGATCATGCCGAAATCAGTCGAAATCTGTCAACCTCCCCAATTCTTGAAAGTGATGAACTGCCAAAAACATGGACCCATGTTTGACCCCAAGCCTATATGATTTATATGGACGTATACTATCTTTGATCTTGATGATTGTTTAAAACTTACACCAACATTTACCAAACATTACCAACCTTCAGATGTCGCATAGATTCTCTCGTTCCACTGATTCAGAACTTCGGCTTTTCGCCAGGGCGCAAGCGAACCACCGGCTGGATATGGTTCAAGTCCAAAGGTAGCTCTCGCTTGGCCTCTCCGGCGATGTCCCCGGCTGGTGCGATGGTTTGGCTGGATATAAATCGGGATGTAGCTCGTATTCCCATCTTTCATTCATATTATGATGAATGTGTGTATCTCATAGTTATTATATTATCATAAAATCTTATAATAGGATACATGTATATTGTATACATGGAGAACGCGTGATGTCGCGCTATGGATATACCTCCTTCTAGGGGTTCGTCTTGTACTTGTGTACTTAAAGCATGACTTTTTTCTACTTAGCTACTTATCCAAAAACTAAGTAGATAAGTAATAAGAAGTAAGAATAACTAGAAATATTTTTTTGGGTTGATTTTGGTGTTGTGGCGTGCTTATCGTTTTTTTTCATTTTTTTGAGGTGGTCAGTTGCAGCTAAACGCAAGTATCACACCTTTTTTTGCTTTTGTGGATGGCTGTCAGAAATGGAGGAGTGAAACAATTGTCGCGCTTCCTTTGCGCTCATTTCGAAAAAACTTGCATGAACACTGCTAGTAGCGTCAGCCAAAGGAATGACCCACCAAGCTGTGCTGTCATCTTCCTGCTGCCACTGGGAGAAGCCCGCAGCTTTGTGTTCGATGCATTGCAGTAGATTGCCAAGGAAAATCATTACCGTACAACAAATCATGCAAATTCCTTATTTCGAGTTATCCCCACCATGACATCTATACGTTTTGTTACTGGCATATCTTCTGGCATTCTATCTGACATATCTTCTGGCATTTTATCTGGCATATCTTCTGGCATTCTATCTGGCATATCTTCTGGCATTCTACCTGGCATATCTTCTGCAATATGTTCTGGCATATCTTCTGGCACTCTATCTGGCATATCTTCTGGCATATCTTCTGGCATTCTATCTGGCAAATCTTCTGGCATATGTTCTGGCAAACATTCTGGCACTTTATCTGGCATACCTTCTGGCATTATATCTGGCATATCTTCTGGCATTCTATCTGGCAAATCTTCTGGCGTTCTATCTGGCAAACATTCTGGCACTTTATCTGGCATACCTTCTGGCATTCCATCTGACATTCTATCTGGCATACCTTCTGGCATTCTATCTGGCATATCTTCTGGCATTCTATCTGGCAAACATTCTGGCACTCTATCTGGCATATCTTCTGGCATGGCGTTCTATCTGGCATATCTTCTGGCATTCTATCTGGCCGTTCAGGGCCAGCGGTGGTTATTGAGCTCGGAGGGTCTTAGGTTGAGGTCCAGCGGTGCTCACTGAGCTCGGACGGTCCCAGGTTGAGGTCCAGCGGTGCTCACTGAGCTCGGAGGGTCCCAGGTTGAGGTCCAGCGGTGCTCACTGAGCTCGGAAGGTGAGGTCCAGCGGTGCCCAGTGCGCTCAGACCCTTGCAGTTGAGGTCCAGCAGTGCCCACTGCGTGCGGAAGTTGGCGAAGAGCTTGGCGAAGAGTTGGCAAGGCGGAAGTGAACATGGAAGTGGAGGCAGAGGTGGTGGAGGAGAAGGAGGAGGAGGAGAAGGAGAAGAACAACTCTGATAAAATCTAACAACCCTCACCTGGCAGGTGGAGAAAAACACCAAAACGCGTATGTTTTGCGAACATTATCTATAGTGTAGATGCGCGAGATGTGACACGCGGATGTCCGCCAGTGTCCGCCGTTGTCCGCGGCTATGCACCCCGGCATGGATGTCCGCGGCTTCTACAATTGCAATTTAAATATGAATGGCTTCAGTTGTCCACGGCTCCGGAGCAGAAACGTATAAATCCCGTATGGAATGAGTTCATCCAGCATTTGTTCCGTTGCAGCGACGGCCGTCTGGAGCCAGGATGCCTCTGGTAAGGTCTTCGTGGGATCCAGGCGGAGCCACGCGTCCTTAAGACGGAGAAGATCACGCCTCATTCTCTGCACCGCGCCATATTGGTAGGATCCCACGGCTGCGTGATACCTTGGCCAGGAATCTCCGAAGTCTGGGGTTCCCACACGGATGGTGTTCAAACCCTGCCACTTCAAACCCTATCACAATTGCAGCTCAGCAACCAAAACCTTGCTGAAATTGCTAGGCCTTGAAGCCACCACAGCGACATGCCAAAGGGATGCGCGTGAGGAACCAACATCATATGAGGAACTCACACTCTGCATTTCTGTGAATTGGAACTCCCATCTCTGTGAATTCTTTGACCTGCTCACCTATGTGGTGTCGTATTGGAGCTCTGGGCCAGCAAACCTCAGTGGTCGATTCAAGCCGCCGATTTCGCACAGGAGATGGACCCAATGTCCATGGTCTCTTCATCGTACCACTGGCACCTTGTTCGTGAAATATCGTGATCACTGAATCAACATGATTCAACATCTTTGGTGATTCAAAGCACAGTAAGCACAGTACACCAAACAGAAAAGGAACTAGCGACTAGTCGTGGCAGACATGGCCGGATGAGGGACCGCCAGTAGGTTCCCACAGTGCAGATCCATGCAGAGGATTTGATGCTGCCAAAATGCTGCGCATGGATCGGGAAGACACTTCCTGCAAATGCTCAAAATAATCAGAAATCAGTTATGCTCACGAGTGACAATAGCCTTGACAACTGCTGGAACATGCTGGAACCACCAGAATCTGCTTGAAAGTAAATGGCCAGCAAATGGCCAAGTAGATACATGCAGCTGGACATGTAGCAATACTACAAATTTGATCACATGTGCTACCTTGCACTATTGGACCATACAAAGCTGATGGCGCTCTTGCAAGGAATCAGGGCGGTCCCTGCTACACAGAACATTGAAGACTTATTAAAAATGGGTACCCCGTGGCACCATAACAGTCAAAACACAAAGACAACCTGCATGTTAAGTTCTCTGTAAGTTCTGTAACGAAAAAGGCAATAAAAGCCCAAGACTCTAAGACCTCGCCTGCTCCAAGCTGACCTGGCAGTCTGGCAGCTGATGCATAGCAAATCGAATACAAATCGAATCGAGAATGCTTCACTTCGCCAGAAAGCTAAAAAAGAACCAGACGAACCATACTCTGCGCGCTGACGAAAACTGCACAATTCCCAAACGGGATTGTATTATTATCCAGCTTCAATCCGGCAGAACAATATATTTTTGCATCATGCCTGTCATATCTACAACACATCATACATCATACATCTTAGATATACGATGACCTTCATCAAATTTTAACTTCGCTACCTACCACAACAAGCCTTCGACCCCTTTAACCCGCTCAACCGTTTGTTAGGCCCTTGTGAACCCTTTGACCTCTTTCGACCCTTTTGCCCCTCGGTGAGACATCCTTTTCGAAAAAAACTTGCGAAACAATTGAAAAAACGGTCAGAGGATTGTTCATTGTTACCTGAGAACAAGGTGACAAAGTACCCGAACAACAAATTCAGGAAGTTGATCAATGAAAAATCCTCTAACATATCTTCCAAGCTCTTCGGTCTTATTACACGTTCGAAACCACAAACGACTAAATAAACTCTGCCTTGGTAACCCTTTCTGCAAACAACTTGGTAAAACCCTCTCTCTACCAACGTCCCCTTTGGTGGAAAACTTAAAACGACCCTGTCTTCACCCCTTTTCGTGAAACACAGACTTAGAAGAAAAAAACCTTTGTCCTTAACCGGTGGTCCAAAGTTGTTGTTCCCTAAACTTACAAGTGAGAAACACAAGTCAACCGTTAACACCTGTCCCCACTCCGTCCTACACCCGAGGCCCTTCGCACTCCAGCACTGTTTTGCAAAGGCGTCGGACGCCGAGTAATGGAAAACTGCCCCGCTTATGGGGGCGGGGTTGTTCAATCGGTCCCCCACCGATCTTAAAAATCTCCTCTTATGGGGGATAGCATGCAAGGAACTCAGTTACACTATGAGTTGCACCTCACGTGTGTAACTGAGCTCCACCAAAAAGTCCCCGAACCTCGTTTGCAGCACCCCACGTAGGACTTGCCGCTGACGCGCGAAGCCAGCCCTACGTGGGGGCAATTGCAGCTGGCGCCGCTCCAAGCTATGCAAAGTGGCCCGTGCCAGGGCTTCACCACCACCTCCAAAAGCACCGAGCACGGCTGCCGGGTGCGACCGGCCCCAATTTACACAAAGCTCATCCCAGGCTGCGCCATACCAGCCTCGCACCCTTACCTTGGAAGCAGCAAGCAATTAAAAAAACCAAAACTATATATTTGTACATACAACAAGAAGTGCAACCATCTCCCGCGCATAGAAACATGTTCGTGCATTTATTTCTTTACCTTTGTGCACGTATGTAAATGTATATATAATTATGTATACAATGTAAACAATGTGTATAATTAATGTATAGTGTATGTATGTATCCGTATATGTGTACATGTTATGTGTTGTGTTGTTGTGTTGTGTATATATGGTCCAGCATTCCCAACCCCTGATTCCAAGTTTAGGTCTAGGGTAGTGTCAAGTACCCCACTACCCCCCAAACCATGGAATGGGAATATTATGTACGTGGGTGATATGATGCACTCAGTACATATAGGTAGTATGTAGGAGTGGAGGTTTAGGGCGGGAGACCATGCCATTGGTGGGGTGGGAACGCGGGACACAGAAACATGTATGTATATATATATATATATTATAATATATATAACCATATGTATGTATATATACACATATACACGTACATACAGAATAGAATACATACTTGGTGCATCAATTGTGCGGCCATGCCCATATCAACACTGCTGGTTTTGACTCTGACATACGGGATGCCAATCAGATTTCTTGGATGGAAAATACAACATAGTTGAAATCACCACCCAAAAAGCATTGCCAGCCACCAAACAAATTGCTATGTAGGGTGTAGCTTACTCCCCCTGTCGGATGGGTTGGTATATAGGTGGTACAAGGCCAGCATCTCCCACTGTTGGGGGGTTGCCGGCCGCCGGATACAAATGTATAAATTACATATATGGCTTCGTGTATATGCGATCGAAATGTTATGCACCTTTGTCAAACTTCATATTCGGAAAGAAACTTCATAGCTTATTCCTACTTATAAGTACCTTAAGTTCAAACTAAGTAACACACAAAAATGACTTACTTATTCATTACTTTAAAGCATATCCCAACTTAACGGAGAAAGTCTTAACTTAAAGATGATCTAAGTATGCTGATAAGTAGACAAGTACAAGATGAACCCCTAGTTGCCCCAATTCGGGACCTTGGTGAAACCGTTTCTTTGATGCAGGGAAGGAATCGGTTGTCCTTTAATAGTCACCACCAAAAAGATAGAACAGTAATCAACAGTAATTTAATGTAATTTACATTGACTTACCGCTATTTTCGTCGGGGGTTGCTATAGAGCCACTCACTCTTGACTATGATTACAGTTCCTTGGACACCAATCTGTTGAGACACTCTTATCATCTCTTCACAGTGATAGGCGTTTCGGCGTTTCCCACTCGCTCCCCGGAGCCTTCTTGACATCCGTTTCGACCCCAAATGCATGCGCACGCTTGGTGGACGCAGCCATGACGCTACCGCGGGCGTTTGAGTCAGTGATCCTTGGATTCCAGGTATTCCAGATCCAAACATTCCAAACCACGAACAAAATGGATCGACACCAAGGGGAAGCTTCAGGCTTCCCATGGCCAAACCATCCGCTCTTGGCTCAAGTTTGGTAAAAAACATGGTTGGCTGATGCCCAAACCACAAGGGCAAAACGCACATAGCTTCGGAATTGAAGGCGCTATCGCTATCTCAGAATCTGGTGCTTGAGATACCCTTACCCAAGTCAGGGTCGGTCATTCTATAGTTACCGGGGTTCCAATCCTCCGAAAGACTTGAAATCACGAACCAGGTATGATGTCTCTGGTCCAAACATGGGCTGCGGAGGTCAAGGTCGTTTATTTTTTGCACGCAGCTGCATGGAACATATGAAAAGCCGTTAGTTTAAAGTTTAAGCATTTTGGTATCAACTTGAAAGAAACTTGACTACCCAGAAAAAAAAACAGTCAAACAGTAACATATAATAAATAATATATAATATAATATAATATATATATATATATAGATAGATATGACAAATCCACCATGAACATAACTCGGATCATTTCCTGTGGATGGTTGCGAAATGTTGCATCACCTTGGATGGTTGGAAGAGATCCTGCACCACCTTGGATGGTTAAACCCGTATAAGTAACGGGATAAACCACCTATCAACTGGTGCAGGATTTCGCAACCATCCACCATAGGGTTTCCCCTGGAAATTGTTTTCCATCTTATCTTTCTATGATTGCCCTAGGGCAATGGCCATCTTCGTACCCATGGCACCCTCCTCGCTGGCGCACGAGTCGTGGTCGGACAACTACATCCTCACACTCTGCAAGGTGGTGCCCCATACTTAGCAAAGATGGTTTACAAGGATTATATATAAATATATATAGATAACTATAGATACGTATGGTTAACGGGGTCTACTCATAACTGGAGGGACACCACATTGTATAGCAGCCCCCAAATAGATAGAATAGTTGTAAACGTTGACAATTCTTCGAACAAAGAACATGTTTGTCTCAACATCCAATGACCAATGTTGGGGATCAATTGCTTCTTATGCGAGAGTGTTCAGCCAGCATAGAAATACTCAATTTCTAAGAAACCATCTGGAAAAATCTGGTAAACCAATCTTGGTTAGTAAATAACAATCACTGATGCATCATGGTGCATCATACAGAGAGCTCACCCAAATCAGTGGTTGCATGCCTTGATGGGTCGGCCCCAACCGAGGAATCAAACTGATTTACCAATCAACAAGGCGCATATCAAAAACGCTTTGAAGGTCATTGAACATTTGAATTTTGAACATCCTATCTTTTCACTTCGAAGAGATGATCATCTGGTTCAACTGCACATGTGTAGAATGGTGTACTTTCAGCAACACTTGGCATTGTCTGAGAGTGGGGAATACCAACTATCGCCACCAGGGGATTTAGGAGGGTTATTATATGTTATTATGTCCCCAGAAGTGGGACATGGTTAGTATGGTTAGCCAATGTAAGTCACTTGATACTGGTTGGTTCAGAAACGGGTTAGACCAATATATATATATATCTATATATAGAGGTTAGACCACGTTAGAACCCAATGCCGAACCCTACGATAATCCCCAACGAATCATTTATCAACCATCATGCATCAATTGTATAACTATGTATATATATATATATAATCATAAAAAATAATAATATATATACAATTATATTTATAACTATATATAAATAATCATTTATCTATATATATATATATATCAGTTCTGCAGTTACATCACATATCCACTTACATCCCCATATTTCGATGGTACAACCCCCTGTTAAATCCCATAGAATCATGAAACAACAAGATCCAACCGGGCTGCAGCTGAGGCCTGGACTTTGGCAGTGCCCGACTCGGAAGCTTCACCTCCTGCGAATATGGAATCCCTTGGGAACACCAAAAATCGTTGGGGTTTATGGATGTTCATCCCCCCCAAAAAATATGGGAAGAAAAAAATGGGACGAAGAAAAAACATATGGGAAGAAATAGGTTTGATCAACATCTTTATTCATCTTTGTCGTTGTCAAATGAGCAGTGTTGAAAACTATTGAAAAGCCTTTGTTTCGTTATACTGCTTGGTTGAGAACAGGATTCCCCTAATCGATAGAGATAATACCAGTAGTACCGCACAAGGCGGTGGCGGAAGTTTCAAAAATAGGAAACCTATAGGAAAGGTTGGTTGTTGTGAATCACGGATGGCAGAGCGAAGCCACTGATGGACCGAAAGGTGCTTGAGGTCTCTCTCTCTCTTTCTCTCTCTTTCTCTGACTACCTATCTATCTAGCTATCTATCTATCTATCTGTCTATCTGTCTACCTGTCTATCTGTCTACCTGTCTATCCATCTATCTATCTATCTATCTATCTGTCTATCTGTCTACCTGTCTCTCTTTCATCTGTCTATCTGTCTACCTGTCTATCTATCTATTTATATATCTGTCTATCTGTCTACCTGTCTGTCTGTGGTGCAGTGTCATTCAGTGTAATGTAGTGCAGTGTAATGTAGTGTAGTGTAGTGGAGTGTCGTGGAATGTAGTGTAGTGTAGTGTAATGTACTGTAGTGTAATTTAGTGTGTGGAGTGTAGCTGTAGGTGTAGTTGTAGTGTAGTGGAGTGTAGTGTAGTGTAATGTAGTGTAGTGGAAGGTAGTGTAGTGTAGTGTAATGTAGTGTAGTGTAGTGTAATGTAGTGTAATGTAGTGTAGTGGAGTGTAGTGTAGTGTAGTGGAATTGAATGTAATTGAGTGCAGTGTAGTGTAGTGGAGTGTAGTGTAGTAGAATGTAGTGAAGGTGTAGTTGTAGTTGTAGTTGTAGTGTAATGTATTAGAGTGTAGTGTAGTGTAGTGGTGGTTGTAATTGAAAATGCTACAAAACCCTCACGTTTTGCTCACTTTTGACAAGGTCCACAATCCATTGCGCCTGCCACGCGAAACGACATCTGTCCAAAAATGGTCCGTACATAGTGTGCTTTGCACATTTTGACTTCGAAATGTGCTTTGCGCCACAACGGCGCGCGCTTTTTCGACATCTCAACTGCCAAAAATGGTCCGTACATGGTGTGTTTTGTACATTTTGACTTGCAAATGTGAATCGCGCCACGACGGCGTGCACTTTTTCATCTCTCATCTGGCCAGCTGGCTCCGCACCCGCCGCTTTAGCGAGCCTACTTTTCGACCCTCCAGAGCCCCAAATCATTGGAAAAAACACAGTGTTTCGCGACTTTCCTACCTTTTCGCGCATCTGCATCTTCTTTCTTCTGACTCTTTCTCTTCTCTGATCTTCTCTCTTCTAATCTTTCTCTTCTCTCTGCCTCTGCCCTGCTCTGCTTTTCATCTGTCCATATTGTCGGAAGTTTGACTTCTAAACTTCCTTCGATAATGCCTCATATATTTGGTAGTATCATCCCCGATAATCATCAACCAACCGGGTTTTTGCCAGTGACGAGGAGTGGTCAACCAAAGCAACAAAGGGATTTCCATGGGTTTAAGACCAATAAAAATATTTTTACTGATTTATTGGATCGTAAATCAGAAATAATGGTTGCTAGATTTCTGCGAATTACGCGGTGCTCCTTGACCTAAGAACAAGGGTGACCCAAGCATGACCCAGCCTATACCCTCTGATAAACTAACGTAACTATGGAAAATCACAATTGTTAATGGATAAATCCACTATAAATGGCCATTTTCAATAGCTATGCAATAGATTACCAGAGGGTAACTGTTGGGAAACCTGGTTCGTATCGGTCATCCCAGGTCCCATTTTTTGCAGCCTGCCGCGCCACAGGTGGCCAGTGTGGCCCATCCTCTTTCTCATTCCATCCTGTCCTCATGCTTGTTGATTACATATTAAACAAGTAAGTTGTGTATATATTATATGTATGTATGTATATATATATATGCAACTCCGGTTGGAACTGGGTATCATTCACTATGGGACCAGGTCTCAGCGTACCTCCTGCTGCTGTAAGGCTCAAACCCCTTTAAGTGATGCCAGCCATGGGCTGGAGATATGATTCTACAAGTGAGGAATCCTCTGAGTCTTGCAATGAAGAGCTAACTGCCAAACAGCTCGACTATGTAGAGTTCGGTGAGGACTTTGTCAAACTAGCTGAATTGGAGAGATGGCTCCTTGAATGGGATGGTGATTTCACCTTTTCATCAGACTGCCCCTGGTCTGCATTCTGGTGGGGTTCACCATCAAGCACTATAAATATTCACCATCATGTGCTTTTGGTTGTCCTTAGGTTCTGGTATTGAGACTCCTATGATGGCACTGCAAATTCTGTTCAGAGCGGGTGGGAAAGAAGATTCCATCAGATATATGCCAGATCCTTAGTTGGAAAAAACTACATGGTGATACCAACCAATAGTGATCCGCTCACCAGGATCCACCCACCAGCCAAGGTCATCTAGCGAGATCAAACCAGCTGCTCTCCGTTTCTTGCAGGCGAACTTCAAGAGTGAGACGTTGCTTGGCTCAACATATGAAAGAACTGCTTCGATTGCATCTTGTCAACTCTTATCATACATTGTCTACTGGGACATTCTGAGACCACCCTGCGACATCTTCAAGAAGAAGCATGCGAAACTCATGAAGAAATTGCGCAGAAAGGCCTGTCTAGCTCAGTGCATTTTGACATGTTTTGACAATATTTCTTGTGATCTTTGATACTGTTTTTAAAATTATTTGCAACCTGACCAGGTGATGATGTACACGGCAGGATTCCCCTGCACGCCCTATAGCATGTTGCACACCAACTCCAAGCTCCTACATGACATCAACAGTCGCCAGATGTGGAAGGTTTTGGCCAACATCAAATCTCTGGAGCCAGCTGAGCCTTGACAGCAAACTGTAGGAAACGATTGCCTTTGAGACGCTTTGAGACATTCCGCTCGTGCACTGTGAGACATTGCAACATATTGCATACTTGAGATGCAAATCTTGCTGACTGAGATTGCAATATTAGAGAATGTCTTGGGGTACTTGCGGGTCGCCGATGTCGTGATGCAAGTCATCGAACGGAACTTGCCATTGCATCTGGGTGGCAGCCATGAGTGAAAACTTGAAGAAAGTGTTGCAATCTCAGTTATTGTCAGCTCAATCGCTCAGGTACCACAAAGCTCAGGTTATTGTCAACCCGTTGCTTGTTGGCAAGAAAATGCACAATACTCATTTAAGGGTTTACTTTCATTTACTTTCAAACTAAGGCGGGTCCATGGAGCTCCAATCGATCGGAGGCGTGTCTACATCGTCTTGATTCGAGATGACGTCTTGACAGATGAAATCAAACAACGTCTTGAAAAAGAACCAGATATCTTTTCTGTATTGGTTGCTGAGCGAATCATGGGCATGCGCATGCATTGCAAGGTCCATTGGACGCTTGGTCTTCAACTGGTCAAAACATGTCAAAACAATCCTAAACAAACCATGAAATAAACCACACAAAATTGACTTTCTTACCCATTATCCACAAAAAATAAACAAACATCAAACCATGAAATATTCCACAAAATTCTTTCCAGTATCCAATGTCCTCTGAGGACGGATTTGCTCTTCGACTCAAGCCACTCAGAAGTCTGCCTGGACCGGGAAAGGCGGATGGCAATGCAAAGATTGCAGAGAAAAAGGATTCTTTGATGCATATGGTCACATGATGCATATGGTCTCATTCAACCATCAAGCCCCATCAAGATGTGTCAGGAAACTCGATCGACATGCAAAATGGATAAAACGACATCGAAAGTGGGCACGTGAACACAAGGCAGGTTTGAAATGTTTCCACATGTTTTCACTTTAGATGTGCAGTGTATGGTCACATGTTTATTTGCTGGTAGGTCAATGTGCGTGAGTCTCGCGGTGCCTTCAGCAGAAAGTGCCCTCGAGCTGCAGAACTGGTCAGCACCTTCCGTGAGATGGAGGCCATTGTTCTGCTAGCACAGAACATGTGTGTTGGGTAAAACTGATTCCATGTGTTTTTGGAAGGCCCTGGACCTATTGACTACTTTCGGCAAATTTCCAGAGGGCTTCGTGGCCAATACAAGCCAAAACCTGCACTGTATGCCCTGGAATTCTACAAATGAGCCACTGATGGTTCTCACGCACAATGCTTAGTTGTTCAAAGATGTCCCCAGCATACACAGTACATCCGCTATGAAATGCAATGATGTGATTTTGAGGCCGCATGGATCATTTATGTGCACGCCCGTTGAACGATATTTGTTGGGACGAGAAGCGCTTTTGTTGATGGGCTGCCCTATCCACCAGCTACATCTCTCTCAGAACAGTGACCGTGAAACTTGGACATAATTTTCAAACAATACATTGATTGGGAGATCGACATTTTGGTGGGGGTTACCCCATGTCAAGAGTTGAACCAACTTGTACTAACTGAGGAGTTGCACCAACTTGCAGGGAATGCCATGGCCACCCGAGCCATTGCAGTGGTGATCAGTGCAGCTTTGGGCCTCACATCGCCATTGAAGATGATGGCCGAGCTGATGTGATCATCAAACCTGCAACAATTCAGCAATTCATCATATCTAGAATCATGCCTGGCCTGCCAAACAGTGAATCTTGTGCGCAATCTGCACATGATGGACAATGCACTTGAGTCCTTGGAGATTACAATGAACAAGTTCCAATTGGCTGCAGGTACCTTTCCATATCAAACCATGTTACTGCTAACCACGCGTCGTGATAAGATGCACCATCATGTCAAAAAACATTTTGATATCTGGAATATTTGATGATATCAATACCATCATATGTTGTTATATGATATTATAATATATTATAATATATTAAATTATATTATAATATAACCATATTTGGTTCCAGATTCCAAGAGATCAAATTTATCCAGCTGACTATTTGCACAACTTCATCAAGCCTACATGCCTGTGCTGCGGCGCTGGAACTCTGATGATGGCTCCTACAAAAGGGCGCCAGAAGCTCTCAAGCGATATGACACTTCAGACTCGGAGATGCTCATCTGCGATTTGTTTTTCATGACTTACCAACAAACCTTTGCTTAAGAAAACATGGGGACTAATCAACTTGTCAACCAAGACTTTCATCCTCGGGTTCAAGATCTTCAAGCTCTTCTTGTGGTGGTGATGACAGTGAGTCCACTACTACCAGCAATGGGTCGCATGGATCCAAACCAAAGGTTGGTCATGTTGATCTGTCAATTTCAAGGCTGCAGGCGTTTCATGCCTTGGAGTCACTGGAAACTTCTTCCCTGACGCAGTTTGCTCAACGGGGTTTGTCTAAGAGCCGGATACGTTCTGTTTTGAGTGAAAAGATTTGCAGCTGTGGCTGCACCATGCCTGCCCAAGATCTTTATCAAGTATGCAGATTTTTTTGGCACCTTCCAAAAGCTGCACAAGACGCTGTGCTCTGGTCAATACAGTCTGAGTGCAGCCAGAAACGGCGGAAGTGGTCTTTGCAAGGCCGGTAAGTCATGATTAGTCTTGTGGCAGTGCGTTGAGCATTTGTTTTTGGCAGCGGTGTTTCTGGTATGCTGTGACTGCACCGCAGGGCATGAAGTTTACAGAGAAGCCTGGGTCCGACTTCTTGGTGTTGGCAGCGACCGGGTTGTACGGTGCAAGAGGACGCATCAAGGTCTCGACAAGAGAACTCTTTCTTGTGGTGGTGGAAGCTTGTATTGAATCCAGAGTCATATTCACTCCAAGAAATTTGGCAATTGTGTGCTCCTTTTCTCCAGTCGATTTGTGCCCAGGACCGGCCCCTCATCCAGCAGTGAAAAGAGCATCTATCAAAGGGTTTTTGATGCATATCTACTGGAGTGCCAGTGAATCCATGACCACTTCGAGTCTTGGCAGCATTCGACAATTCAGATTTTCATATGGTGTCAAATTTGCACAGTGCAGTTTTGTTGACACAATGTTCAAGTGGTTTGTTGAAGGATCGCTTCCAAATCACTACTGGATACAAGTGACCGGGAACTTCAAGAGGATTTACTGCAGAAGCTGGTCGATCAGCGCTTAATGGGGCCATCAGCTCAGATGTGCTTGAACGCAGATCCCTCAAAATTGCCACTACGAGAATTGCCACATGGATCATGGGCCAACCTGTTTCTGATGTATCTGGCCTTCTGCCGGATGTCGAAAGAGGAGCCAGCAGGACGAACCTACTTCTATGAGGCAGCTGTTGAGTGGAAAGGGTGCATGAGGTTCCACAAGAAGAGCACCCACCAGCTTTGCAGCACTTGCTCCAAATTGAAGGCGGCAATTGAGAGTGCCAAGGCAGCTTGATTGCATTGATGACGTTGATGATGATGATGATGGTGATGATGATGATGATGCTGATGATGATATATGATGATGATATATGATGATGATATATGACGATATATGATGATGATATATGATGATGATATATGATGATGATGATGATGATGATGATATTTGATGATTGATATTTGTGGCACTCTCTCTCATATGTCGGTTGCTGATGATGTTGGCACCATTCATTCTGACTTTGCAGGACTTCCAGGAAAGCATCAACCTCCAGGATGAGCTGCTGGCTCATTACACATCCCAGTGGCGTGACAGAGAAATTTACTGGCTTTGCCGGCAGAGATCTCGAAGCGTGGGCGATGTGTTATGCTGCATCATTGACAGCTATGACAAGGCGAAGATCATGCTCCCGGCCTATCCTCAGAAAAGGACGCCAAAGAGCCAAGTCTATGAAGTGATCCGTCGTATCTTGGCAATTTTGATTTGCAATCAATATCATGGAGCAGTCAAGAGCCAACATGAGCCAGCAAACATCTTGAATCCTTTCCCGAAGGCACCAGCTTGACTTTGACAACATGCATATGCCACGGCTATGGCGTCTACATGTTCCTTGGAGAAGAAGGTATGCCGTCAGGCGCAAATTGGATCCTTGAAATCGCTGCTCGGTCTGATTTAGTTCAAAGTATTTTGGCTTTGCGCAGTTGAACTTGCGCAGCTTTGCTGACTCCTACAATAAGGCTCTCAAAGGCGTTGACTATGCATGGGAAGTCGCAAGACGGCGCGCTCAAGTCTTTCCAAGTGAGTCTTTTCCTAAGAGACGTTTCACAAACATTGAGCATCATCGACATCATGCTTAGTTTTAAACATCTTTGAACTTTGAACCATTTATTTATTACTGGTGGGTTCCAAGGTTGTGGCTACAGGGGGATAATACGGTCAAAGAACTGCGCAACAGCTTCACCGGAAAACTGGCATCCTTACTTACAAGCTTTGAATATTTCAACTGTGTGTCCCACCACCATTTGGTGGTGGGACACACCCACGAAGACGTGGGATTCTCGGCTTAATGGAATCTTAAGTTGCTGCATGTTGCTGCCTATCCTGAGCCTGTCCTTGAATGTCCTTGTTCATGGGTTTCACGCTCGCTCATCTTGCCCGGTCCTCCTGGCAGATGGTGCCATGGCACTGGTGACATCAGCTCTGGCTGCTGAATCAAACTTGCAGACACCACGTGATGTCATCCGGATACTAAGCTGTGTTGTTATTCGTTTCATTGGGACTCATGCAGGAATTTTGCAATGATCTAGTGCAATTGATGTTTTGTGGCATGTCATTGGAAAAACAAATCAATGCAAGATTGCGGGCAAAGGACTCTGGAGAAGCGACTTTCACCCGTCTTTGCCAAGTATGACATGGAGTTCAAATGTGAGATGTTGGATACCGTCCCTTGAAACCAACTTGTATTCGAAGATTTATGCTGTTTTGAATTGTTTGGGATCTTTGACTGTTCATTGTTTTCATCTTTGGCCCAAGGTCAGAAACTTCCACAAGATGATGCCAGATGTGGCGACGCTCAAGAATGCGTATCGAGACCGTCCTCCACGGAGCAATGCCGGTGTCGAGGAGGATCCCATGAAGATTCCACAGTCCTTCACATTCATGCGGCGAGAAGGCTTGAGCTTTTGAAACAATGTGGAACAGTTGCATCATGAGTTAGCTTATTCCTACATGAGTTCTGTTTAGTCCGCTTAATCGGGGTTTTGCAAGAGGGATTATGTCAAGCTACTCAATCCTTGGCCCTGCCAGCTATGCCTGGTGACATTCCACTTGACGATCGTGTCCCACGGCGTTTGATGACGGCTGAACAGTCAAAGGATGTCTTTGCCCTGGTGAAAATGCAAATGTCAGCAACCTCCCTGAGTCAAAAACCGCTGAATGTTTGGCCGCAGGCCTTTATGGGGGTGACTGAAGACTTCTGGAATCAAATCAACAGAACTCGACATACTGTGCAGCAGGATTTGGAAGCTGACCGCAAAGCTGAGTTGAAAAAATTGGCCAGGGAGATCTCCAAGGACTTCCCCCATCTGAGCAGGGCTGTGAACTATTACGATACCTTGCTTGATGAATCTCGGGAAAGGCAACCTTATGCAAAGCTGAAGTTTGTCGATGCGGGTCCCAATGCGGGTCAAAGGATCGCACGTGTACAGCTTGGGGGTCGAGCCTTGCCCCCCCGGCCCCATCCTCTTCAGGTGGTTTTCCGTCACAATGGAGTGTGATGATCTTGGAACCTCATGGCCAGCTGGGGTAAGCTGGTTTCAGCGGAAGGGGAAAACAGTGGGGGCTTTGCCACAACAGTCATAACGGGTCACAACTGTGGTTGAACTGTGGTTTCAACACAACCGTTCATCATACTCTTCGTAGCTGTTTCCATTTCAAGTTTTCCTGGATGAACATGGCCTCAACCAAGTTTGTAGACTTTGAGAATGACGCCCAACTGATCAAGATCTGTGCTTACTTTGAACAGGTCTTGACCCAAGTTGCTGTGCAATGCTGTGCACAGCATGGACACATATGGAAATCATATGAAATCATCACAATATATGGACACATATGGATACTCGGATGTACTCAGGTGATTGCAGAACAAAATTTTGGCGAGTATGTCAACAAGATCTTCCATGACAAAGCCCAGTTCCGTCAGGTCGGATAATAACCATTTTGAGAAAATATCAGATAATAAGAAATCATTTTTTCCTGCTTTCCCTGCTAGGTGATTGATGACCTGGTGACATCCAGAAACAAACAGGTGACCGACAAACCTGTCTTGACCCTTGTGCCCCAATCCTCGCTGGCTGAATTCTGGCTCCCAATTTGGGCATTCGACTATGGCAAAGATTCGAAGAGTGGATGTGGGGTTTGTCAAACTTTGTATGTTTTTTTGTATGTGTTTGTATGTTTTTTTGTATGTGTTTGTATGTGTTTGTACCATTTCCTGGTTTCCTTGAAAACCCTGCAGTCTTTCCTGTCAACGCCCAATTTGCAGTGCATTTCCGGGAGTTTCTGAAGGGCTACAGGTCTTCTGCTGAGTGCGTAGAAGTGAAGTTTCCAAAGGCACAGGCTTGCAGGAACATTGCTGACTTCTCAGTGGGTATTTGCGATGGTTTCCTGAAAATTCTCATGGTGATGGGGGTCATTGCCATCATCCATGATATGGAACCTTGTTTGCAATTCTTAATGAATATTAATTAATGAATCCCGTCATACCTGTATTGGACAGACTTGCATCTCACTTGACACACCCGATCCATGACTTTCCAAGGGCCTCACCCCGGATGATATCATTGAAGCTGGTCTTGAAGAGACGCTGGCCTCATATCAGTGGATTCGATGCAGCTTCACCCACTTCCAAACTCCTTCGCACTACTACCTGCATGCTCTCAGTCTCTTTGGCAGCATTGCGGCTGCGACAGACTATCATCGGTCATATTTGGTTATAATCACCATCATCCTCACCACCATGGACCTTAATTTGTGTTTTTGTTGTGCAGTTTGTTTCCAAAATCAAATCCAGCCGTGATCTAAGAAATTGGACATGTAACGGCGGAGAAACAGTCTCCATCTGCTATCGACTTTTTGTCTAGCGTCCGGAGCGCCATCGATTTGGAAAAAAGGATGACAAAATCTTCAGGGACGAAGGCATTGAAGGACCACTTGGCAAAAGTTACCGCAGACTACAATCGCATGGTTACTGTGAAGAAGCACCGCATTGACACCCAAAGGCGGAGCCTCTGCTACAACATGTTCCCTGACTTGAAATAAATTTATGTTCATGCTGACAACCACAACCATATTTTCTGGTGTTATATATCTTCCCTGCCCCCAAGGCTTCGAGCCCCTCAAGAGTTTGCTGCTGGGGTTGCATCCCACTATGATGACTATCGTCACGAGGTGTCAGGATGGGCTAGTTGAAAACACGGATTTCATGTTTCGTCATTGCCCTGCAGAACCCTGGAGGAATTCCCTTGGACATCCTGGCTCTGGATTTCTGGGTGCCCGGCTGTGTGAGCCAAGCAGAGTCGCCGAAGTATGTGGGCAAGTCGATTTTCAAGGAGATCCTCAAGACCACAAACGATACATGCATGGCCTACATCCGTCGGGTCACACAGGACGGTAAACATGTCTGGGATTTAGTTATGTTTGACAGCTTCAATGGGGGTTGCAAAACATTCAAACCTATACCCTGTAGGATTTCAAAAGAAAGGCATCAAAAGACGCCTCCAACAAGGTGAAGGCAAATCATTGGTTGCCAGCATTGATGTGTATTGCTCAGCAGTTAAGTCAAATCATTGGGTCGACATTTTTGAGTCCCTGACTGCCAGAAGCAGCACCAGCTTTGTGAAGAAGAGCACATCTTGCTCCACAATATCTGCTGCCTTTGGGTTTGGCTGTTGCCAAAGATGACTGCAGAATTCCCGGGTGAAGTGGTGCAGAGGCATCAGGTCTTGTTCGAAAAGGGGTGACTTGGCTAGCGCCAAATTCAACATCCCAATTGTGATTCGTTTTCCAGAAAGCACGTCACATGTCCAGGATTGGGTTTGGCTGGCGCCAAATGCTTATGAATCACATTCAGGACTTGACGGTACCAGTCTAAACTTTGATTTGGTTTCCAGAAAACAAATCGCAAAATCCATCAAAATCAAGGTATGAATCATGAATTGTAACATGACTTGACAGTTGCAGCCTTGATTGAAACCCTCTTAACCTATGGTTTTGTGATGTGGTTTCCAAAAACAGCGTCATACTTCCAAGTGCACTGGGAAGCCTGCAAGTTTGATTTGTTTTCCGCGGGTTTTTGAATGATTCCAAAAAAATGATACTTTGCAGATCCCCGTGATTTTGAGGCTTCTAGACAATGATCTTGGCTCTGTGATGAAAGCGGCCGATGATTTCCAGTGGGACCGCATCAACTTCATCCTCGAGGCCCGGGCCAGGAAGGCAATACTGTGTGGCTGCTGTTCAACCTTGGCAGTAAAGACATGCCAAGATTTCAGTTCAATTTCCCAACAGGTGAAGGGGGAGACGGTCGAGGATTTCATTGCAAAAGCACAAGACCGAAGTCGAAACGCATTGGCCACCTCCCTATTGGCAGCCTTTGGGGCTTTCAAGGAACAACTGGCAGCAGATCAAGTGGCATTCGAAAGTGAAAAGATCCTGTACCTTGAATTGATGCCTTTTCTGCAGGTACCTTTTCTTCTTTGAGCTACTGTTGTCATCCCAGAAGCCGCCCAAAGTCATATGTCATACATCTCTTTTCTCCAGTTCTGAAATGTCAAACACTTTTCAAATGATTCAGATATTAAAAGATAATAAATTTAAATTTAATTCCCCAACTTTTGTCTCAGGCGCCGACCGTGAATATTTGCCTTTCACCACATCTTGAGATCCTGACGCAGCCAAGGTGTGAGCGGGAGACTGCAAAGAAACGGTCGCTCTTGGTTCGGCAGCTTGAGGACTGTGGGTTGAAATCGAAACTCTGTGAGCAATACCAACTTTACTATGGGATCTATGGGAGCATTATCCACGATCATTGATCATCCATAACGCTATTCATGATTTATCAAACATATTCTGTAACAAGGGTGAGATGGTAATATTGATTGGCAATCAGTGTGAAGGACTGCCACACCAGCGCATGGAACGCTGTGACCCGCTACATGGAGCAAAATCTCCAATGCTTCAGTGGGCGTGTGGAGACTGCAGATTCGACTGTGATGCCGAGTGTTGCATCTTGGGTGATGGAATGTCTCAACGACATACCACAGGTTCGAGAGACCGATGATCATGCCATCTTGGGTTGGCTCCCATTGCCCACTGCAGGGGTGATTGGGGCTCAAAAGTGGGACTTTGTGGTAACCTTTGTCTGCAACCTCCTGGCCCAGTTCAAGAAGAATGGAGTGGTCTTGATAATTCACTCCAACAGAGCAGCACAGCTGATGCGCAGCCCAGGCGACAGGACTGCTCACAAGAAACACAGTGTTATGATGTATTTTGATTGTGATTTGACACAACACTACATAGCGTTAGACATAGCATTAGATACAATGCTTTGCAAAATGAGATTATGTGAATCATGTGTCGTGCAGTATCAGATACGATCTGAGTTGCAATGTGCACATTTAAAAATATAAAAATGAAAGCCTTGCTAGCCGATGTTTATCTGTTATTCTTTGTAACCTCCGCGAGGACGGAGACCAAACTTGAGACAAAGACGGAGGCAAAGGCTGAAGTCAAAAAGAATGAAAGCTCTGATGAGAATGATGAGGACGCCGATGATGATAAAGTCGCTGCGGAGGAGGCAGACATTCGGGATGTCAAGTACAGACTGGAGCCCCTTGCCAGCAAAACATGACTAGTTGCAGCAATATGCAGCAATCAAATCAGAAATCAGGTGAGGCATGACTGACAGTGGACCATGGAGAAATACCAGGACAATATTGCTGGGTCTACCATCTGTCTGTCCAAGGAAAGAACTTACCCAAAAGGATCGCAATTTGCAGGTGAGGGACATCACATGGATTTTCAATCCTGCAACTTGATTATATTATTTTGTTCAATCTTTGAATTGAATATCTTTGACATACTTTGACATGATGTTGGGGGTTGACTGATTCACGCACGCCATCCCAAGCCCGTTGCTCCTGAGGCATCGGTCTTTGGAAAGCGCGATGGTTACATCTCTGGCCTGGCAGTGATGTCAAAGGAGATTCCGAAATCAAGCGCTTTTCGCAACACCAAGGGATGGAAAACTGGCACAATCCTGGAGGTGGACATGCTGGCTCGGAACAACATGTTCAAGCCCGAGGCTTTGGGATTTTGGAGCATTTGCAGACCATCAATTTTGTTCCCCACTTTCCCCAAAGCCTACAATTTGAACAACCCAGTAAGGGGATGAAGTACCCATTCAGAGACTTGCAGGTGACATCGTCTGTCCCTCATCTTGGAAGAGCCTTTACAGATGTACAAGAGTTGAAGCAGGCTTGACTAGGGTTTCTCCCATGTTTCCAACAGCAACCGTCCACTTTAGTAAGAATCAACTTTGATTTGTTATATGTGGATATGAACAGATTTCATGAACGCCCTGGAGGTCTGTGGTGGCACCAGCATCATCCACAAGTCCCTCCAAGCCTTCTTGCCCCAATCTGTGGCGACCACGGTGGTCATCGACATGCACGGCTACGATGGATTTCCTGCACTTGCTGCGTTGGAGGCAAGCTGGGAAACATTTGTGAACCATGAATCATATTGTGGATGACTCTGGTTTAGAATTTTGACTGTGAATGAGATTGAAAATGAACAATTATGATTCTTGCAAGTTCCCGTAAACTTGTGAGGCATGTGCTGAGGGAAATCGCGTCTTGTGTGGCACGGTATGCTTGGACTTCTCCCAGGAGGTTATCCAGAGGCGCATCGCCAACAAGGTCTTCAACGAATGCCGAGCAGGGGTACTTAGCGTCCAAGGGTTCCCGCAGTTTGACACCTTGATCAAGGCGCTGAAGGAGGGGAATGTCTCGCGTGAAGGGCGATCTTTCAATGTGTGCGTGCAGCAGGGAGAGAAGTTGGTTGTTCTGCAGAGCTTTGCATCAAAGTTCACAGACGCGGATGTTACAAAAGATGACGCGATGAAGCTTATCACTGAGCACAATGAGAAGTTCAATTCTGGCGGTGATTTTTGGCAACAGGAACACAGGTCGATCGGTTTGGTAAAACATGCAAATGGTCAAATGGAGTCAGTTGTTTTTCGAATGGTTCCCCTCTGTGTCAATATTCATATCACTTAACCATCAAATTATTTCATGCTGTCATGCCTTTTCAGTCCTGACAGGCCGGCTGAGGAATCCAGCTCGGAGCATCCTGCAAAGCGATTGAAGGTGGAGCCGACCGACATGGTGTCTGAGGCTGACATCACAAGCCTGAAGAAACCGAATCTTGATTTAACTAACACCGAATTAACTGGGATTGTTTCTTCCTTGTAGATGCAACTGCATTGGCTACATGCTGGGCATCGCTGGGTATATCATGGTATATCATCAGAATGTATCAGAGTATATCGTGTTGTATATCATGCTATATCAGACTCATGCAGACTCTATCAGAATATATGCTAGGCACAAATTCTCCATCAACAACTCTGTGGAGATGATCTCAAACGGAGAAGGTGATTGCCTTTTCTTGGCGGCCAAAGCAAAGAACCAGTTTCTGGCGTTGCGGGAGTTGTTGCTTGGCATTGCTCGGTCTAAGTTAATAATAGTTAATATACAGTATAGGTTTCATATGGTTTCAGTGTGTGACATTACATGGCAGTTTATCATTTGGGGGCTCCTGGGGTTTGACTGCTTTGAAACTGAGATTTTCTTTTGGATCTGGAGAGTGGAGGGATGGACCAGCGCCTCAACTCAAATTTGTGTTGGGATGTTTTGGGAAAATATCTTGAACTTTGCCATCTTGCCAACGGCCACCATGGCCAACCACGCGTTATCCTTTGTCATCCTTTCTTCATGTAATTCTTGGTGAAAATGTTCCTGTTAGAATTTGTAAACATTGTCAACTAAGGAAGCACTGGAATGTATGGGCGATGCCAGTGGCCGTTGGTTCCGGTTCCAATGTACCAAAGAAACAGTTCTTTGTTTGGAGAAGACCGGCCTTCCTGAACATCTCAAGCAGCTTCCATCCTTGGAAACGCCTATGTATCTTCAAGCCCTGCTCATGGATCTCGAGGATTCCGGAGAGGCCATGCTAAGTAAAATTTCTTGGGATCTGAATTCAAAGTTGGTACTAAAGAAACGGTCGGATTCTTACCTACGTTACCTAGATGTCTTGTTTGTGAGTGCTTTTCAACCAATAAAGTTTCCAGTGCCCCGCAGGTGAAAGTCAAGCTGTCCCACCACTCAGTCACGGATGGCAACATCTCCTCGGAGAAACCGTTGATCTTTCTGATGGATCCTGCAAAAGACGATGAGGCGGGTGAAAGCGGCAAGAAGAAACGAAAGAAGAGCAAGAAAGCACACGATGGCCCTTCTGCAAAAAATTTTGGTGCCAAGCTGAGCATGGACAAGATCAAGGCTTCCCAAAAAATCATTATTGGCTGGAGGGTGCGGCTTCTTGGAAAAATTAAACGCCATGATGCACCAAGTCAAATTTCAAGTTTCAAAATCCGTTCCAAGAACCAACACAATCTTCTCGATAATGAACAGGTATGTATGAACAACCATCACCGTTTTTCCATCTATTTCCATCTAAGGCTGGAAGGAACCGGAGAGGGAGGCAAGCTCATCACTCCTATCAGGCCTATTGCGTGCTTGGCTGGCCAGTTAGAGGTTGAGGATGGAATCATCCGCATTTTCTGAAAGTATCTCCAATGTGCCATGCCCTGGTTTTGGAAAGAGATAACAGCTGAGGTCCTTGTGTTTATAGGATTGAACTGCAAACAAAACACAAATTTCCGATTGAAAATTCACATATTAAGGATATTGAAATCCAGCAGAGCATGTCTGATGATGCTTTGTGATGCTTTCAGCAGGGTAAGGATGGAGACAATCACGGAGTGAAGCATTCCGGTGACAAAAAATATGGAAATCAGTGGGTGGTGCTGCAAACATATTCAAACAATTTCAAACATGTGAGACTTTTTAATTGCGCCCGGGAGATCTTAATAAATAACCTTTGCAAATCTTTGCAGCATCTGGCCACCGTTTCCCAATCTTTGGACAGCAATGTCCTCCAGCAGCATGTTATCATGCTCCAGACTCCAGATCCTGGCAGCGCTGTTGAAAAAAATATGTGCGTGCGAAATTGAGCTCATATCAATCAGTATGGACATGCAGGGGTAACATGGGGCAACTCTAGTCAAACATTGACAAACAAATTTGGCAAACCCCAGTTACATGGCGTTAGTGCATGCGACTCTTTGCTCACGATCCCTATCTGTTGTTGTGATGTTTGGCTCAGGGGTGTGGCTACTAAGCTGTTCTGGCATTCAATTGCCAGGATGAGCAGCTCTAGAAAGCCAAAATCAACACAGGACCGTCTCTCCAGCGATGATGAGAGCGTGCAAGTTCTTTCTCCAGATCGTAGCTTCAGACCCCCTGCTACTTGGCTTATTTCTTAGTTCATCTTGATTCCGCACTCGCGTTGCATTCAACATGCTGTGAGATGTTGTGAGATTATCACAAGATCCTTCAAGATTATCATTATCTATCACCCCATATTATAACTATTATATACCCCTCTTTGTTTGCTGAGGCTTTTGATCTGAATGCCTTGCTACGGGAGAGTGGCCGCCCTGCTAGTGCATCCACTGCCAGTGCCCCGAAAGCTGCTCCTCCTGTGCCAGCACATAGACCATCGCGGTCAATGCCAAGCTTCTTGCCTGCAGGGTTGGATGCACAGTTTGAGATGCATTGTGTAACGGAGTGTAACGTCATGATCCCTGACCCAGGTTCCATGGGGAGTGAGATTCCTGCCAGCAGTTCCGATGCGCTGCCACCCAGAGTGGCTTCGTCCGAGGAATCAAGCCCGCAAGGTGATGGGAAACAGGATAAGAAAGCAGGAAAATCGAAAAAACAAGATCAACCAGTTGCAAAGAATGAAAAAATGAAAAAACCAGCCAAAAAGAAAAAAAAACAAGACGATGAAGATGACGATGATGATGAGCCTGGAGAAGATCTGGCACCCTTGATCCGGAAAGATCCCAAACATGATGATGATGATTCAGAACATGATGATGGAGCTGATGATTTGTCCGGACTGGAGGATCTTCTGGACTTGAAAGGTGGCAAGAAGGGGATCAAAAAACCAGCTTCCTCCAACAAGACGACTAAGAAGAAGCCATCAAGCCGAAAAAGATCATTGCATGGTGATGCTGATGAGAAGGAATCATGGTTTGCATATGTTGTATCTTGCCAATGCAATGTTTTCTATTTTCTACAAGGGTCGGTCAATTCACCATATTTGTTTGCAGGAGCTACCCTTCCAGCACATGATCGAGGAGGCTGAGCAGGATGTCGTATTCGAAATGGGAAGCTATGAAGACTTTCACATGTCCAAGTCGCCACTTCGACCAGGCTGCTATGTTGACCTCCCGTCACCTCTGCCTTACAGCCCTAGCCCCATCAAACCAGGGTGCTATGTTGACCTCCCAGCCGACCCTTTCAACAATACCCTGGAGTCTGGGAATGGTGATGATGAAATGTCTAATAATGAGATGGAGCCGAAGAAGGAGGGGTCCGCCACGCCGCCCAGCCCTCCTCCCATTAGCCCTGCCTTTCCTCATCCTGATGTCTCGAGCTCATCATCGGAGGAGCCTGCAGAAGCCAAAACAAGGAGCCTACAGAAGACAAAACAAATTCACAAAAGTCAATTTCACCAAGATCGTCATCGGATTCTGTGATATGTAGTCTGCATGTGCTCCTACAATCTCCTACACATGCTTCTGAAAATGATTCATGTGTTTGCAGGAGCCCTGGGGAATATCGAGCTGATGATTGCCAACCACAGCAAGAATGCCAGAAGATGTATCTTAATTGCAATCGATTGCAGTGAACATATGAATCCCATCTTAAATCTCACTACTGATATTCTGAAGATTGCTGAAGTGTATTGATGCTATCTTTCCTAAATATGTTTTTCACTTCGCATAGGTATGCAAAGCATTTCAGCTTTAACAATAGGATACAATAGGTTTACATGGTATCAAAAGCTTAGGCCAGAAGACAATGATGACCATGGTGCTTGCGAAGACACCTTGATGGACGAGGATACCGATCATATTTCATTGTCTGATGTTACAAACCGTGAACTATACCCAGACAATCAGCTGGGACTTGAATCATCTCCTGAGGCAACAGCAACTTGGTCGCCTTGATTAGCATTGGAATCTACATACATCTGAAATCACCAGTTGTAAACTAGAAACCTCACAACCTAGGTGCCACCACTTCGTCGGCTTGATCGACTTCCCGACTTGGCCTTCGTCGAAGATGATGCTCGAACAGAATCTTCAGGCTTGCAGGAGGCATGGAACCGACATCAGAACGGATAATGACAAGTTGTTTCAACATGTTTCAACTGTTTATCTTTTCATGTTCAGTTAAACCGCATGTTGATTAAAATGACATTGTTTTGCCCTGTCAGTTGATTGACAATCTCAGCGGTGATGAGAACACCCGCGATCGATGGACTGCAAGTGAACCCGAAGAAGATCCATCTCCCAAAAACAAAGACAAGGATTGCTAAACGTTGCTAAAACACTCATGTGTGAGTTATATATTGGTTAGGTTCCAGAGTGTATTTTTTGCTCAAACAAAATGTTAATCTTTTTTATTCATCACTGATCATGCGATGTTCCGTCGCATTGCATCAATAATACATAATTTGCAATCCCATCTTATAAACAGCCACCTGTTTCTGTGCTTCTTGCAGCCCCCACATGTTGCCAGCTTGAGAGGATGAGCTATTGATGAACGACGCGGCGAGTGGCCCACCAGGTCAAAGTCATGGAGATGATGGAGCTCATGGATATGGAGATCATGCAGATGGAGATCATGGAGATGAAAGCTCTACAGATCATGGAGATCGTGCGACAAAAAAGCGCCCTGCAAGGCGTGCAAGGGCTCCAAGAGCTGGACGGGCGAAATCAGCACCCAAAGCGAGTGCAAAGCGTGGTGCCAAAAAACCGCGGGGAGCAGGAAAAGCAAAGGCAGCACCAAAGCAAAAGGCAAAGGCAGCACCGAAAGCAAAGGCAGCACCGAAAAGCACCGCAGATACGAAGAAGCGTCCAAGGCCAAAGGCAAAGAACAGCGAGAAGAATAAGGCGGAGTCCTTTAGAAGCGACGCGTTTTGGAAGAAGATGCATAGCGCATCTTGAATGCAAATAAATGCAGAATCAAGACATTTAATTTGCTGTCACATACTGACATACACACTGCCAACTTGTGTTGGTTGCTTCCATTTCCATCCCATTTCTGCTTTGTATTGAATCCAAGGTTTACAGCGGTGCACACAAAAATGCGCGGACACGGGGCAAAAACTTGGAGGAAGCACAGGCAGAAGCACTGGCTGCACGTGCAAAGTTCCTTTGAGCAATTTAACACAAAATAATTGTTGATTCATGTTGCGACACAACGATTTGTGAGCGTGTTTGCACTGATCATTTTGACATTTTGAACCCCTATATCATTTGCATTTGAGGTGGATCCGAGACAATGGCCACCAAGATCATCCACTTGCAAAAAAGTGGGTGCAATAACGCGCAGAGCGGCTTCGAACGGGGAAAATAAGCTGTCTGGGCGCATTTGCTGCGGAAGCATGTGGAAACTATCGCCAGTAGACCCACAGTGCATAAACCCCTTTGACTTTTCAGATCTCCATGCTTGTTCTTTGTTTTATCCATCTCCATGATTCTCCATCTCCATGATTCTCCATTTCCATGATTCTCCATCTCCATGATTCTCCATTTTCATGATTCTCCATCTCCATGATTCTCCATCTCCATGATTCTCCATTTCCATGATTCTCCATCTCCATGATTCTCCATTTTCATGATTCTCCATCTCCATGATTCTCCATTTTCATGATTCTCCATCTCCATGATTCTCCATTTTCATGATTCTCCATCTCCATGATTCTCCATTTCCATGATTCTCCATCTCCATGATTCTCCATTTCCATGATTCTCCATCTCCATGATTCTCCATTTTCATGATTCTCCATCTCCATGATTCTCCATTTCCATGATTTTCCATTTCCATGATTCTCCATCTCCATGATTCTCCATCTCTATGGTTCTCCATCTCTATGATTCTCCATCTCCATGATTCTCCATTTCCATAACGTTCCACAACTCTCCATTTCCATAATCCTCTATCCATACCTGATTACAAACTGGATCATGCCTAGATGCAAGTGGATTGGCATATATATATATACATACATTTGGAGAAAGAGAGAGAGAGAGAGAGAAACACAATTCCAAGATATTCCAAGCGTCCAAAATACCGTAATTCTTGGTTCAACGTGGATTCTCTCCCTTCTCTCGCCACTTTCATAGCTCCGGCTCTTGGACATACAACCTAAACCCACGTCTATAATATACATGAAGCGCCCGCTTGAAATGATATGTTACAGTAATCAATACACTCATTGGAAATGTGATCAGATCAAGATGGTGTTTATCCATTTTTGATATCCCAGGATGAATCGTTCAAAAAAAAACGGGTGCCATGGTCAATACTAATTGATCACCATTTTTTGGGGTAACCCATGGTACCAAAAAAACATAATGTTGGCATTTCTTGGCTATTGAACTCTTCGATACCCACAAAAATCGGGACCCATCGTTCCTTTTGGATCATGTTGCTCTTCCAATTGCCTTCACTCCATCACCCACCACAGCCCGAGGTCCTGCATCTGGAACCTTGGACTCCAAAGCAAAGAGTTCATCAAAGGGTGCCATGGTCAGAAATTCCTGGGCCGCATGGACTGCGGTTGTGACGAGGGCGAAAAGCGTGCAGAGAAGCGCGGGCCTAAAGTTGCAATTTCTTGGAGTGGAAAGGAATGTGTTCAACCTCTTTTGAAACATACTTGTCGTGAGAAAGGAAAGGATGTTCCTGGGGGTGGGAAACGATTCACGATTCACGAATTTCCCAGAAATTGCCCTTCAGCACCGTGGCAGCACCCCGTGTGGCCGTGTGGCCCTCTTGATCTGTACATCCCAACCGATCTGACCATGATTCGATGTGACCACGAAGTAACGGTGAGGTCATTCTGAAATGGTGCTTTATCAATGTGGGAACTTCGCGATGCTTTTTAAAAGTAGCCACCATTTCAATGCAAGGTGGCCCCACCAGTTATCAGTTGGTGTGGAACCCCAATTCACCAAGTAATTTCATCTAATTTCAAACCACTTAGCTAAAATGATCTACCCTCTGGTAAACTAACGTAACTATGGAAAGATCCACCATTTTTAATGAATAAATCCACTATTTCTATGGCCATTTTCAATAGCTATGTTAGTTTACCTAGAGGGTATCACCATCATTAATCACCATTAAATCACCATTTTCCTATGGTTTTCCTATGGTTTACCAGAGGGTACATCCCATGATATCCTCGAAATGTCTCAATCTCTCCATCCTCGGTCCCTCGACTCCACCCGCTCAAACCGCTCAAATCTGGGGCTCCCAGCAGCCCAGTTGCCGAAGCGCCGCAGGACCGACTCCTGCAACGCGATGGAATCTCTCGATCTATAAGCTGTATGTACTATCATACATATATATATATTATATTATAATATATATATATATATGTATATATGTATTATATATATAATACATATATGTATGTACTGGATATATATATATATATGTATGTGATTGTAGAAATACAGAACACTATACATGTATATAATGTTTTACGGATGCATCTATCTATATGATTGATATACGTATAATTATGTATATACGTATACGCTTTCAACATACGTTCCCATCTTGGATTGAGTTCTTGGTTTGAGATGACCATGTTCGGCAGCGAATGGTTGGATCTCTTCTGCAGTCTGGTCTCAGTGATGTCAAAAAAAAATCACTTGAACGCATGAGGGACACGTTTTCACTATACGTAGTTTACTCTTACAAAGTGAGGCCCCCCAAGGATACCTAAATTGAGTTATAACATGGTGAATTCTATGGTTTATGGCAAGGAGAACAAACTAAGTTTTCATGGGGTGAATCTAAACCAACGTTCCATCACTGGGGGGGCTCACCTTGTAATATTGTTGATTCTGTCCCAAAATACCCGTTGACAAGAGAACAGCAAATGACCGACAAGTTGGATGGCAACTTGGAACCCTCCATTTCAAGACATACCGCATACCCATTCTTGGTTCTTAAAATCCTCATGCAACCATTGGTTAAGTCTGTTGGTGATATAAACTACACATCCATAAGTAAATCCCATCTTTTGCTGTACAGTAAGATTCTCAAATCCCCGTTCCGGATGGTTCAACCCTCATCCCCCCTGGTAAAATCACCACTTTTGCACCCGATTCCGCCTGTGCTGGAACGATCCTGGTCGGCACTCCATGCAGCTTCTTGGGGAAGGGCACACCGCCTGCGAACGAAACTGCAGGGCCAATGACACAAACCATGGTAAAAGCTACGAAAAACAACTGGATCGACATGTTTCTACAGGATGGGGGCCCCCCAGTTATAAGTTGGTTTATAAACCCCATGAAAACCATAGTTATCTATAGTTATATCTACCATAAACCATAGTTAAGCCATTTATAAACCAACTTAGCTATCTTGGGGGCCCCATCCTGTAGGGGTTGGGTGTCTCTTTTTTTCTGCACATCTCATCAACTGATGAATTGGTCCATTTTGGTCCGAACAGAAGTAACAATCTATAGTTAACAACAATAGATAACAACAAGAATATAGTATAACAACAATCTATAACAACAGAATATAGTATAATAACAACAACCTACAACAACAATCTAACAGTCCCAAAGAAAAACCACAGGCGTTGCCGGCCTCGTCCCCATGGAGACTGCAAGGCCATCGCTTCGGCGCAGTGTGGATCCGCAAAGTCGGGACGTGGCAGCTCGACCATCTGCGGACGCGGGGAGTGGTGAAGGAAGTGACCTTTCTATGGGGAATGATATATGTATAGTAGTATAGTGTACGAAACTATATATATATGTCATTGCTTCTAAATACATACAAAATATGACATGATATGACATGAATTACAATCATGAAACACCCAAAGATATGTGTAAACAAACATGAAGAAAAACAGCAAAAACATACCTCAAAACTCCACACAACCACCACCTTTACTAGTAACATAGCAGAATGTCGATGCATAACATAGCAGAGTGGTTCAACCCTAAACTGTGAGGCTGTGGTCTCAGGTATCACCTTTTCCATGCGATTTCCTTCCAGAGAAAATCGTGCATTCTGGGCGAAACCTTCCAAAAGTTTGCCTTTGGGAAACTGATTCTCACATTGCCCTGCAAGTACTCTGACATAGATACGGACAATTCTTGGCTTCGCTAGAAATTGATCTGGACATGGGGAATTTGTGGTATGTCAGTTTACTCGGGGGTAGTTCATCATTAGACCTGTTGTTTTCAGTTCTATTCAATGATGGGCCGTGCCCTGTTGTTTTCAGTTCTATTCAATGATGGGCCGTGCTCCCACTTTGAACAGGGTGATTTCACTTAATTCAACATCAAACTTGCACAAGGAGACAACCCTGAGCCCCCTTAACTTGGGTATGCATAAAACATTTGATATACTGCTCGCTCCATTTATAACTCCAGTAAATGTAACAGTTTGACCCTGCCAAATGGGTTGGAAGATGAGTTTCCATCAAGAATTGACTATTTTCAGGGTCGATGTTGCTTGGGCGGAGTTTTATGTTTAACTATTTACATAAACATGTGATATTTGGTAAACTGATCACTCCATTTATAACTCCGTATATCATATGTTTAACACGTATTTACATCACACACACACATATATATATATATATATCATTATATATCTATATTTCAATATGTATATATATATATACACATATAACTTCTAACTAATCATTGATGTAAAAATATATCATCTCACTGAATCATTTATAATTCCACAACACATCAATGATCAGGGTCTGGATCCAAGGGCGATTCACAACGCCCATTGCCTCGTGCTCCCAGAGGCCACGATCCACCAGGCTGAAGGCCTTTCCAACACCTGCACCAGGGCGGATCCTTCGACAGATGTCCATGAGATTTTCGGATGTTTTTTCCTTTTAAAGAAGTCCTACAAGGTGGTGCCCCCTAGATAGCTAAGTTGGTTTATAACTCCAATAACTATGGTTTATGGCACTTATAACTATAGTTACTGGGGTTTATAAACCAACTTATAACTGGGGGGCACCACATTGTAAACATGTTTTTTTCGTGCATGGTCACTGGAGATTTTGGCACTGATCATGCCAGATCATGCCAAATGAAGTTTCCTTTTGCGTGCTTTTGCCCGTATTTTTGTTGTGTGTGGTTCTGGTTGGTGGTATACCTACCCCTCTGAAAAATATGAGTTCATCAGTTGGGATTATTATTACCAATATATGGAAAAATAACAAATGTTCCAAACCACCAACCAGGGTTAGTTTTGTTGGTTGCTGTGTTTTCTCTTTTCTTTGGCTGATTGGATCCTCTCTGGGGATCAGCTTTTTCCGAAACCGGAAAAACACGTGAATAATATGAATATCATGTTTATAAATATCCATTATATCATTATGTAAACTCAAATTGCAGTTGTTTGGAATCTCCCGGAATTTCTTGTGGCTGGGATGAGGGTTGGGATTCTCCCAGCAAATCGTTGGGATCATCTGACAAGTCAATCTTTAGTCATCTTTGGTAGTCCTGGTTATGTTCATTTTCCATAGCAACATACTATTACTGGTGCTTAGCAGGGAATGAGGGAATGATCCACAATCAACTATCAATAATCATCCCATTCCCCCATTCCCATCCATTCCCTACTAAGCACCAGAAAGCATAGGACTAAATACGCCCAAGGCCAAGTTTGGGGATTATTCTGGTTTAGCTCGTCCCCACAAGCGATGACTTCGCGGCTTGCGCCTCGATACTCTTCATTGGACAGCAACTGCCGCGGCAGGGGTTACCAGTCAGGCAACTGAGCTCAGAATCATGTGGGTGAAATCACACAGCAATATCTAACATTATCTAACTCACTATCCAAGTAAATATCTATATATACATATATATATATATTATATTATATATATTATATATGTATATATAAGGTAGTATGAAAAGAAGAATAGTTCTTTCGAATCAAACTTACTAATTATTCAACTTTGTGCTTGACCGAATGGTTCTCCGCAAATGGCACTTGGGATCTAGGCTATAGACTTCTACTAATCCGTTCAGTTCGGGTATTTCCCAGCCAGGCATGTTTGAAGACGCCGAAGGGTAATACTTCAACCACCCATGTTCTCTGTATCCTATCCTTTGTCCCATTAAATCAGCTTTAAATCATCCTAAATCACCATCAAATCACCTTCGAAACCCTACAGTACAATTACATCACAAAATTCACTAAATCACTATCAAATCACCATGATCGATGGTAGAGTCCCCTTAAATCACCAAAAAACAGATTCCTTAAATCACTCAATAAAATCAATAAATCACCATCAAATGACATAACCAAGTAAATCACCCTCAAATCACCAAGTAAATCCCCATCACAATTAAATCGCCCAAAAATATCACCATCAACGAATTGGTTTAAGGGAAAATCTCCAGGAAACCATCGATTTTCCCAGGAACTATGGAGGTTTCCTGTCATTTTTCCCCTAAACCAATCCATTGACACCATCAACCTCTCGTCTCAAATGGCCCTTTATAACATCCAATCAATCACCCAAACTAAATCACCTTAATCAAAATTGCATGTCGTAGAAAATGATCAAACACGACTAAACGAGGTTTGGATGAAGCTTCCCTTATTTTCTGAACCATCATAATTGAATCACCAAAGCAAATCACCAAGGGAATCATCAAAATCACATCAAATCACCCAACTAATTCACCAGGTAAACCAACCTGGTTGGTGGTATACCGGTATACCTACCCCTCTGAAAAATGATGGAGTTCGTCAGTTGGGATTATGATGATTATGAAATTCCCAACTGAATGGACTTAAATACAATTCATGTTCCAAACATTTCCAAACCACCAACCAGCAACCATTGGATCCCCAAAGAAATCCCGGCGACCTGGACGTGCAGCTGCCGCGCCAGCGAAATCAGCTGCCGATCCCAAAACTTGGCCTAAAACGAGTCTGGCGAGTCTTGGGGGGTGCGGGGCGGGATGACGACCATGTTGATGGCCTTTTTATGGCCGTGTTTATAGCCTTTTGATGGGATTCTCAGAGATTCTCATGCTTTTTTTAATGACATGTTTATGTTTTTCTTTTTTTAATGGAATTTTATTGACATTAGCGTTGTTTACATGGTGGTCCTTGTTCAATGGATGGGATCTTGAGAACATGGAATTTCACACGCCATCCATTTAGGCTAAAATTTAGCAGCTAGTCAGCTAGTCATTGAGTATCCTAGAAGGAATGGGAAATTGTACCAACCAAACACATTTCTTGCAGTCACCACATGTTTTTTTGATCCTAACCAAATGTCATCAGCTGGTGCCTGAGTTAACATTAAAAACGATCAGTTCGGAGTGGTCACAACAACTGAGTTCCCGTGCTTTCTCCAAATACATGGGATCGTTGGTTTTATCCTTGGCGAACATAGGGATTTTCACATGATTTGCTCCGAGAATTCCTCAAAGTATCCAGCCAGATATGGCATCACTATCAGACCTATCAGTAGCCACGGCCTGAAAAACCCATGAGGTACGTACAGTCGATTTGGAGAGCGACATTTTCTTTGTTCATATTACTTAGGGATCCAATCCTCAGTGCCCAGCAGAGTCCAAGTGCCGCATGCTGATCACCTAGGCTATTGGGCTATGGGGCTATTGGACCTGAGCCACAAGTTCCAATCGGACACATCGCTGAAGGGACCAGCCAGGTCGCACCATTTCCAGAAGCCAAAAATCTAAAAAGACCAATGGCTTGAAATAGATATAAGTAAATGTTTATGGATGTATATGGATATAAAATATTTCTCAACATGGAGCTACCCGACTCTACCCGGCTAGCCGAAATCCATATGGTATTTAATAGGACAAACATCAAAAATCACCATGAAATGTTGATCAGGTCATCAGTTTCAATCCCTGAACCCACTCCTGGGCCCGCCTTGTCGTGTAACGACGCGGGAAACTTCAACGGAGCCCTTAGGGCCTGCAACGAGAAAGTCGTGGGAAAAAACTGAGGGAACGATAGAGAGTAGTGCCCCATTGTTAGCTAAGTGTACTTGTAACTTGGTTAACTATGGTTTACAAGGATTAGATCCATAGTTGATGGGGTTATAAACCAACTTATGACTAAAACATAGGGATGTGATGATGGTAAAATGGTAAACCCAATGCCATAAACCATCACCAACCATCCCCAACAGAGGTTCATTATTGTTTTTTTTGCATCTGCCATAGCAATGGGTAGAGAAGTAAACTGACATCCGTTCGTGCTTGGCGATCGGGACCATTTTTTTGGGGGGGTTAGCACATTATGTATATATATATATATATCTACATTATACATATTATATATGTATATAGATTACTCAAGGTGGGATAAACTATAGACTAACAAACAGGGGAATACTTGGGTCATGGGTACTCCAAAGAATTTGCTGCTGGATTCAACAAGCCATTGCTCACAAAGGTGGTCTTCACTTACCTTACACATACCACCTTTGAATGTCCGATGATTTCAATCTTGAAATGGTTGTGCATCAGTAAATACATGTATATATAATGATACATATAATATAATATAATATAATATAATATAATTATATAATATAATATCATATATGTAATATAATATAACATAATATAATATAACATAATATAACATAATATAACATAATATAATATGATACAATATGATATAATACAATACAATATAATATAATACAATACAAAAAAATAAAATACGATACAATATAACATAATATAATACAATACAATAGAATATAATACGCTACAATACAATATAATATAATACCATACAATATAATATAATACAATACAATATAATATAATACAATACGATATAATATAATACAATACACTATAATATCATATAATATAATACACTACAATATAATATAATACAATACAATATAATACAATACAATATAATATAATACAATACGATATAATATAATACAATACAATATAATATAATATGACAATACAATATAATATAATACAATATAATACAATATAATATAACACAATACAATACAATATAATACAATACAATATAATATAATACAATACAATACAATATAATATAATACACTACAATACAATATATATAATATAAACATTCTACGTATATGTATCATAAATTCCACACACCTACAACTCTGGAAATCGGCGTCTCACCTTCATAGCGGCTGCTTTGTCGCGGAAGGTCACATAGGCCGTCCCCTGGCATTGCCATAAACTCAGGTCACTTTCCTTTCACCAAAAAACACACCATTCTCAACATCATATGGTGGTTAATAATAATAATTAATGGTGAAATAATGGGAACATCTAATAATTTACTATGATCATATGGTGAAATGGTGATTAATAATGGACACATCTAATGAACATGATGGAACGTGGTGATTTCATGGGGATTTCATGGGATTATGATAGATTATAACTGGTTGGTGGTTGAGCCTACCCCTCTGAAAAATATGAGTTCGTCAGTTGGGATGATGAAATTCCCAACTGAATGGACACATACAATTCATGTTTCAAACCACCAACCAGTTAACATCATATGCTGAAATGGATGAAAGAGATATTTCTGATGGTGATGAATAATTGAGAAACACATTCATCTGAATTGTGATTAAAAACATACAGAGAAATGGATGTCTTAAATTGAAGGACCCCCCAAAACCACGTCAACATATGGGGAATTTGAAGAACCATCTTGAGAGATGGATCGTGAGGTCGTTGAACAGATGAAACATGGGCTGTTCCCCAGTATTGTTGGCTAGTCATGTTTGGACCCCACATGAATGCCAGTTGAGCCGAAAGAGGGAAGGCAAAGCAATATCGGTGTGGTTGGAAAAAGGGATACCAAACAGATCCCAAAAAATGGCTGGTTGTTATTTGTTGTCTCTAGTTTTTTCTCCTACTCCTGTAAATACGGTATATCCTTCGTACAAGGTAGCTATATGATTTTAGTAGAAACATATCCTGTCTTTCTTCCTCACGGTCACCAAAGTCCAGGTTTTTTTCCAACTTGGCTCTGGCTCAAACTCCAGGTTCTGACTGTGATGGAATCCACTGACTTCACCCACAGCAAGACATGGTTCCCATCCCTACTAAGAACAACATCTATACTATATATATATATATCCATGTAAATGCTCCCAGAAATGTTTTCTAATCCCATCCTTTTTACCCTGGTTTCATTGGAGGTGTTGCATATTCATGCATATTCAGGATGATATTAGCTACCAAAAACTGGCATCAGCAAATGCTACTTCGGTTGTTGGGCAGTTCGCAGGGTCTATGTTCGACAATGAAATGGCAGGTAAGTGAAGCTTGCAACTATGACTAAGTATCATCATGTCTGTAGTTGATTGAGACTATTATCATAGCTATAGTTTATGATATCCTTACAACCCTAGCATCTTACCAAAGTACTATAGCATAACTATATATATATGATTTTAACATATTTTAACATATCTTCACCGTCGTTCCGTGCATCATTCACCACCCACATCCGCGCCTCGCATTGATACGGATCCAAGGGATGAGGTTCACAGCGACAGTGCTGTACCTGTTGAACTACCAAAGTAAAATGAGGATTTACTGGAACCATAGTGGTGATAACATACCCTCTGGTTATGTCAAAATAGCTATTGAAAATGGCCATAGAAATAGTGGATTTTCCCATTAATAGCATGGTGATTTTCCATTGCTATGTTAGTTTACCAGAGGGTAGCTGGTTGGTGGTTTTAACATGTTGACAACCATCTTGAAAAATATGACTTATGAGTTCGTCAATGGGTTTCGGATGACATGCCATATATGAAATGGACAATAAAACATGTTTGAAACCACCACCCAGATAGTAACATATAGTAACTATATAACCATAGTGGTTCCAGTGTTCCAGTGCTGGACCTATTGATTTCCAGGGACAAAAAAGCGAGGATTGCACTTCCTATTTACTGGAAGCAATGTTAGTAACTACCCTCCAGTCAACATGGCAACTGCAAAAATCCCTGGTTTCATGGATGGAAACCACTGCCATGTTGGATCCAGAAACCCATGGTGGATCTAGGTAGAATGCGCCGGTGGGGGAATGTGGGGGAAATGGTGGATTTAGTGCAGACTCCCGCCATCATCAACATCATCTTCAGCTCCAGATCGTGAGATATTGGGATCAAGCTATGCGAATGTGTTGAGATACTAAATCATCACATGTGGCCCACCCCTCCGAAGGTTATTTTTTGTGGATTGCAACTCCCTTTGCAATCTGATTTCTTTGCAGATGAAACAAGCAATCTGCTCAGAATCTCCTCAGAATCTCCATGCCTATCCCAGCCCTATCCCAGCCCTAAAACCACATCTACCCTCTGGTAATTTAACATAACTATGGAAAATTACAATTGTTAATGGGTAAATCAACTATCAATGGCCATTTTCAATAGCTATTTTGACATAACCAGAGGGTATCACTTTGAGCTTAGCCAACCAGGTCCTCTTCGGCCCCCGAAGACTCGGCGCCGCGAAACGCGTTTTTTTTCGACTCGGCGCCGCTTTTGGCCTGCGACGACGGCACTGACTGGTCGCCCAGGGTTTAAGACATTTTGAGACCACATTTAGAGGAAATTCCATGGAATTTCAGCCAGAATCAATCCCGAATCCAAATTCATAATGTGGATATGTCATAATCGACAAATCCAATGTCAGTGGAATTTCACAAATTTAGAAATTTCATCTGGAGCTTTCTGAAAATTCTAACAAAATCCGGTCGATCCTTGAGCCAACTTTGGGAATTTGGAACCTTAAGGTCGACCCGAAAAAAGCAGCACACCTGGGCACCCACAAGTTCAGTTCGCAAGTACGTTGTCAGTCGTTGTCCACGTGTAGTCGTAATAAACCATTTTGAACTCTGGGATGTAAACAATGTCAAGGGTGGTGAAATCATCACCTTGCTCGAACTCCTGGGCCTCCCATTGGCCTCCGTCACTATTTTTGGAAGTCTATGCCCTTTCCGTAGTTGAACAATTTCACCACAAACTATAGTGAGTGGGGCTATAAACCAACTTATAACTAGGGGGGGCCACATTGTAGTAAATTGTCAATGACTTTGGTTCACAGCCAATTGAAATTCCCATATGTCCCATGGATCATAAGCCCCCAAATAAACCAGGCAGTATTATGGGGCTTTGTCCCAAAATGCAGCTGTTTACCATAATCCTCCCTATTCAGCAACAGGACATAAAATTGGGGATACCCCATGTTCAGACACACTAAATCATTTTGAACAAACCTCGAAGTCCAAGACTGAAGCAATCCATTCATCACCGCTGAGGCTTCCAGGTATTCAACAAGTTGAACAAGCACAGCCCTGAGAAATAGATCAACCACCAATGAACTGAATGATACCCATTGTTTGCACCCAACTGGCATGTGTGTTTTCTTGGTAACAAAAACAAGCGTCCTTCATTCTCAACTTATCTATGAATCTATTCAGTCAACGTAGGCGTACCAATGGACTAACAATTCTTGCCATGTTTGCTTTGTATGAAAGCATATATCAATATATCTGGCCAAATTACTTTAATTCTTACCTCGTCTCCCTCGTGTCTTAATTTGTTCCTCATGATTACTGTCCTCGTTCGTTAATTTGCAGGTGCAAATTAAGGCTTTACCTCGTTAATTCGAAGGAAGAAAGTAGCTTGTGGGCCTTCTTTCCAAGGTCCAACCCCAAGGAAAAAAAACTTTTCAGCTTCCGAAAAGTTTTTTTCCACGATCCACGGTCTCTTGCAGGGATTTTTAAATCTGAGTCTGATCGGTCTTTGCGTTTCTTGCGCTTGGGTGGTGACATCTCTGACATTATCGCAGAGATGCAATGCTCTTCTGGAGCAACTCTGAATCCTACTGCTTCTGCAGCCGTTCTGGCAGCCAGGCCTCTGGCGATAGAAAATAAAACTTTTGGGGGCCTGAAAACTTTTTTTTTTTTCCTTCCTTGCCTGCTGACCGGCCTCTAGCGATAGAAAATAAAACTTTTTGGGGCCTGAAAAGTTTTTTTTCCTTCCTTGCCTGCTGACCGGCCTCTGGCGATAGAAAATAAAACTTTTTGGGGCCTGAAAAGTTTTTTTTCCTTCCTTGCCTGCTGACCGGCCTCTGGCGATAGAAAATAAAACTTTTTGGGGCCTGAAAAGTTTTTTTTCCTTCCTTGCCTGCTGACCGGCCTCTGGCGATAGAAAATAAAACTTTTTGGGGCCTGAAAAGTTTTTTTTCCTTCCTTGCCTGCTGACCGGCCTCTGGCGATAGAAAATAAAACTTTTTGGGGCCTGAAAAGTTGTTTTTCCTTCCTTGCCTGCTGACCGGCCTCTGGCGATAGAAAATAAAACTTTTTGGGGCCTGAAAAGTTTTTTTTCCTTCCTTGCCTGCTGACCGGCCTCTGGCGATAGAAAATAAAACTTTTTGGGGCCTGAAAAGTTTTTTTCCTTCCTTGCCTGCTGACCGGCCTCTGGCGATAGAAAATAAAACTTTTTGGGGCCTGAAAAGGTTTTTTTCCTTCCTTGCCTGCTGACCGGCCTCTGGCGATAGAAAAAAAACTTTTTGGGCCTGAAAAGTTTTTTTTCCTTCCTTGCCTGCTGACCGGCCTCTGGCGATAGAAAATAAAACTTTTTGGGGCCTGAAAAGTTGTTTTTCCTTCCTTGCCTGCTGACCGGCCTCTGGCGATAGAAAATAAAACTTTTTGGGGCCTGAAAAGTTTTTTTCCTTCCTTGCCTGCTGACCGGCCTCTGGCGATAGAAAATAAAACTTTTTGGGGCCTGAAAAGTTTTTTTTTCCTTCCTTGCCTGCTGACCGGCCTCTGGCCCCCAAAAAAGTTTTTCTAGCCAAGCCCAAGCATGCAACAGAACCAATGCAAGGCTACCTCGTCGAGGTCGGCTAATTCTGATGAGCAAATTAAGGGCTGACCTCGCTAATTCCTGCAACCTGCCTCGTTGCCTCGGCTGTCCTCGCTATAATTTGTGCATATATATATATACATATATATATATATATATTATATACATATCATATATCAGTGTATCAGTTTTAACCTCTAAAAACAGATTCAATACAAATAGACTAAGTAAATTACACGTCCTTTTTTTGTGGTAGTAACTTTTCTGGTCCAACGGGTTGGCCCAGTGACTTGGTGACGACTGGTGACCCAGTTGTGGGACTTCAAGTCCCCAGTGGCTTGATTATTCCATAAGTCAAGGCACTTACCAGGGTAAGTGGAATAATAGTGAAGGAACTAGGGTAATAGAAATAGTGTCTGGGGATAGATTATTCACTTAGTGAAAAAAACACTTTTTCGGTCTGGAGATAGGTTACCAACCACTTACCAGGTCAGTGGTCGTATCCATTGCTGGCTTTTTTGCGCCCTGCCTCACTTCCCGACTCGCCCTCTTTGGGACAAGTGCAGTAGCCCGACCTCGTCCCCAAAGACTTGTCCAGTCCCAGTCCAGGTGGTCGGCTATGACTGTCGTTGCAGTGATTTGTATGAGCAACAAGGTGTAAAATAGTATAAGATAGCAGAACATAGTGATCTGGTTGGTGGTTGAGCCCTACCCCTCTGAAAAATGATGGAGTTCGTCAGTTGGGATAATTATTCCCAATATATGGAAAATCATGAAATTCCATGGTTCCAAACCACCAATCAGTGATAGTATGAGATAGTTTTTCAGCAATCAGCATGGGAATGTAACCTCAACTTCGAATCAGTTGGAACTGACAGTAACCCCTTTTTCACTATGCTAGTTGTCTATCCATAACTGGACTTGCATCCCAATAGCCCACGAATGGACCCACGAATGGACCCACGAATGGACCCCTTGATGGTACCGAATTTATGGATTCCCATGATAAGTGCCCAGCAAACACTGAGTTTTCTGTGGTAAACCCAATGCCCCAGCAACCACCCCCAAACGGGGATGGTTTTGGGGTTTATCAAGGACCAACAGAGAACAAGGATGCACTGCTCACCAGAAATGGGATAATATATGATAATATTTGAAACAACTACCAGTGGTTAACCCGTTTAAAAGAACAAACACATCAAGATCTTCAAGGTGATGTTTTTGGGGAATATGTCCACCTCCAGCTAACCTTAGAGGTTACAGAGTTTCACGCTATTAAAAATGGTTTGTCTAAAGCCTGCCAGCCATTGGAAACCCAGAGTCTTCCAAGTGTCTTTTTTTCTTCGAGTCTTTGTCCGCTGATGACTTTGTTGGTTTTTCTAGGGAACAATCTCAGGGGCAGCCTGGTTTATAGTTTGCAGATGTTTGCAGCGTCAAGGTAGGATTCCTAATTGAAATCCAAATCGGATTTAAGTTAAAGTCACTCTCCCCCAAGTAGGAGAATTTCATGGGATTTACTTGGGATTTCGAGCTTTTGGATCCCATTCCCAGGAGGTCACTTGAAATCGCCCCATGAAATCGCCAAAAATAGAGATATCCTCTGGTAAACGTTTACATAGCTATGGAAAATCATCATTTTTAATGGGAAAACTCACTATAAATGACCATTTTCAATAGCTATGTTAGTTTAGCAGAGGGTATCCGATAGTGGTATTTTACCAATCATCAACAATCATTTCCGCGGAATTGTTTACTCTTTTTTTGGTGAAAGTTGGGGATTATGTTACATAGATTTACCATGGATTTATATCATGACATATTTGTTGGGTTAATATAAGTCAATCATTTGGGATAGTCTGAACATAAGATACCCCCAATTCTCATAGATTATCCTATATTTTCATCCTATTTTCACCATTGTTATCATTTGGTATAGGATTTTATCATCATTTCGATGGCCTTTGGGTATCCCCCAACTCCTCAAAGCCCGAGGCCCAGATAGGCCCAGACTTCAATCGAAAGCAGTCGCGACAGCGGATGCCCGATTTCACTAACCTCGAGGGCTTGGGCAAAGGCCCCCACCAACCACTTGGCTTTTGATGGGTTTTCTATGGTTTTCTATGGTTTTCAATGGGAAAATCCAAGTTGAACCGAAAAAGCAGGGATGAATCAAACCACTCAAATATCCGGACTATGTACAGTAAGACCAAAACCAAAGTTTAAATCGCTCAAGCCCTAAACGGTATGGTTCTTTTTCCAACAACCAACTTCCACGAACCACAAATTTGAATTGGTCCTAATGATTTTGGTCCTTCTTTGTGCAAGTTATTCAAGTCTTCTACACAAATCAAAGGGAATCTGCACAGCCGCGCTATGGAATGACTGTACTGTGTGGTTTAAAACTGTGTGGTTTACATCGCCAAAGGATGAGATCTACAAATTCCCACTACAATCTCACTGGTCAAAGCCATTGCAGTAAACATAGGCTATATCCTCGTTGAGCAACTCTCCCCTGAATTGAAGGTCAATCACTTCCCATACTAAGTAGATCATAGGTATCAAATATGATGAATAATATATATATATATGTATATATATGTATATACACGTGGGCTAGAGCACAATACAGGCAATTTTCGCGAATAAACAACTCTGAAATACACGAAACGCTAAGTGACCATAACTACGCCATTTTCGAGATGATTCTCCAACATTTATGGGGAGGCGCTTGCGAGTTTTGCGAGATTGTTGTACCTCAGATCCTTGACAAGAAACATCTTGGCACACGCCTTTCGTTTCGGCCATACCTGGCGAGTGTCAATGGTCATCTGGGTTTGACTCTGTTTCTTCCTGGTTCAGCCACAGCCTGAAAAAATAGGGACAAAACAAAACGGATCTTCAGCTCGGGAACAGACACGGCATTTCATGATACAGGTTGGTTAAGAACGGAATTCATGGAACTTCATGGCTTGTGATCATCGCCAATGAATCTTGGGTAGCAGTTTTTGCCCCTTTAGGCCTCCATCATTTATCAGTTATATCCAAATATCCCCAAAGATATGAGTTCGTCAGTTAGGATGATTATTCCCAATTGCCAATAAATGGAAAGTCATAAAATTCCATGGTAACCAGTTGATGCTTGAAACATGTTGAAGCCCGGGTACACACCGCTTGATGTGGAAGCCATGCACCGCTCACCCAAGGCCTCCACCTTGGCTTTGCGCTTCGAGCCACGTTTCTTTTCGCTCTCGTCCATGATGCTGACCTGGGACCCGTGAGTTATGAGGATTTAACCATATCCAACCATTCCAAATTGGGATTGAATGCAATTTTCATGAGATATTCGTGGATGGATGTATGTATGCATGTATGTATGTATGTATGGATGGATGGATAGATGGTATGGATGGATGTATGTATGCATGTATGTATGGATGCGTACATACGTACGTATGTATGTATGTATCTAATATATATATATATAGAAATATGTATATATATATATATACCATGATAGGACATGACCTCACCACCTATCTCCGATTTGGGTGCATCTGAATATGATGTATTCCACCAGTCGCCAGTCTTTGGGGAAGCTCATGATCAATCGATGGATTTGGGGATACCCACACCTTGGAATGGGAGTTAATCGGCTCTTGATGAGGATACTGAGACATGATAAAGTGTAAAACTAACATCTAGATAATGGGATTAACATCATCATTCAGGATAATGGGAGTTAATGGGGGCCCATCTCTAATATAATAGTATATGGGTGTGTCTCAAACTCGAGATGGGCCCCCATGAAATGGCCATCTCCTCGAGGAAAGTGATCGTAAAACAGTGTGGATTTGGGGGCCGCATTTTGAGGAAACCCCATGCACATTTATTTATACGCAAGAAAACAGCTATAGCCATCTTTGACTACCATGAGAACATTGTGCAGTTATAATATACACATACCATGATATATGATGATGATGATGATGATGATGATGATGATGATGATGATGATGATATATGATTCATCAATACAAATGTATTGATGTTTGTAGCAACAATTCATGGCTGTAGCAAAAGGTAGATCTCGCAGAGGACTGAGAAAACATGACCGTATGTACCTACGGATATTTATGCACATGTAATAAACTATCATTATAGATACTCAATAGATACATGACATGACATGACATGACATGACATGACATGACATGACAATCATGACATACACACATCCATGAAGGTAACGGTGTATTCAAACAAAGAAAAACAAATCCAACTACATGGGTGAAGAACAAATCCTGAGCATATGATAATCTGATAACTGAAGTTAGACTCCGATCTAGTGTAAATTATCAAACAAATCAGAAAAAACATATTCTCCTACCTCATGCAACACCCACAAGAAGAAACCATCTCCAATTTCTGGCGAAACAAAGTGTACCCACTTGGTGACGCTGACAGTGTTCACACTGTGTTCCCTACGGTTTCCACCCCAAAGTTACAAAGAGTGATCCCAACAAATAATCACATTTTGTTTGGGCACAGTAGAATTAAATCCCACAGCCTCTATCCTATTAGAAGCCTGCAAAACCCCAATTGTGCAATGCCATTTTTATTGGTTTCATCCGCCCAAAGGCTGGTTCAATTGGGTTCCCAGTGGGCAGTTTGTAATTCCAATATCTGTTGGTGAGTTAAGTTCATATGTAATCTACAAGTCATCCTTTTTTTCAGTTGTATAGAGTATAAACCTGAATTGTTTGTTTTAATGGTTAATTCTCAACATTGTTGCCAGTAACCAAGCAACACACGTATAATTTGGACCTGTGATTTTATCGAGTTCACACACTTACATGTCGCATATCACCCGTTTGATATTGCTTATACTAATAGCCTCTGAAGACGTTGTATGAAATGCGTCGAATTATTGCGAATTGATGCATTATTTATCACATCTTCAGCCATGAGTATCTTACCTTATGCACACTGAACTATATACACATAATCCGTTCCCATGACTGAGGGATGAGACCACATATTTGGGACCATACAATGGGGGTGTTTAAAAGTAGGGGAATGGGATTAACGATTAATCTGATTGGTGTAAAAATGATGGTAGAGATTACTATGGTATGATACTATGGTGAAACTTTCAGAGCCTAGGTTTTAGGGTTTAGGGTTTAGGGTTTGGGGTTTTAGGGTTTGGGGTTTTAGGGTTTAGGGTTCGTCGTCTGGGAAATCTCAAAGCACTGGCCCTACGCAGGGGTTTGAGCATGTTGAAGGATAATGTTTACACATGCTTAAACGCCATTTGAACCTTCCGGGCAATACACAGCGCCTGGCCGTAATATTACATTTTATACATATCTGATCATATCTTCATATTGATAGCAGTGAAGCGCAGTCAAAGCACCACCACCTTTACGGTGGGCTTGGACTCGGCTGAGGGCCTGAGGCTGTGAAAATGGCGCGGTTTAGGGAGGTGGAATCACAGCTTTATTAGTTATAAGTTATAAGGTATAACTGGTTATAAAAGGGGAATATACATTCTATAAATGGGGTTTTGTTCGTACTTATAACCGGTAAAATCGGTATAAATCGGGCCGAACAAAAAACTGCAGATCTGCAGATTTCACATAGAACTTTGCCAGAGTCAATGCCAGAAAAAATGTCCGAATGTATATGTCCGATGTATGTGTCAGCATTTTGTCAGAATGTTTGAACATGTTTGAACTCCGCTGGGGATCACAGAAAAAACGTCAGGCAAAAACTCGGTAGTTTCTACTGGAATTCCCCGGTAGTAAACCAACATAGATGGGGAACACCCACCAATTATGTAGCTCATGTTTGCAGAGAAACCATTGGTGTTCCACATCTATGTTAGTTTGCACAGTTTACCCCAGGGTATAGTTGGTGTCTTCACTGCAGATGATGAAAGTCATCAAAAATCACTGGACCGCTTCTGAAAGGGTCATCCACCAGAAACAAAGAACTCCCGAGAAATGGATAGTTTCAAATCCTCAAAACAAAACAAAAAGACACGCCCATTTAGGTGTCAGAAAATAGACTACAGTACCCCCAAATAACGATTTTGGTTGACCATCATGTTTGTCCTTAAATAGTGCATGTGAGGGGTATAGCTCCATTTTTGGAGAAGGAACATGTGCTATCACTATATCCCATGATATCACCATGAACATTTTGGATTTGCTTAATTCGACTCAGCAAATCCAAGACTTGTTCCCAAAAAAACACCGTTAAATCCAACAATGGTAAGTCAAATTATTGTCCAATATAATTGTCCATTGTTAATTCACTATAGTAATGTTAAGTAATCCCATGGAATATCTATATATATATATATCATTAATATTCCATTGTCCAAGTAATATCCCATTCATATTTCACTAATATCCCGTTACTATCCCATTTCTGGGTGCCTCAAATGCCTTGATCCATTCGCACCTGCTCGGCAGCTTCACTACCTCTAAGCTTGAGCTTGGATCGAAGCAGTTCTTCTTATCATAAACCACAAACGGCTTCCTGACTATGCGCTATATATATATACACACCTGATTTAGTCAATGGTTATATGTTTATTAACAGTTCCTGAACCATCTTCTGACTCAAGAAACTGGAACATTGGGATATGGTTCAGTGACTGTTTGATAGTTGTACTATCTTCACCCATGTACAAAAAAAGACTGCAACATGATGCAACATCAGTCATGTGCTACTCAGAATAAACCGATCATCATAATTCCACTTATATAAATGTCCCATCAAAATTGCCGCAACCACGGGTATACACAATTTTCAGACACACCCACGTGGGTCAAAAACATACTCAAACGTGAGGATCTCTATGTTTAAGCCCCACCGCCGTATGGACTGCATGTGAGAAGTCTGAGAACTGGCCATTTAATGCCATCTACACCTTGATTGCAGTGAGATTTCCCGATCAATAGTCTAGTATTTCATACGTATACTACATGTAGTCTAGTATTTCATACGTATAGTACATATTAACATTATGTATGTAGATGTATATAATTACTATGTATATAATGTATAGAATACCAATACACAAATGATACCAGCATCGACTTAAGGAAACACAATTATGACAGGTTCTGCCCTCATCGGGGATCGTTGGGGATAGCTATACCAACTAGTTTTGCAACATAATGTCCACATGTACCGTATATAATGTGATGACCACCAAACAAAAAAATGGGTTTGCCGAGTCTATTCAAGTTATACATATATACAAGGTGAGGCCCCTGATTTGTAAGTTGAGTTGTATGTTGGGCAACATAAGTTGTAACTTTGGGAACTTATGTTACATCTTCTTTATCTATGTATGAAGTTATATCTAAGATATGCATTTGTAACTATAGATATAACTTTTTTCGGAGTAAGATATAAATAAGATATAAATAAGTTATAAAAAGTTGTGGAAGATAACTTTTTCGTTAGTTCAGAATGGAAAGATACTTGTTGGAACGGATTGGATAGGTTTTTTCGGCATCCGCAGCTTTTTAGTTTTCCGCGTGACTGTGCCAGTCTTATTTGCTCGTCAACTGCAATGGCTGCCTCTGACTCATCTGGCGCGGATGGACGTGCGCCCATGCAGGATTGGAAGAGTTTCCCGGAGTTCCTCCGTGAGGGACATTGGAACGTGCTTCAATCGGCGGAAGAGCGCCAACTGAAGAAGATTGAGGTTTTGTCGCGCCATCTCGTGGACATGGGTTTGCGCCATCCTTCAGAAAGAACTATGACGACTCTTGCGTCGGTGGTGAGTCATTGTTCTGGACAGCACAATGACGAAGACTCTGCTCGGCTGCAGGCATTATTGCAGACAGTGAAGTCTGTGCTGAAGGCACACACTGTACGAGCGAGGCAGGTTGCCACGCCTATGTTCACAGCTTACTTGCAGACGTTGCCTGCGAGTGTAGCTGAACTTCCGGAGGCCATGAGAGAGCATTTTTTTCCTGGCGGTGCATTTCAGCCGCCAGTTGACTTGCTGCCGATCTACGCATCCGCTGCACTGTGGCCGTGTCGCAGTACGAACCGGCAAGTGTCACTGGCGCGCCAGCTTACTGCTGGAGGAAACATGCTGATGAATGGCTCAGGTTCTTTGGCGGCTGTCGCGCAACAAGCGGCGCTGCAGACTGCTGCCGCCTTTGCTTCAATGAGTCGCAGCTCTAGTGGAGGGTTTGAAGTGCCGGGTCTTGAGATTTTGCCAGCCGGGCAAAGGGCGATGGCGCATGCTCAAGCGCAAATGACAAGTCGCCAAACGCCTTTGGCTGCCTTGATGAACAGAGCAGAGTCGCAAGGAGTTCCAAGTGCTCCTGCCGTGATGGACAGAGCACAGTTGCAAGGAGCCCCAAGTGTTCCTGTGTCGATGGACACAGAGCCGTCGCAAGGAGTGCCAAAGGCATCCGAAAGCGGTCCTGCCACTGGTCATGCGGTTGCTCGACCAGCAACTGCGTTGCCAGCTTGCGTTGCACCAGCATCAGTAGGCGATCCGGCTTTGCAGAGTCAGACTGAGATTTCTGCACCTGTTGCTGACCAAGCGCAGGAGGAACTGGACCGCTGTGTGATGGCTCTTTCTCAGGAGCATTATGGTTCGACGCTTCCGGACTTGCCGGACGCTGATGCTCCAGAAGCAGGCAAATCCAGTGGACAGGGGGCTAAGAGAGGCCGTCCCGCGGGAAAGGCCGCTGCGAAGAGACCAGCTGCCTGTCCGAAGACTTTGGCAAAGAAGCCGGGCTGCAACATCAAGACTGTGCTCAAAAAACCTGCGGGCAACACTCAGAGCGTGTTGAAAAAGCCTGCGGGCAATTTCCGGGACGCGCTTACGAAGCCGGTTGACGGAAGAGATTTGAAGTCAGTGACTCGGCAGCAGGCGTTGCGGCAGCGTCCTGAGGGATGCAGTCGTTGCAGACACACGCCGGGTTGTTGCCCGAGCTGCTGGACGCAGCGTGGATATCGTGTATTGCAGTAGTTGGCCACCGACTGGATCCGTTGATATCCTGGCTGGCGTCGAGAGATGCACATTGGCTCTGGTGGATATCCTTTTTTGGTGAGTGTCGACGGAGACACACTATAGCACATCTGACCATGGTAAGTTTTGACTGAAAAAAGTACACTTATATTATATCAACATCCCACTATATTAATTTAGGGAACTGCATCCATACAATTAATAACTTGAAACTCTGACATGTCTTCCGTAGCCATTTTGGATCAGTTACTGACTTTCACTCCACTTAGTTAGCAATGCGTAAGCTGTACTTCTCCTACACGAAAAATGAGACAGGAGATAGAGTCAAGGTTGACTTGCCTGGCTCTGAGAAGTTGGTGATGCCGACGCTGACGTCCCTGTGGTCACGCCGTGAGGATGAAAAAAAACGTGCGGCGGAAGTTCTTACCGTTGAAGACAGCCCAAGCCAAAAACGCACATGTCCAGATGACCGAGGTGTGGGCTACAAAGGTCGACAAGCGTTGGCAAACAGCGTTTGTGACATTGTGGAGAGGCTGCGGGGTGTGCCAGGTGAGGCTCTGCCTGACCATCGCAGAACTTCGTTTCTGCGACTCTTGGATGCTGCTGTGCTGGATGTCATCGACGATGAACTTCCGTCGAAAGATCTTGCTATCATCCGACGAGTGGTCAGAGATGCTTCGACTGCTTTAGAACTGCAGTGACTTTAGGGAGCGTAACTGCAGTTAAAAAAGGAGCGTTTGGGATTCAGGAACCACACCTCTCAACCACCTCTATAGGAATATAAGTATATAGATAGCTATATCCCCTGGTTGTTTTTACTCACTTGGGTTTGGCAGAGTTGAACATGAACCGCAGCTTTTTTTCCGTAGCCGTTTAGTGCTCGGCGGCCGTCGCTAAGGGGCGTTGCTGCGATGACGAGTCGGTCCGAGAAGGACCGGATTTCTGAAAGGGGGGGGAGTATTTTTGGTATAGCATCCATGTTTGGGATATTTTCTTGGCATATATATATATTAATGTATAAGTCGCTGCCTCGTTTTATATACTTATATATAGCTGGCGTACGCGCCGCGCTACGTCAATAGGTTTTTTTGGTGCTGGCCTGCGGGCCGCATGATAGAGACTGGCCTTGGCAGTGGCTGGCCTGCGGGCCGCCTATGTGCGCCGCATATGGCAGTGACTGGCCTGCGGGCCGTCTGGTGGTGGCTGGCCTGCGGGCCGTTTGGCAGTGGCTGGCCTGCGGGCCGCCTATGTGCGCCTCATGTGGCAGTGACTGGCCTGCGGGCCGTCTGGTGGTGGCTGGCCTGCGGGCCGCGTTGTGGTGGCAGGCCTGCGGGCCGCTCCGGAGTGGCTGCCAACTGCTTCGCAGTAGCTGGCCTGCGGGCCGCTTCGTCGTTGCGCGCAGCCTGGTCGAATCATCGTGGCCCGTGGGCCACCCGATACTGGTTTCATATATATATATATTATATCTGAGGGATTTCTAAAATAGATATATATCAATATATTATTACATTTATAGATGTATATCTTTTCTATATATTATATATATAATATATATATAATATATAATATATATATATTAATTTTTATAAGTCACTGCATGTATATATTTTTATTCCGCATGTGTTCCTTCTTCTCTGCTCGCAGGAGACAGCAGATCGTGGCCGGTCTTCGTCGTCGCACACTGACCACCGGCCTAAGGGCCTAGAAAGAAAGCCAGAAGCTGAGTCCGCGGACAAGGACGAGCAGCAGGAGGGTCGCAAAAGGGACCGCGACGAAGAAGGGCCTGGACGGAATAGAGGTCGGACCCCAGGCAACAAGTCCCGCGCTGGCGCTGCTCGTAAGTGGAGGAACTATGATGACTCCACGCAGTGTTCCAACTGTAAGCGGTGGATCAACAGCAGTCATGCCGCGTGGGACCAGCACAGAAATGGGAAGTTTTGTCGGAGCTACACCTACTACAATCGTGGCTACGATTGGAAGACTGCCCAGGAAAAGGCGGACTACGCCATCCGGCGGGAGCAGGAGAACTACGAGTATCTGACCCGCGGGTCAGAGACACCTCGGCAGGCGCCAGTCCTGCGTGAGAAGGTGTCTGCGCCGGAACCTGCGGGTTCTGTGCCTGAACCCGAGGGTTCGCCGCCGCGTGATCGTGATGAAAGAGACCAGCGGCGAGAGCGACGCCACAGGTCGCGTTCTCGCAGCCGGCGAAGACATCGCCGCAGGCATCGCAGCCGGCGAGCAGACTCGGAGCGCCAGAGGGAGCTTGAGTCTCGGCTGGATAAAGCCCTGGAGAAGTATCCATCGCGTGCGCGCGATGGACGTGGCGCAGTGGATCGTCGGCCCGAACCTCGCCGCTCTGAGGAAGGGCAGGCCAAACCGCTTGCCCCCCAAGTTGTGAAGGAGGAAGAGGAGAGCGAGAAGTCCTCTACTCAGGAGGAGGAAAGCGAGGAAGAAGAATCTTCTCGCGGTGGGACTGACCCGGGCAAGCCTGCTGCCCAAACGGCTACCTCTGGCAGGGCTGCTGCCTCTGGCAGGGCTGCTGCCTCTGTCAAGCCTGCTTCCTCTGGCAAGGCTCCCAAGGCCAAGGCAGGAGCAGGGGCGGTGAAGCAAGTGCAGCCTGTGCAGTCTGCTGCGCCTGCTCCCTCCCAAGCTGCTGACGTTGACGAGCAGCGCCAGAGGTTCGTCAGTGGTTTGCTCGCCACGGCGATCCGTGAGGGACTGCGGTCTGGCCAGTAAGACTTTTTACCGCACTGCAAGAACTTGCGAGCAAAAAAGGGCGTTGGGACTCACAGGGGCTCGAAACAAAAAACATACAGAATCTATATATGAATAAACAACCCGAACAAATGTGAACACGTATGTGTTTCCAAGTTTAGGGGGAAAATCGTAAGAAACACGTATGTGTTTAAGATGTGTTTCTTCGTGTTTCTTTGTGTTTCCTAGTTTAGCATACCATGTGTTTCCTGATTTTTATTACAAGACAGTAGTTGTAAACGCGTATGTGTTTCCTACTATTAAAGCAAAAACATCAAGAAACGCATTGTGTTTCCTATGTTTCATTGCAGAAAAAGTAGGAAACGCATATGTGTTTACAATTTGGTATGAACCGGCTTGTGTAAACACGCATGTGTTTCCTACTGCTTATATCACTTTTGGATTCTGAGTAGTGTATGTTCCGCAGTTTTTGGGTTCTCACTGTCTCACTGTTTGCCAGCGACGGAAGTGAAAGTTATGGAGATGGCTACTGAGAGCTCCGTCCTTGTTCAGAAGGCAGAGGAAGGCTCACAAGCAAGCTCACACGTGGAACCTGCGAGGTCAGACGTGGAAGCTGGAGCCGTGGCAGACGAGGCGCAAGTCAACTGCGCCAAGTGCAAGTCTGAAGTTCCGAAGGCGGACTGCATTGAAAGGCCTCGTAACCGCGAGAGCTTTCGCTGGTGCTGTAAGGCGTGTCACGCCCTGACAGTCCAGTTTCAACGAAAGGGTCTTTCCCTCCAGACACTGTTGAGTGAAGACTCGCTGGTCGAGTTTTTCAGCGCAGCGTCTGAGGAACGCCGTCAAGCTACGGAGAACAGACTGAGTTTTGCTTCAGCGCGTGCTTTGCTGAAACAAAGCATGGTTACTGAAACCAAGCGTGTCCAGCAGGATGGCCGCGGAGGCGCGTACCAGCCCTTGGCATGGTACGAGCTCCGTGGCTATGACGTAGATGCCATTAAGGCAAGTGCGCCCTGTGAGAAGCACGCCATTTTGGGCGACACCTACTTGGTTCAGCTGCACCACACCAGTGACGACACCTACTACACAGAGGCTGAGCAGCGCATCGCTCGGCTAGAGAGTGAAGCGCTGCAGAGGAGACGAGCTGCCCCCACTGTTGGCGTCCCGGTCCTGGACTTGCCAGAGACAGAGGAGCCGAAAGAAGTGAAGAGCAAGGGCAAGCGAGGGCTGACGGACGAAGAGAGGGAAGCTGCCAAGCGTCAGCGCTTGGAAGCGAAGAAACATGAAGCTGAGCGCAAGGTCGCTACTAGCGCTGCCGTCAAGCTGCTGCCCGCCTTGAAGTCTGCGCAAGCGAAGCTCGCAGAGAAGATACACAAGCTGGGCACTGCTGCGGACGGCTTGCCGGAGGCAACTAAGGAGCAAGTGGAGAAGGCCCAGGGTGCTTTGGAGCAGAACATCCTTGGCGCGACCAAGCTGTTGGACTGCGCCGCAAAGGGCAAGGCGGTTGACGCCACTGGTCTTCCGTTCGCTAAGGACAAGGACCTGCAAGGCGTGGTCAAAGACGCCAACGCAGCCTTGCGCGCAGTGTCCGAGTATGTGCGCGCGCAGAAGCAGCAGAAGGAGAACATGAACCCAAACGGCGAGGCTAAGGCCAAAGCCAAAAAGTAAGCTACTACTTGCTTACTGTCCGTTCGCTATCCGTGGCACAGGCCACAAAGCACAGAAGAAGTTTTCCTCAAAACTTCTGACCGCAAAAAATTGGCATTGGGGATTGCCATGCGTTCCTAGTGAAGTGCAACCATTTCACACGTGCGGAAAAAAACTTGGCCCGGATGCTCACAGAGTTTGACTGCATTAAAGCCTGATATATATATATATATGTATACACATATAAATGAATAAATCCTATATTATAAATTCTATATATAAATTATATATATATATATAGATATATATATATATATATATCATATACTCACTTACACGCATTCATATATCACATGTATATGAAATAAATGAATATACATATATTATATATATAATCCGATGTTCCAGTACATCCTTCCGCTATATGACGTGACTTGCCTTTCGTTGCAGTGTTTTCTTCAAGGATGCGCAGTTGATATCGCTCGAACCGTGGGACATGGCGATTGCGGAATCCGTGCTTTCGATGGCGTCCATCGCCAGCCTAGCTAATGCTAGCCTGCGGGCCAGCAAGTCCGAAGAGCAGCTTCATGACCTAGCACACGGACCGGTTGAATTGCTGCGGGAAATTTTGCTACAAGTCGTTGTTCAGGATGGCCATGAACAATTGGCGCAGACTGTTCGCGCCATTACAGACATGTTGCTGTTGTTGAAAGGTCTTCTCTTGGCCTGGGATTGCTCCATGTGTCCTGAAGCAATATTGGAGCTACCCCTACCGAAATTTCCAAAGCACTATCCCAACCGCTGCTGGCACTGGAAGCATCCACGGAGTCGATTCTTATCATCCGAGGTGCGATCAAGTGCCCAATTCCTGTGTGAAAATTCACACGTTTTCACAACAGAACCATGGGTTTGGATCCAAGGTTGGCTTCTGGGCATAGAGGAGACTCTTTTCGAGGAAGTAGATTAACCGGAACGGTTCTGTGTAACACCACGCGGAAAAAAGGCGCGCTTGCTTTCCTGTCTCCTAACTAAAGAAACTCTAGCTGTAAACTATAATCCACCTTGTAACCAAACAACTGTATAAACCACTCACTGATGACTGAAGCTGCTGTCTATCTTGCGGCTCAGAACTGCTAGGTTCGCGGATCCCTGCCAGAGACATTGACATGTCTCCTGCCTCATCGTCCGCGGCGCCGCGGTATGACGCGGCCATGGCACGCTTCAGCCAGCAAAGCATTTGGACCTTGCAGCGGTTGCTGCAAGGAAAAGAGGCGTCGACAAACCCAAGCGGCGCAATGAAGCGCAAGTTCTCGCAAGAGATGGAGCCAGCTCTGCGGTGTTATCATCTGATTTCAGCTCCAAACGTGGAGCCGGCTTCGCAAGACATCCAATTTGCAGTGGCGCAAATTGGAGAACTTCTGCGCTATGTATCGCGGGCAGTTCCTTCCTTCTCCGATTTTCTGCGGAGGTGTTCGGGGAAAATCATATTGTCGCACGACGAGACCACTGCTGGAAACGTATTGAATACCGATGCGAGCCAAAAGGTGGTGCTCTTCTATGCGACTTTCTGCGAATTGCAGTATATACACGAAAGTCCTCGTGCTTGGCTTCCAATAGCTGCCATCACTCACCGGCAAGTCGGCCAGGTGACTGGTGGCCTGAGTAAGATCCATTCGTTGTTTCTGGAAGACTGGTATCGACAAACGCAAGAAGCGTTGACATTGTTGCCGGGCGTCAAGATCTCGTTGACGATCCATTGCCTGGTGTCCGATCTTGACGCACAGCGTTTGGCTTTGTGCGCAAAAGGCAGCGCCGGCCTGAAACTATGCGCGTTCTGCCAAAACGTGCTCAGTAGATCCGCAGAAGGGACGGCAGCGAACAGTGACAACTTTGTCACGGTGCACGAGCACGACCTGCTGAAGTGCCAGCGACTCACTCAATCGGAAATTGAAGACTACATGGCGCGGGCACTGCGCACATGGCACAGTGCGACGAAGGCCGAAAGGGATCTGCGTGAGCGGTGCCTGGGCTACAATATTGGCGTCGGCGGGATGTGGGAATCCGCTATCGCCAAACGGGTGTTGCCGCTGCATCGTTTTGTGAACGACAGCATGCATTGCTATTTCGCGAACGGCTGTTGCTCTGCGGAGATTGTGCTGCTGCTCGCCGAAGTGAAGAAGCACACGGGCACTGACGTCGCAACCATTCAACAAGTTGTGCTGGATGCACAATGGGTGCGAGCAGGCCAACAACACCGCAATGGCGAAAACAAGCACTGGACGAAGCGCTTGTTCACAGAATGTTTTTTTTCCGGAAACCTCTACAAAGGAGGAGCCAAACAAACCCGAGCCCTGACGTTTCTGCTGCGGTGGTTAGCCGAAAGTGTGTGGCTATCAGTACCCGCATTGGAGCCCTACGCACGGTGTTTTCTCTTGCTGTGCAAGTGCGTCGACTGCATCCGGCGTGTGGCCCAATCCAAAAATTATGAAACGCTCTATCGGTTGCAGTCAGAGCATCAAAAACTTTTTGTCGCGCTGTATCGCGACAGTACAAGACCGAAACACCACGCAAGGTTGCGCCTGAGCGAACAGTACTCCCGCTTGGATTGCCAACCCAACTGCTGGGGCACAGAGTCAAAGCATCGAGACTACAAGGGAGTCTTTGCGCCGACAGTCTGTCATTTCTTGACAGAACAAATCGGTGGCAGCCATTTCAGCAAGCAGCTTATGCCGCGCCTGCTGATGCGCCACTGCGAATTGCTGCGCGAGAACCCGATTGGGATTTGAGCTCCGCAACCCCTTCAGCCAGCAAGAAATCGAGACAGAAACAGACCTTGAGGGTTGCCGTGTATCCGCCCAATGCAGCATTGGAATGCTGGAACTCGCAGAAAATGATATCCTCTTATGGGGTTCCAATTTGGCAGCCGCAGCCAAGTGCCATTTCTTCGTCGAAAAGGAAAGCAAACTGTTCCTTTACGCGACGGAAGGAATGCTAATCAAAACTACCGCAGCACAGAGAAATTTTCAGTTCAGAGGGCCAAAGATAATGAAATTGTGGTCCGAACTGCACGCGCCAACAATTCCCACGTGGATCCGAAACGGCCCAGAAGATTTCGTTCACTGCTTGATCTGAGCGGAAAAAAGGCACCTTGAGTGAATTCACATGAACTGGTCGGTTCCTCTAAACAAATCCAATTTCATCAAATCAACAGATCCAAAAAGATATAAATAAGTTATGAAAGATATATCTTAGATATAAATTAGTATATATCTACCCCAACTTAACTTATGTTAACTTCAAGCTAAGTCACCTAACATAAGTTATAAATTCTATAACTAAGATATATCTTGAGAGCCTCACCTTGTACATATATATACATATATATACATCTATACATATGTAAGACATACAATTATATATATATACATACGAGTATGTGGCCAGGCAGAGGTATCCCTCCAAACCGTAATTTATCCAAAGGCAAACGGCATATTTCAAAATTCTCCATGAAACTGTCTAAAAGTGAGCCCATGGAAACAAAATGATCCTGAATTGGGCGTGTTTGGATACTTGGTACACAATGCCAAAGGCCATAAAAAATTGTGAAACCATAGGTTTCAATTGTTCATATTATCAAACACACATTTCCATAGAAAACCATTCAATAGCCCATGGTTTAGTAAAGGCCATGACAATAAACCATGGCACACCATAGATTTCAGGGGCACCCCAGTCATGCCTCTGGCTTGGACGGAGAGTCTTCACCTGGTGTTTCGTCTTCCATGGATTGTTTTAAGGGAATATGGCTATGGATCAATACCTAGTAATACCATTTTTAGGGGGATGAACATCCATTTACCAGCTATTTTGATGTGAACTACAGGGGTACAAGGTTTTGACACACTGCCATATCTACAGGAAGCGGAGTGTTTTCTTGGGAGACTTTGTATCATATGTATCATGGATTCTGGCAGACTTTGCCCAAGGATTTGGGCGGCTTTAACCCACCGCAACATCAGGCCTCATAATCTGTTGATCACCTTACTTTCCACAAGGGTAGTTGGGTGCACATTTACAGGACACCAGTGTGTTTACCGCGCTAATGCTGGTAAACTATCAAAGATTTTATCTGGGGGCAAAAAAAAAAGACCACTGGAAACCATATGATTACCTGACTGGTAACAGAAATCATCCTGTAAAATGGATCCATCATGCAATTCTGCGACAACTCTTTGGGATGATATGTTTAAAGCACGAAACACACAAGCCATGCACCTTCATCCTCGACCGCAATGCCACTCGCCAGCGGCTCCTGGGGGCCGTGATGCTTTTTCATAACGCTTGGTAAAGGGTTCATTGGCTGGTTGGTTGGTTAACTTATATTAATGGAATCCATTGAAAGATGGGGTAAGTCACTTGATCAATGGGATAAACATATATAATATCAGTATCTGGGTAAATTTGATCACGACCTCACTGTTCTCCCGAACCCTGGAATCATGGTGAATGAGGGAAATCATCCCCTTTTATGGCCTCCAGATTCTTACGGTGACTTTTTTGGTAATTTACCCAATATTTCATATCACCTAAAAATGGTTTATTGAGGGCCTAGCAATCACCAACAACAATTACGGTAAGAATCTCTCCCTCCAAAGATCCCCAGAAACACATGAACCAGGGACCATTGAGTGGGCCTAGGGGGTATTTCACTACTGAACCGGGGATGGGATTCATGAAAAACACCCATTCATCGCATTCCTTAGCCTTAGTTCATTCTACAATCTAATCCAACAGTGGAATATCACAATCCATCAACAATAATGATTCCATGATGGATGATCATCTCCAATTCATATTGGTTAGTGTAATACCCGAACTAATCATCAATCAAACCAATTTATCAGTAATATCGTCATATCTTCGTATTGTTGATGTTAAAACCTTATAATCTCTGGTAAACTTGTAGCTATGGAAGATCACTCCTTTGATAGCTAAATCAATTATAAACGGGCAATTTTCCATCTTAATAATAACGACGGAAAAAACATGTTCGATGTCAACAAACGGACCCTAATATTAGGGTGTAGAACCTGTAAATTGGACCTTGGTGTTTAAATTGCTTTCCAAAGGGGATCAATTAAAGCTCAAATTGATCAATCTGAAATTTCTCAAAATAAATAATTGGGGTAGTTGTTTGTTTAGGGGAGGATTTAGTAATAGGGAGAATGGATTATTGGCTAGCCTCCCGCAAACCAACAGTTCGATGTGGAAAACCCATCAAAAAAGTAGAGTTATGTCGGGGTATCATCCACTGGAACTGGGCATTCCAGACAAACATAGCATTTTTTCACCAGATTCTTGATGGTCAACACATGTTAAAACATGTTAACACCCTGAAAAATCCCTACAAGTTGATAACCATCACCATCCCTATAAGTTGCTGGTTCAAACCCTAGAAAATTATACAACAATCCCTATAAATCTTACTCAAATCAGGTGAAATACCCGTCCTAATCATCAACCAACAGCGGTCCCAAGAGCCTCGTGCAAGGCCGGCGGCGACGGCGACGAAGCCGGCGCCGGCTTCGGCCCCGAAGGCCCCGAAGGCCCCGAAAGCCCCGAAGGTGCAGGCACCACACCTGACGAGATGGGATCTAAAATGATTAAAACCTCCAACTATAGGTAACTATAGGTGTTTTTTTCATTAAAATCATTGAACATCATTGAACCCTCCATTTTGCGGCATGTAAAACCCATTTATAAATTTTCCCAGCTAGAAACCTCCATTTATACTGGTCTGTCTCGCTTTCTTTGGGGCTTTGGAAGTCATGGGGGATTTGCCAGTCACAGGTTTTTTCACACTTGGCTCGCTTCTTCCATGACTTGGATATACTTGGATGCAAGGGGGTACCCCCATGACTGGTATCAAAAATGGTGAGTTTTGACAAATGGTGGGTACCTCTTTGCATCATCCAAGTCCTGACCATGACTTAGTATTGAAACATATTGAAACAATCATGGGGGGCTTGGGGATCCATCAGAATTGTTGAACCCCCAAAATGTGACTTTACAATAACAACATGGTGATTTTTTGCAATAAACAACATGGTGTTTTTATAGGTGTTTATAATAACACATTTTAAATGGTGAGTTTGAGATGGTTTAATCATTCACTATATAATATGGATTTCATATGTATTACCTATTGTACAATCCATGGTTTCCTGTAGCTTTCCTTTACACGATCATCCCACCAATGGAAAGTCGCATGTAGGTGGCCTTGTGGAAGCTCCCCTTCTCCGGGTAAAATTATGCACTTACATGGGAGAGCACTTGAATTGGCATTTTTTTTTGGTAAATTTGTAAATTTAGAGTAATTTTATGCCATAAATTAATATTAAGAGGCCAGCTTTAACAGAGAAAGTTGATTTTAGCAAAAACTAAATAAAAGAACACAATCAAAAAGAGAATCACCAAAAAAACATCTCGACAGGAAGAATCACGAGAAAAAACAAACAAATAACAAAAGAAAACACAATAAAACAAAATAACGACAAGACACAATTAAAAACAAAACCTGGATTCTCCTCAGCTTTTTTTTATCATATTATTATTTAGTGTGTTTCTTGTTTTTGTTTTTCTAGTTTGTTTTAATTTTTTTCTGTTTGCTCGTTTTTTTTTTGCTTCCTATGTTTTACAATTAATATAAATGAAATAATTCAGAAAGTTTATGAAACACTCTTCAACAGCCATGTTTTTTTTTGAGGGTCTCCCAGATTGACCGTGGTAGCTCTCCCGTTCAAAGTTGATGTGTATCTATATGTATATAATCAATATATATATATAATTAATATATAACTAATATATAATTAATATATAATTAAATATATAATCATATATATATAATATGTAGATTGATTGGTTTCCTGAAAACATATAAATCAATCCAGCAAAGTACAGAAATTCTGTATAGCTTGCGATTCAAAACCCAAGAACTACCACAGCTGCGGCACCTACAAGTTCAGGCTCATCCTCATCTTCTGGCAGAGGCCGTGATCACCATGGGATTTTCTGTAACCAATAAGAGAATCGGTTTCTGATCAACACACGGCGCATCTGAAAATGGGGTACGGATATCGATCCAACATGGCTAGCCATGTTGAAGAGGACACCAAAGGCAGAAGGGTTGAAGAGGACCCAAAAAAGCCCCGGTCTTGAAGTAACACTACTGATTTCACTCAATTGTAGATGGAATACCCCCAGTTGTATCAAACAAAGCTTGAAATCCAGTTACTGACTAATTATGTAGCTACCGCCCAACAGTTATTGTATGGTCAATCATGGTTTTTCTCCATTATGTTTCGCAGTGATGCATCTGTGATGATCTTTCACCTAACTATATTGTATATAACACTGTGCATGCTCTCTGCTAATCAAACATGGCAATTTGCTCTAGAAAAACACCATGTTCAATAGGTAAATCATAAGATATAATCTATATATGGGAATATGTATGTACGATTAATAAAATGGATTTATAAACTAGCATTTTCATCCATATATCATAATCCATGTATATATATAATATCAACCATTATGGTATATCATCCATATTTTCCATTACTCATAATATAATGGATTATATGTCCTGATCTTTGATAAACCACTACATATGTATATATATATATATATATGTATAAAGCGTTATATTACATTATATAGAAAATCAATGGTATAATCCATAGAAAATCATATAAAATTCAATATAAATGTATATATATATATAAACCAATATATTTAGTTATTTATAAATATATCCATGGGTATATTGATGATCTCCATTGTATATATAATTTATGTCCTGATCATTGATAAACCACTATATATATACACCATTATATAACTATATGATCTCCATGATCCATGGTTTCTCAGAACCGCCTTCGCTTTCTCCCTCGTCTGGCAGCTCCGGCATCGGCGTGGTCTGCGCCGCCGCCAGCGCGGCGGCCACCTAAATTTGTCCCAGCGCCGATGGAAAAAATGGTGAATTTCGATGGATGTTTGAGGGATCGATGTGGATTTTCTATGGATTTTTGTGGAAAACACATTGAAAATCCATGGATTTTCGATGGATTTTCAATGTTCTGATGGATTTTTGGTGGAAAACATGTGGATTTCTAGACTTATGGCCCGAAATACAGGTTAATACAGGTTATAAGTCAGTTATAACTTCATTTCTGGAATGATAAACCAGGATAAACCCAAGCTAAAAGTTGGGGTTGTAGCCAGCTTTCCAACCTTCGCTACCCAAAAGGCTGCCTTTGAGGAACTTAAATGGATTTATCTACATGGATTTAAATGGTGGACTTCAAATGCTGAACATGTGAATGCACATGGTACTCATGGTACTTGCGGGGTGCTACGGTGGAAAAAACATGGACAGTAATTTCACCATAGTCATAGGGGCCCCATATTCCCAACTCACAGGGGTTCGAACATCGGCCAACCCATCAATAACCACTGGCCACCCCCAAGTCACCAGAAAAAACGCTGGACATTTTATGATGAGATAGAAGTATGATTCAATGGATTGGGGGAAATACCCGGTTTGGAAATTCTGAATATAGGCTTCCTGCAGATCTTTACATCATCCAATTCGAGGTCAACACAAGGTGCAGTTGGGGTTTTCACACAAACATATGGGTAACATATGGGTGATTTCATCCCCAGAAGCTTATGACATGATATGATATATCAACATGTCAAGGACATGTGGGCAAAAATCGGTGGAACTTCACACCTGTTAAGGTGGTAGACCCAATATTTCTTTGTGATAAGATGTGATAAGGTCAACCAACCACCTAAGAAAAATACCCCACCTAAATTCTCTCAGAAGGTACGGATGGATTCATGAAGGGTAGAAATCAAACTCCAATGCTATACATTGCTACACTACTTAGTACTGCAAGAAGCTTGGATAACTAGTAGGATATCAAGATTGTCTTCTCCTATTCAAGATTCTGACGATTTTTATCAAGGCCTATAGAGGAGTCCCAGATATAGATGTCGACAACAAAACAGATTTGAAGGGATCAAATGCTGGATAAGTCTGGATAGCAATTGCTTGAGTAACAGTCAGGTATTCTGTTTATCTTGATTTAGAATTTAGACCCCACAACATGCTGGAGCTATTTTTTCCTCTGAAAGATAAAACACATGGTGCTTACACAACCTCCACAAAGCAATGCCTGCAACAAATGTAGAATTACCCTTAAAGGTACAGCACTTATCATGGCGACCAGGGTCGACATGGGACGTCGCCGCCGTGCCGATCAAGACATGTTTTGTAACGGGAGATACACCTATATCCTCAAGGAACGAATGTGTACATCTACCATTTGGGATGATACTTCCCACCCATTTATAATGATACTAGGATGGTTGATGGCATTGGGTTTACACATTGTCCCACCTATTTGATCTTCTTTGCATGTAGGCCCTACTCGAAAGGTCGGGCGAATCATTTCTTGATCAAGTCTCTGATCCATGGCAAATCTCATGTTTTTTAAACAGGTGGATCGGTTTCTGTGATGTTGTGCCAACAATCATGCAATATTTATCCAATTGTGGCTAAGAAAATCTAAGAAATAACCAATCAAAACAAAGTCACAATATATATATATATACACATATCATATATATATACATATATATATATACATATATATATATACATGTATATATATATATATACATATATATATATATACATAGGATATAATAATTATGTCATTTCATTATGTTCCAATGTTTAGACATTACCCCAGCCAAGCCTACCATCCTGTTGCTTTACTGACCAGTGACGCGTGCATCTGATGCTTCTGCGCTCAAAGCGGACTCCCGCTGCTCCTGTCTTCGCGTGACATCGAAGTGCGCGGCGCACAGGGGCACAACTTGACCGAGACCCACATGGATATGGGTCAAATTATGTACCGAAAAAAAAGAGATTATCAAATTATCAATACTAAAACATGCAGATTATGTATTTTATGTATATTACAAGTAATATATAATGTGGATATCTCAATAGAACACATATATCATGATATAATCTATATGGATATCTCAATAGTAAAACATCTCATCTGGTACGAGTACATCATTAACACTTTGACCGTCCTCGTTTCGCCTGGCTGCCTGGCTCGTCGAAAGGTGGCCCGAGATCGATCAGAAAACCAATTTCTGAAAGCCCAAACATAGAATCCGGGAAGAATCCAATGTTATATTCAATTAATGGATGGTATACCTAAAAAAATTAATGGATGTTATATTCTATAGGTATAAATAATATAGATTCAACCCAAAGATTTGATGACTCTCACTTATTTCCGATGGCTGTCCACCGAAAACCCGACATTCGGAGGCTCTCAATGATCCATGTGGGTACACTCGGCTCAAAAAGTGAATCGGGATCAACATTCTAGGCTGGCTGTACCAAGACAACTGGTGGCAATGTGGCAATCATTTGCATTCATTTTCCCTATTCTCCTTGGTAGGATTCCCGTTTTTTGGGTCCATGTTCAACAAAAAACACATCCCATGCCTATCATCCCATTTTCAGACACACCTAATTCTGGGAGATTCCACCATATCCCCATCTTTTTTCTCATTATATCATATTATATCAGCTCTTTAGCCAACGTCAAAACCAAACTTCTTACAAAATCACCAGTTTTGCCGATCATTCTTTGATTTCTTGCTGATTTGCGAAATTTCGCGCGCCTCCCAAGCGAATTTGGCTCGGTGCACTGCAGCCATCATGGCGTCCAGGTCAATCCTGCTCCAAGTGACCAACGAAGTGGTGATAAACTGGTGATTTTCAATGGGTTGGTTGAAGGGACAATTTACAGGAATCTGAAACCATGCTTTTTTAGGAGTTAAGAAAAAAGTTGTCCGTTTTTTGTTTCGGCCCATCATCAAACTCTGTGAGATTTACTACTGTATGGCCAATCAAAATGGTGATTTGATATGTTTTTTGTTTGATTCAATATAATATACCAATATATTTTAATTAAAGATTGACACAATTATATATAGAGTATACATATAATACAAGTATATTAGATAAAATGGTGATCTAATTGAACCCCTCTGGATCCAAATACTTCCTGAGAAGGGAATGTTTCAATGCTATTGACCCACAGAATTGAGTTGGATGGAGTGCACAACATTGATCAAACACCAACCGACCATTAAAACAAAAATTGTTTATTTAGAGAAGGTAAAGAAACAGTGAAAGTCGGTGGTCGTCCACTTATAGATTATAATCCATTATTTTTATTATTATGATTATTTATTTCGATAGATAGATGATAGATATACTATTAAATCATATTAAATCCCCATTACTCCCCCATAACATACCGAATAAAACTTCAGTAAACCCAATCCGTTCTGGCCATTACTCAAATGAAACTCTGGCACAATCCTATACGAGTACCGGAGGAAGTTGACCAATTCCACTCTTCCAATCAAGTCTTCTAGATGTCTGGGAATCGGCTTAAGACTGCATAAAATGTACATGGCCACTACACTGGTCTGGCTGACTTCGCTGTTAACACCTTCCCTGGGTCCCGGGCCTGCGACAAACAACCTCCGGATCCCGCAGGTAGCGTCCCTCGCGTTTTTCGTAGATCTGGTGCAGTGTCCGCAGTAACGGGATGTTACCAATGTTTATCTGGTTGGTGGTTGACCTACCCCTCTGAAAAATATTGGTTCGTCAGTTGGGATGATTTTTCCATTCCCAACTGTTTCTGGAAAGTCATTCAAAATTCCATGGTTCCAGTCAGCACCAACCAGTTATAATGGGGGCATTGAGAGTGGAAGAGTCCAAAAGAACCCAACCATAGGTTTCCCCGTTAAGTAAGTTACTAATCCCATTCCCCGAATATTGAACTTCCCCATTCTGAATGGTCCCAATTCCTACTAAACCATGATAAACTCTGGGTGTGTGTGATATAAACCTCCGGTAACATAGACTCTGCAGGATAAATCCAGATAAGGGGGTTGGAAGAATCATTTCCACATGTTTCCGCTACAAACAAATGCGATTTTCAGGATCCAACTGTTCATTTACATTTCATTTACCATACAAAATCCATAGGCTAGATTAGATACAGACTGATAGATCATGATTTCCTCGATTGTCCTATATATTACATTGGTTAATCATTGGTTACTGAAGTTGCCGCATTGATCAGTTCGCCATGGGCGTTCCCGGGCCCAAGATGCGGCGCCTTCCAAACCAAATACGCCGCTGGAAGGTCGGCCGGAGAAGTGGCGCCCCGATCCTGATCAAAATCCAGAGGCCCAGCAAAGAAAACATCTGGATATCGGATCGAACATAAAACTATATATGGTTATATATGTAAACATATAAGTAATCTAGTTATATAAATATAGTGATCATTAATCCAAAATATAATATCGTAATATTGGTTTTAGATAAATATAGTTATATATGAAAATATCCAGATGTTCTTATTAACATATCTGAATATTTGAATGTATAAATAAACATAATTAAATAATGATTAACAATGATTAACATATGTGTAATATTGGGTTTTGTAAAAACTTATGGATAATAATGGAGACAAATTGTGTATATTCATAGACATTCCCAAAAATACAAAATAAGAACATTTCCTAAAACAATTCTGTTTCAGCCATCTGTGTCACCCCTATCATGGGTGACCAACTCGTCCTTCACATTGACTATCTATATAATCTGTTGCTCTTCCAACTCCTTGTAATTCATGAATCCATGCTCAAGTGTTAACATATCCTCCACTTGTGCCTGCAATTTGCTCACAATGGGTATGTCATAGTATGTCTGCAAGAATGTAGATCGCCACAAATTGACATGGTTGGATACCAAAATTTCACCAACATCTCTGCCCAAATGGGTGTCCATGGTCCTGGGCCAAATGGCCAAATGGGCCAAACATTTCCTACCGTGTTGATCACATGTCTGCAACCCCTCCCTCGGCATCACCTCAACCTTGGCGCTTGCAAAGCTATGTTCATCCTGCACGGATGACTTAGTTTTTGATGTAAATCCATGAGATTCAAGTATCGACAATAAGAATTTAATGGGATTTCACTGGGATTTCATGGGGACGTAATAGCGATGGAATCCGGATGTAATAGGGCTGCAATGGGGGTATCAAAATTTGGGTTTAGTCATGGGAACTCATGGATTTTCATGGGATAAATCAATATAAATCACACATCTTGAGCAAATCAAGATGTGTTGACCCTGATGTTAATGTTTTTTAAAGGTTTTAATTTGATTTAATTGGGTTTAATTTGTTTTAATGGGATTTCAATGACCAGCAAATTGAGTTGGTCCGAAAATGGTGGGGAAAAATCCAAAATCCCGTGGTGTCATCATGCATTCTGAATTCCCCGTCAGCAACGTGCAATTTCAAAAACCAGTAGTGCCGCACAAGGCAGTGGCGGAAGTTTCAGAAATAGAAAACCTATAGGAGAGGTTGGTTGTTGTGAATCACGGATGGCAGAGCAAATCCACTGATGGACCGAAAGATGGTTGGAGTTGTGTTTTTTGGAGTGGCTGCAATGGTTGCAGCGGTCACCTCACACGCAACTGCTGGATATAGTGTGGTGCAGCGCAGTTGTAGTTGTAGTGTATTGGAGTTGCAGTAGTTTAATTAGTGTAGTGTAGTTGTAGTTGCAGTTGTAGTTGTAGTTGTAAAGCAGTGTAGTGTAGTGTAGTGTGGTGCACTGTAGTGTAGTGTATTGTCGTCTTGTGTAACCTAGTGTAGTATAGTGTAGTGTGTGTGTGTGAAGTAGCGTAGCGTCGGGTGGTTGTAGCTGTGGTGTAGTGCAGTGTAGCATAGTGTAGTGTAGTATAGTGTAGTGCAGTGTTGTGTAATGTAGTGTTGTAGTTGTAGTTGTAGTTGTAGTTGCAGTAAAAGTAGTAGTAGTAGTAGTAGTAGTAGTAGTAGTAGTAGTAGTAGTAGTAGTAGTAGTAGTAGTAGTAGTAGTAGTGGTAGTAGTAGTAGTAGGAGGAGGAGTAGTAGTAGTACTAGTACTAGTACTAGTGGTACTGGTAGTAGTAGTAGTAGTAGTAGTAGTAGTAGTAGTAGTAGTAGTAGTAGTAGTAGTAGTAGTAGTAGTAGTAGTAGTAGTAGTACTGATATTATTATTATGAATAGTAATAGTAGTAAAGTAGTAGGAGTAGGAGTGCTAGGAGTAGTAGGAGTAGGAGTGCTAGGAGGTCGTAGTAGTCGTAGGTAGTAGTAGTAGTAGTCGTAGTAGTAGTAGTAGTAGGTCTAGTAGTTAGTAGGTAGTAGTTAGTAGTTAGTAGTTAGTAGTCGTAGTAGTTAGTAGTAGTAGTAGTTAGTAGTTTAGTAGTTAGTAGTTAGTAGTCGTTAGTAGTCGTAGTAGTTAGTAGTTAGTAGTAGTAGTCGTAGTAGGTAGTAGTTAGTTAGTTAGCGTAGCGTTAGCGTAAGTCGTAGTAGTAGTAGTAGCCGTAGTAGTCAGTAGTCAGTAGTCAGTAGTCAGTAGTCAGTAGTCAGTAGTCAGTAGTTAGTAGTTAGTAGTTAGTAGTTAGTAGTTAGTTAGTTAGTTAGTTCGTTCGTTCGTTCGTTCGTTAGTTAGTTAGTTAGTTAGTTAGTAGTAGTAGTAGTAGTGGTAGTAGTAGTAGTAGGAGGGGGAGGAGTAGTAGTACTAGTACTAGTACTAGTACTAGTGGTACTACTAGTAGTAGTAGTAGTAGTAGTAGTAGTAGTAGGTAGTAGGTAGTAGGTAGTAGGTAGTAGGTAGTAGGTAGTAGTTAGTAGTTAGTAGTTAGTAGTTAGTAGTTAGTAGGTAGAGTTAGTAGGTAGTAGGTAGTAGTTAGTAGTTAGTAGTTAGTAGTTAGTAGTTAGTAGCTAGTAGTTAGTAGTTAGTAGTTAGTAGTTAGTAGTTAGTAGTTAGTAGTTAGTAGTTAGTTAGTTAGTTAGTTAGTTAGTTAGTTAGTTAGTTAGTTAGTTACTTAGTTAGTTACTTAGTTAGTTACTTAGTTAGTTACTTAGTTAGTTACTTAGTTAGTTACTTAGTTAGTTACTTAGTTAGTTACTTAGTTAGTTACTTAGTTAGTTACTTAGTTAGTTACTTAGTTAGTTACTTAGTTAGTTAGTAGTTAGTTAGTAGTTAGTTAGTAGTAGTAGTAGTAGTACTGATATTATTATTATGAATAGTAATAGTAGTAAAGTAGTAGGAGTAGGAGTGCTAGGAGTAGTAGTAGTAGTAGTAGTAGTAGAAGTAGTAGTAGTAGTAGTAGTAGAAGTAGTAGTAGTAGTAGTAGTACTAGTACTAGTACTAGTACTAGTGGTACTGGTAGTAGTAGTAGTAATAGTGATAGTAGTAGTAGTAGTAGTAGTAGTAGTAGTAGTAGTAATAGTGATAGTAGTAGTAGTAGTAGTAGTAGCAGTAATAGTGATAGTAGTAGTAGTAGTAGTATTAGTAGTAGTAGTAGTAGCAGTAGTAGTAGTAGCTCATGCTCCAAAATGCAACCCCTTTCCGGAAATCTCCGCCCTGATCTCCTAACACATCTAACTCATGTGTCTCTTGTACTGCGCCTGCCACGCGAAATGCATCTTTACAGATCCTCTTCAAATGTCCCACGCCTGCCATCGTTTTTGAGACTGCTGCAAAACCTTCACGTTTGTCTCACTTTGACAAAGTGAACAATCCCCTGCGCCTGCCACGCGAAACGGCATCTGGACGTCCAAGTGCTCCGGAGCTGCTGTGTTTTGCACTTTTTGACTTCTAACTGTGCTTCGCGCCACAACGGCGTGCGCTTTTTCAACATCTCAACTTCCAAAAGTGGTCCGACAATGGTGTGCTTTGTGCATTTTGACACGGAAATGTGCTTCGCGCCACGAAGGCGTGCACTTTTTCGACATCTCAACTTCCAAAAGTGGTCCGACAATGGTGTGTTTTGTACATTTTGACTTCGAAATGTGCTTCGCGCCACAACGGCGTGCAATTTTTCATCTCTCATCTGGCCAGATGGCTCCGCACCCGCCGCTTTTGCGAACCTACTTTTCGACCCTCCGGAGCCACAAATCATTGGAAAAACAGAGTGTTTCGCGACTTTCCTACCTTTTGGCGCACCTGCATCTTCTTTCTTCTGACTCTTTCTCTTCTCTGATCTTCTCTGATCTTCTCTCTTCTGCTATTCTCTTCTCTGACTCTTCCCACCTCTGCTTTTCCATCTGTCCATGTTGTCGAAAGTATGACTTCTAAACTTCCTTCGATGATATTTCATGGGTGTCGCGGGATCCCCCTAGTCAGACACAGCCACTATTTGGAAACATAAGAATAAATCCAAAACATTCCACCAGATTCCTTCGGCCATTTGTGGATGATTTCTCCAATCCAATCCATTCTGCGTCGCTGGTGTTTCATTCCAACGAAACGATTGGTCAGCTAAGACTATCAACGCAAGTTTGAACATTTAAAAAATACAATGCCCTCTGGTAAACTAACATAGCTATTGAAAATGGCTATTTATAGTGGATTTACTCATTAAAAATTGTGATTTTCCATAGTTATGTTAGTTTACCAGAGGGTAGATACATAATAATGAAAACATATTACACCACCAACATCCACCAACATCCACCAACAAATATTGAATGGCTTTAAAAGAAGTATCAAATGCTCACCTATATCATTCCGAGCTTAGGTGCCAGCTGAATGTTGACCGCCCCCCATGCCTGGATCTTGTCAGTAATCCTCCAGGATTGCCTGCAATGGGGCGGTCAAACCCGTACATCAAACAATGGGGCAGCCAAAACTTAGATTTGCCGTATTTTAAAGCTCAAGATCTTAGAGTTTCCAAGATCTGTGATTTTTGAAGATCTATGGTTCCCAACATGTTTTTTGCATTTCAACACAATTTCTTCATATGTTTTCATAGGCTGAAGTTCATACGTTCTCTTGGAATTGCTTGAAGACAAGCCCGTCAGCCAGTCGTCATCGGATAAATAACACATCATCTCCGGTTGGGGGTCCTTCACATTTGCACAGCTTCACATTTCTCTCCATATTTATAGATTAAATTCACTAATTAAATGTTTATACCACCCATTTATATCCATTTGTGATGTTTAGGATGTTAAATCTAAGAGGATTGTGATGATTAAATTTAGGATGTTAAAGATGTTTATGATGTTTAACTTGTTTCAACAAATTACTTGTCGCGATGCCGGTTCGAAATGGTGAAGGAGCCTTCAGGATTTCATTACTCAAAAAATGATGAGAGGATGGTCGTCTTGGCCAATTTGAATAATGTGCGTACAACAATAATAAACCACCCAATCTTTGATGGTTTACACCACCCATAAAAATGGTGATTCATCAGTTTTTTTTTTAAAAAAATACTGTTTTAATCACAGTACTTCACAAAACCTGATCTGAACCACTTTCGTTTTGACATCATTCCTCCCACAGAAACATCATGTGCGCCGAGGCGCTTCGTGGCGGAATAGAGCAAGTATCGTTGGCCGCCCTTGCTCTCAGTGGTAATCTTCCTGAGCAAAAATGACTAAAAAATCATGACAAACAATGAGGATCATGAGCATGATCAACTTGGAAGATATTGGAAGATATTGGAAATTATTGGAAGATCATGTCATTTCTCATGATGTTCTACCAAAGATGGAGTTGATCATGAGTCCAAATATGACCATCAGAATTAGAATGATCCTGATCATGATCATGATCAACAACACCAACAGCAACAACTTTATCTTTGAAGGAGGTGAAGCCGCCAATCTTAGATGTTCATAAGCCCTTGCAATCGGTTTTTGGTGGTACACCCTCAATAAACCCTTACTGTTGCGGGGGTCATCTTACTCAGGGGTCCACATCTGCTTGGCACTGCGTTTGAGAACTTGAGGCTCGGTCTGATAGCATAGAGCACCATGAAATTTTCCAGCCCGCTGCAAATAGACACCTCGGCAACTGCAGACCATCGCACTGCAATTGCGCATGCGCATGCATCAGTACCCTTTTGCTAATCAAACATGTCAATGGACAATTCCCCATCTAGAACATATGTTCCCATTAAAATCTTCATTTATAGAGAATTTCCCATCGCCATGTCTGACTATATACCGGATGGCACATCACGTTGAATGGCAACGTGCGAACGATATCGAACAATGGTACTGCAATAAATACTGTTGTAATGTCATCAAATCACTGTGACAAACAATAACGTTTATAACATCCTATAGCACAAATTTGCATGATGATATTTTGTTTTTGTACTTGAGATTCCACGGGCCATTTCTACTGACAAGTCGCAACAACTATCACTGTTCAAACCTGGAAATATCTTCAAATCATTGTTCTTAGACCCAACCACAAACACAAATCCTCCCGACCATTGCAAAGAAACATCAACATTTTTCACACATGCCGTGGTGCCAAATGGAAAAAAATTGAGCCCACGAACCCGAATGCTCACACGTATGTTAATGGCACAGATGTCAAAACACATGGATATGCAGTGACGCACAACACTTTTCTGCAATAGTTTATTTGAACAGTCTTGTTCATATTTCCCCTGTTACCAGTCTGCAGTGTGGAGTGGAAAGTGTAGAGTGTGGAGTGTAAAGTGTGGAGTGTGGAGTGTAGCGTGTGGAGTGTCAGTGTAGAGTGTGGAGTGAGGAGTGTAAAGTGCAAAGTGTGGAGTGTGAAGTGTAAAGTGAGGAGTGTGGAGTGTGGAGTGAGGAGTGTGGAGTGTGTAAATTGTAGAGTGTGGAGTGTAGAGTGTAAAGTGTAGAGTGTGAAGTGTAGAGTGTGGAGTGTGGAGTGTAAAGTGTAGAGTGTCGAGTGTGGAGTGAGGAGTGTAAAGCGTAAAGTGTGGAGTGTGGAGTGTAAAGTTTACAGTGTGGAGTTTGGAGTCTAAAGTGTGGAGTGGGGAGTGTGGAGTGTGGAGTGGAAAGTGTAGAGTGTGAAGTGTGGAGTGTAAAGTGTAGAGTGTGGAGTGTGGAGTGAGGACTGTTAAGTGTGGAGTGAGGAGTGTAGTGTCGAGTGTGGAGTGCGGGGAAAGTGTAGAATGTGAAGTGTGGAGTGTGGAGTGTAAAGTGAGGAGTGTGAAGTGTGTAAAGTGTAGAGTGTGGAGTGTAAAGTGTGGAGTGTAAAGCGTGGAGTGTGGAGTGCGGAGTGTGGAGTGGAAAGTGTGGAGTGTAAAGTGAGTAAGGTGGAGTGTAGAGTGTGGAGTGAGGAGTGTAAAGTGTAAAGTGTGGAGTGTGGAGTGTAAAGTGAGGAGTTTGGAGTGTAGTGTGGAGTAAGGAATGTAAAGTGTGGAGTGTAAAGTGTGGAGTGTAGAGTGTGGAGTGGAAAGTGTAGAGTGTGGAGTGCAAAGTGAGGAGTGTGGAGTGTGGAGTGTAAAGTGAGGAGTGTGGAGTGTAGAGTGTGGAGTGTAAAATGTAAAGTGTGGAGTGTAGAGTGCAAAGTGTAGAGTGTGGAGTGTAGAGTGTGCACTGTAGAGAGTAAAGTGTAGAGTGTGGAGTGTAGAGTGTAAAGTGTAGAGTGTGGAGTGAGGAGTGCAAAGTGTGGAGTTTGGAGTCTAAAGTGTGGAGTGGGGAGTGTGGAGTGTGGAGTGGAAAGTGTAGAGTGTGAAGTGTGGAGTGTAAAGTGAGGACTGTGGATTGTAAAGTGTGGAGTGTGGAGTGATGAGTGTAGAGTGTAAAGTGTGGAGTGTGGAGTGTAAAGTGTGGAGTGTGGAGTGTGGAGTGGAAAGTGTAGAGTGTGGAGTGTGGAGTGTAAAGTGAGGAGTGTGGAGTATAGAGTGTGGAGTGAGGAGTGAGGAGTGTGGAGTGTGTAAAGTGTAGAGTGTGGAGTGTGGAGTGTAAGTGTATAGTTCAGAGTGTAAAGTGTAGAGTGTGGGGTGTAGAGAGTAAAGTGTAGAGTGTAGAGTGTAAAGTGTAGAGTGAGGAATGTGGAGTGTAAAGTGTGGAGTGTGGAGTGTAAAGTCGCAAGAGAGGAGTGAGGAGTGTAAAGTGCAAAGTGTAAAGTGTGGAGCGTAAAGTGTAGAGTGTGGAGTGTGGAGTCTAAAGTGTAAATTGTGGAATTGTGGAGTGTGGAGTGTGGAGTGTAGAGTGTGGAGTGCGAAGCTTCCCCCATAGACACGGCGACGCCACAGGAAAACCAGAGACTCGAGACGAGACACGTGGGTGCAGAAAAACGAGCATTTCGTGCGAGACTTCCTCCAATTTTTACATTTTGGACACGTTATCAAACAGGTTGGAATGTCACAAAGTGCCACGCCTGCCACGCAAAACGGCATGACAACCTGCTTGGAAACCTTCGAAAAGGAGATGTTTTGCAGCTTCCCCCATAGACACAGCGACGCCACAGGAAAACCAGAGACTCGAGACAAAACACATGGATGCAGAAAAACGAGCATTTCGTGCGAGACTTCCTCCAATTTTGACATTTTCGACACGTTATCAAACAGCTTGGAATGTCACTCCAATTTTGACATTTTCGACACGTTATCAAACAGGTTGGAATGTCACAAAGTGCCACGCCTGCCACGCAAAACGGCATGACAACCTGCTTGGAAACCTTCGAAAAGGAGATGTTTTGCAGCTTCCCCCATAGACACAGCGATGCCACAGGAAAACCAGAGACTCGAGACAAAACACATGGATGCAGAAAAACGAGCATTTCGTGCGAGACTTCCTCCAATTTTGACATTTTCGACACGTTATCAAACAGCTTGGAATGTCACTCCAATTTTGACATTTTCGACACGTTATCAAACAGGTTGGAATGTCACAAAGTGCCACGCCTGCCACGCAAAACGGCATGACAACCTGCTTGGAAACCTTCGAAAAGGAGATGTTTTGCAGCTTCCCCCATAGACACAGCGACGCCACAGGAAAAACAGAGACTCGAGACAAAACACATGGATGCAGAAAAACGAGCATTTCGTGCGAGACTTCCTCCAATTTTGACATTTTCGACACGTTATCAAACAGCTTGGAATGTCACAAAGTGCCACGCCTGCCACGCAAAAGGACATGACAACCTGCTTGGACACATTCGAATAGGAGAGGTTTTCCAGCTTCCCCTATAGACATTGCGACGCCACAGGAAAACTAGAGACTCGAGACGAGACGCGTGGGAGCACCAAAACGAGCATTTCGCACGAGACTTCCGGCAATTTTCACAGTTGGCAACATGACAAAAGGACAAGTTTTGCAGCTTCCCCCATAGACACGGCGAGGCCACAGGAAAACCAGAGACTCGAGACGAGACAGGTAGGAGCACCAAAACGAGCATTTCGTGCGAGACTTCCTCCAATTTTCATACTTTGCAGCTCCAAAATCGACGTTTTCCTACGAGTTTCCCTTAGAACCTGAAAATTTGTAACCTCAAAATCGATGTTTCGTGCGAGGCTTCCGTCAATTTTCAACACATGTGAGAAAATGCCACGCCTGCCACGGAATTTGCACCTTGTCACCACTTGACGCAGCCCTGCCAATGCGATTTACAAAAAACACGCAAAAGGACACGTCTAAAGTGCTGCGCCTGCCACGAAAAATGACGATGGACACGCCCAAAGTGCTGCGCCTGCCACGAAAACTGCAACACATCTTCTGAAAACGTCGCAAAAGTATTGCGCCTGCCACGCAAAACGACTTTCGACACGTTGCAGAACACGTCTGAATGTCACGAAGTGCCACGCCTGCCACGCGAAACGAAGCAACCAGACGTCTGAAACCTCCAAAAAGGACCACCTCTGTAAAACTTCCCATAGGCACGGCCATACGGTCCTCACGCGAACGGTTGCGGACGGTTGCGGACGGTTGCGGACGGTTGCGCAACGTCGAGCGAACACACCCTCAACCCCCAGACCCCCAGAGTGAAACGGGAACCCTTGCTACGCATTCGGGAACAAGTGGGTATTCTTTTGGACCTATGGGAAACATCTAGCCATTTCTTCGAACCCAAGCAGGCGCAAACACTGCTGAACTAACAATTTGATGTTGTTCCCATATCGTATGAACAGGAACCTTATGGAACTGTTCAACTGTCAGTGGATTTCTTTGGGGAACAAATCCATTGGTTTTTACTTCCCAATGTAAAACTGTATTGTCGATCTTCCCTTTATTAAGTTCTTGGACAGTGTGGACGGCAAACAAAATACCCGGGCTGATGCATGTCAACAATAACTGGTTGGTGGTTTCAACCGCTCTGATAATGATAAATATGAAAGTCAGTTGGGATGATTATTCCCAATAGATGGAAAAATAACAAATGTTCCAAACCACCAACCAGATAATTTAACAGCCAGCAAACACAAATGCACACGACAAACATATTGCGCATTCCTCACCAACCAAGATTACAAAAAAATGAACAACGTAGTGTTGTGCACAAACAACTCATTACATCCAAATCAACTGATTCATCATCCTACCCCCTCATGTAATCACAACTTTATCGCCAATCTTAGGTACGCCCAAACAATCAATAGCCAGAATATAGTCAGAATATATATGGTCAGAATATAGTCAAAATACCCCCATTCAAAATCAGAACGCGAAAAACATAAATGTAGGATAATGTAGGTAACATTACCCTCTGGTTATTTAACATAGCCATGGAAGCCATGGCCCATTTATAGTGGATTTACCTATTATAAATGGTGGTTTTCCATGGCTATGTTAGTCATAACCAGAGGGTCAGTAACATGAAGTAACCGCCCAAGGCTGACCCAGGCGCCATTGATCTGGTGCTGTTTCTTCGAATAGGCCCGGCCTCAGGCGGCATCAAAAAACAATTGCCGAGATCGGTGCTGACCAACTTGTGCGTTGTTTTTTTTTTACTTCCCCTGACTCTTGAAAAAATCGTTGGGGGTCATGATTTCGAAATACCATAGTCTGGGCCCATGCCTTCAACCCCAAATCTGGGATTGAAATCTTTAATTTCGATTCAGTTGAGGTTTTCCCCGAGGCTTCCCGATTTTGCCAAAAGGTCCGCAGGTGACACGAAGCCAGCCACTTTCAGGCACCGTCCAGCACGCTGAGCACGCGGCCCTGGATCACCACTGCAGTTGCCGCATCTGGGGCGGGTTCCAGATGCCCAACGCCCAGCAATTTAACATAGGAGATTTTAGTGACTGCTGGAGATAGCCCCCACAGGTCGCGATTTGGCCATGACAAACATGGTAACCAGTCATAGATAGAATAGAATAGAATAGAATCTGTCCATATTGTCGGAAGTTTGACTTCTAAACTTCCTTCGATAATATATATATATATAATTTATATATATATTATTATATATATAGAGCATAACCCCGCTGAATGGGGACTTACGAACCAGGGTTATTCCCCACCTGTCAGGTGAGGGTTGTTGATTAGGAAGTCTTGGTACTAGTTGACACGTAGTCTTGAAGCCGATACAGAAAACATATTGCCATCATTGGTGGCAGCAAAGTGGCAAGCCCCAGTTTTTGTGGTGCACCCAAGTTTCACTCTTGCTTCGATGGATTCTAGCACAGGGAACGGGTTCATCATTGAATTCACCCACAAATCTTGAAACAAATCTTAAAATCATAGGGTGGAGCCCGGAAAAGTTCCAAGAATTGTTTAGTAGTATAGGTCGCTATAAGGTAAAAAAAGTCCACAGGAAGCCCTGCCTCTCACTGGGAGTTTTACAGCCCCACCTTGCTGGTTCATTCCCTTGGCGATGAGGTAGTGTTCCTTACACCTGTCATCGGCTAAGGGAGGGAGGGCTCTGAAAATTGGGAATCTCAAACACATGTTTATAGTGTTTAGATGTTTTTGGTAATGAATCCTCGAAATCATGAGTTGAAACTGGGACCCACGTAACCCACGGATCCTTTTTGGATTGAGTCTTCATACCCAAGGTTGATCCATGCCATGTTTGAACACAAAAAACAGGCACGGACTCCTGGTGAAAAGGGAGAACATCACAAACCACATCAAGCAGCTTAAGCACCTAAGCGGACTCAAATGACAATACGCGAATAGTCCATGATTTTCAAAAACTCTGCAGCTGTCTTTCCAACTGTTCCTGCTTATATCAGGGATTCCCTAATTCAAAAAATGTTTTGATGTGATAGGAAATTTCCTAGGAAACAACCACACCAAGTTAGGCCGACATCAAAGACAATTCCATTTTGATGTCTGCTTCTCCGTTTCGACCCGCTCCCAACAAAGGCCAAGACTGCTAAACAAAGGCCAACAGTCAAGAATCCCAGCATGAGTACAGCTCCGAGTACCCCATCATGGAACCAAATTTCATAGATACCCTCTGATAATCTAGCGTAGCAAACTGGAAAATCGTATGTTTTTTTTGTTTAATAAATCATCATGTAAATCATCAAGCCGGGCCATTTTTTTCCCATAGCTAGGTTTAATAACCAGAGGATAAATACTGCAATCCTGTGGAGTCCTGAAGCATTCTGGTCAACCAGGACCTTTTTTTCACTGATCTTTTAATCATATTCAATAATGTTAATGTGGAAAACCAACCATGTGTATACTGGCCACCAAACATAAGTCATTAGTCTCATTTCTAGAAGTGGTTCCAGGGAAATATGTGCGAGACATCTTTGTATAATTGATCCTTCAGCTGTTCCCATAAATCAACAAAGCGGAGGCCCCCCAGTTCTAAGCTGGGTTATAAACCCATAACCCTGGTGTAAACTAACAGTTCGATGTGGAAAATCCACCATTTGTAGTAATTTGTAGATCATGTTCCTTTTACGGGAAATCATTGGTTTTCCACATCTTTTTGTATGTTGACCCTAGGGTAACGACCCGTTCGTTGTTGTATCCCAATCAATCCAACAGTTCACCAAGCAATTCATCCAACAGGTGCCAATGGATGGCCCCACGAACGGTAATTTTCAGACTTCCAAAGGGTTTGATTAATTGGTATTTCAGATGTTTTTCATGAACATATATTACATGTGTGTATTCTACATGTATATACATGTACTGTATCATATATAATATATATAATTGTGTGTATATATATGCCATAATACCATATCATGTTTATACATGACAGAACATTTAAACTCATATTACAATGTATGTGTTTTTGGTTTTGTATTCTGTTCTGTTGTACACACTTTTATATCACTGTATTTTGTTATATACTGTTCTACTAGGTATGTCAAAGACTACCGTATGAGTCCCAATTGATGGGTAGACCATTCCATCTGAGCAGTGAAAAAAATCGGCCGGAAGCGCTGCTTGTAGTGCAGATCTGCTACTTGCAACCTCGGGGAGCTGGGTTTCCAAAGAACCAAATCCAACGGATTTAACCAAATCCAATGGTTTTTGCGGGCAGTGCATGAGCATCAAATGTCCAAATGTCTTGCAGATGTCTTGCAAATGTTTTGGACTGTATACTGTACATTTCCTGTTCATGTATTGTAATTTCCTGTATCGTACGTTGCTGTATTCAGTTTCAGCCACTTGTATGTCCGTTTCTTTTGTCTATCGGTGTATAGATAATCACTAAGCTTAAGCTTGGGCAGTAATAAGCCCTCGCAGTATCCATTTATACGAATCAATTTTACGTTACTACATCCGTATGTTTCCCACATTTCGTCAGGGTAATTTGATGGTCGGGATGGTTGGTTCAATATAAAGTATATTTTACCATGTACAAACACATTAGAATTATTTAAGTTGAATATATTATAGACAATTTAATTGAATATCCATGAATATCTAATGTCTACATGGTTGTTGATCACAATTCCTTTATCCGCAAACGGCCATTCTTCGCGAATAAACATGTTTCTGTCGCAAACTCAAAAAACTGTCGCGAGGTTCCCAACACAACATGAAGGGTCCTCGCAATTCAAACTCTTTACAAGGACCTTTAGATCGACTACCACATGTTTCTATTATATACATCATATCCTAACATATTATAGCATATCATGTCAATATAATTCAATATCTATCATATCAATGATATAAAAGAATCATAAAGCAACACGGGTTGTTATCCCATCCCCTTTAAAATATTGCACAGCCTCCAGAGTCATCATGGTCTAGTCCGTCATCCATCAACATCCATGAATCATGAATCATGAATCACCAGTCGTCATCACAACCACAATCAAGAACCATCAAATTTGGGTATGGCTCAATAGCATGAATTTTAGTGGCATGAACCGGATTTTTTCATCATCCATTCACCATAAGATTTGGCTATGGGTCAATACCTATTATATCCTGTTATTATCAGCTTGAGTGGGATGAACTAGAAAAACCTATATTTTCACCAGCTATGTTTATCAATAATTTACCTATCCATTCACCATCCATTCACCAGCTGGGACTCCCGAGCGGGGTGATGTCAACCTGGAGCAGGGCTTCCGTCGACCCACGTTGCTGGTTTCAAAGATCGACATGTAAATGGGCCATGTTCATCAAATGGTGTGGTAAATGGGTTTAATGGTGCTTAAGGGTGTTTAAGGGGTGTTTAAGGGGTTTTGATAGTTATTTGATGGTGATTCAAAGGGATTCTAACCATTGAACATGGTGATTTAATGGGGTTTAATGGGTGTGAATGGGATATAACTAGCGAACTTGATGGACTATATCTATCCAACTACTTGGTGAGTGGAATTTATAGGGACCTGGAATGGTGGGACTCCCATTCCCATACTACTCCCATGCTTGAAATCCATATTCCGTATGGGAAGTTTATGGAATGGGTGGGATCCCTATCAATTCTATGGAATCCGGATATTCTATCATGAAAATAGGCTACCGCCAAATCCATCGGATACTCGTAACTTTCCCTAATGGCCAGTGTGGTGGTACACCCCGTTTCCTGGGAAACCTGTATCAAGTTGGTGATTAAGACTTTAAGACCTTTATCCTACTATATCCATCTATGATCCATCTATGTACCATTATTGATAATCCCCAATTTGTTACTTTTAAAGATAGTATCGCAATAGAGTCCCTGTCGAGATCCCGTGCAAACAAATAGTATCGATTGAGAATCCTCACATACTTTCCCAGTCTAGATGAGCAGCGTTAACATGGCATTTGATTTGTATTCAAAATAAACTCTTCTGAAGATTCTGAAGGTTGCCATTCGCTGATATTCTTGAAGATTGGCAAGACAAGGACCCCAAAGCGTCGTGTCTCAAGACTCAAAAGATATTGTCACCTGTTTGAGTGGCTCAACACGCACGATGCAGAAATCTCTGCATGTTTACATGCAACAACTGAAGAAGTTACAATGACAGGGAATAGGTTGCGGCAGAAAAAATCAGGACGCGGCGGAAAAACTCTGAACGAGGCAAAACGACCCAAAAATCTCTGCAGAAAGGCAAAACGACCCTTTGATATTCTGCTTTGTCAAGGGTAGAGGACTATATTAACTATTCTCCCAATATTATCCATGATTATCATGAACCATTAATAACAACTAGATTAACCATCGATGACAGTGGATCCATAATCGGATGATAATCGAGGACAGCCCTCTGGAAGAACTCAAACCCGTGCCTTTGCGTCGCCTAACTTTGAGACCTTGGGCTTCTTGGCAGGTCGCTCTTCCTGGACGTCGCAAGGAGTTCCGATATCAATGGAGGTCCGACATAGTGAGTTAAATCCATTATAAATCTGGAGATCAATGGAGGTTTGTAGCTGCGTAAGTCATCTATAAATGGGCCATATTCCATACTTAGGTTCATTTACCAAAGGGTTGATGTTGTTCAATTGGAATCTCAGGACCTCCACAAAAGTACGGTATTGTTCCATATGTAATATAAAGCCAGAATTATGGGGCATATCTCAAAGTTTGACCTTGCATGGGCCTTATACATGGCATATAGGTACCTTCAATTTAGGTACCTGAAATGGCCATTGATACTGTACCATGGGACTAAGATGTTGATCCATTTGAATACAACTACATCCTTCCTTATTCAGAAGAAGCTTAGTTGATATCTTGGATATTAGAAAGCACATATCATAATATGTTTATATGTTTACATTTGTTTGATATATTTGTTTGATATTTGTTGGACATGGTCACTAGAATCTATTTGATCTATTTGATCATTCATTTCTAGAGTTGTGGGTTGCAAATCCATCCGGGGTTTACCCACAAACTTGTGATGTATCGTTATTTTTTACCCCCAAGCAGCAAACACCCCGACCTCATACTTGAAATGAAACTATATACATATATCATTATATATTCATAGATTCATAATATATCCATATATCCATCCATCCGTCCGTCCGTCCGTCCATCCATCCATCCATGCATCTCCTCGTCTACATGATTATCTATCTTTTTAAGTATATGGACTCATATGGACTCATATACATATGCATGTAAGTAATATGAGCGTATAAATAACATGTACAATGGACAACAACATATCATGTCCACGCATGACCCAGCAGGCACCCCCCAAACACCTCCTCGACGAAACGCACCTGTCCAGCACGGCCAAGTAAGGTTTTAGCAAACCATCCAACAGCTGGAACTATTCAGTAAGTATCATGCAAATAGTAAGTAACCGAACTTTGAAATCATCCAAGTAACTATTAAGTAACCCTTGGTGGTATCGAACCCTGTCAAAAACAAGTATTGCGTCTTCAAAAGTACATTGAATTAACAAAGAACACTTTTTCATAATCTCCTCAACAGGGTTTACCCAGTAATATGATCAGGAAAAAGAAACAAATTGAAAACTCAGAAAACTCCAATGCTTGAACATATGGAAAATCACCACTTTTGGAAACGCCGTGGCTTCCAGTAAGCACATCCCATTATGTTCCCATTATACCACAATTTTTGCTGCAACCGTGTTTGATGGATGTGTTTCCCAACATTTGAGTGGATGTCCCCTTGAAGTACCCCATGAGTCTAAACATCCGGCAAACATGGCAATAGAAGATCAACCAGTTATAGATGAGCTTCCCTATTGAACAAACACCATTTATAGGGGTTTCCCAGCTGACAATTACAACTACCCTCTGGTAAACTAGCAGTGGAAAATCACAATCTTTAAAAACGGTAAATCATCTATTTCCATGGGCCATTTTCAATAGCGAACTGTTAAATTACCAGAGGGTAAATCCCCTATAGCTGAAAGTTTACATCAACCATTATTGTGTATGTATATATATATATATTATCATTATCATCCATATATTAATATCATTTAATATCCATATGTATTAGATACAACTATAGATACAACTAAATGGTCCTGCTTAAAATGCCCAAGTTCTCCATGGTTTTTCCAACAAAAACCCATGGAGATTCATGAATTTCCGCACGAGTCGGTGAGTTTTCAAGTGGCACCGGTGCTTTGAATCAATGGGAATTTCAGGATCCATTACATGGAGGTACTGTACCATATTTTTGGCCATATTTTCTGGGGACATTCCCTTACATAGGCCTGAAAAATAGGCCTTATATATGGTAGGTACCTCGAATTGAGGTTCCTGAAATTCCCATTGATTGAAGCTATGGAATCTGGTGAACATGAATTGCTTTGCCGTTGACGCATCGTTCCCTAACATCTGCACATATCTATGGTGGAAGCCCAAAGTACCCCTCAATGGAGTTATTGATGGAGTGGAACATGTTGGAACTGTGGTAATAACCCCCAGTTCGGTTGGGATATAACCCCTAAAAGTATATCTATCAATATCTATCAATCTCTATCAATATCTATAAGTATGGTGATATATGGTGATATTAGCTATACCTGAAACCGCACCCCAACGTATGATGGCGAAAGATAGGAAGAAACCGTGAGGCGGCCAATGGCTCTCTGGCTCGCGCCCTTGTTGGACGAAGATCTTGATGTTAGAATGGTTTGTTCAGCCGGAATTCTGGTTTCTGACCTTTTCTGTTTGAACACACTTATGTGTAGTAACGATACTGGGTTATATATTTATATAAATACATACATACATATATATATATATATGATAAAATATGTTATACATATCAACGGGGTTCCATTTGACCCATGCAACACCATCCCCTTCCAGCCTCGGGGTCATGCACATGACCCTTGCCGTTGCTGACGTACCACTTCACCTCTGGTCCTGCAAGCGTTGATTCACCGTTTCATGGGAAAAAACGGGTTGAGAAGTGGAATTTTCATGGGAACAAAACGCCTGGCAGAAATCATGTGATGGATGATGGCCCCGTTTTTTTTTTGACAAATTGTGCCACTAGCAACACAATTGTTAAATGATTTAAATGTTTACTATTCCAAAAGTTTGCTATGGAAGCCATGGCCCGTTTGATCGGATGGTTTACTGTTAAACAATCGGGGGTGTTCCAGCATACCAGAGCGTACCTAAGACGGTTGCTTCCGTTCGTCTTGGAAGATTGGGAACATGAATCCAGTATAGAAATGCTTCACACTTTGCTTATCCACAAAACATCACTGGGATATCTTTGCGATAGAGGTCTATAGTTTCGTACTGGCATGATTTCTGGCTCAAAACTAGTTTCTGCACCGTGGAACCTTTAGGTAACCCACATCCCTTGCCTATAAGCACCTATATATGCTTCTACAACATTCTCTATATATATATACTATTTATATCAATCTATAACTCATGTAACACAAATACATCAAATGATCAAATGTGCTGTAAATGGTTCTAATATCTTTAATCCATGCGATAACATCAAACAACAAATCATGGGTTGTATCAGAAACCCCTTCTGGCGCCTGCGGGCGGCGCATGCCCAAAATCCTTCACCGGAGCAAAGGCGAGCACCGGCGCCGTGTCGTCGAAGCGGGCGCAAATCTTCCACCTGCACAGGACCAAGGCCGGACCAATGTGGTAAATCCACAGGGTACCCGGGTAACCTCTGGTAAACTGTCACATAAACTATGGAACATCACCATGTTTCATGGGAAAATTCATGAAAAAAACACTATTCACCATTAATCACCATTAATCACCATTAATCACCATTAACCATTATTAACCATTATTAACCATTAATGGCCATGGCTTCAATCGCAAACTGATTACAGAGCCATCCAGAGGCTTCCAATGCCATCCCAAAAATCTCATCGGCCATCGATTGGTGGTTTTAACCATCTGGAAAAATATGAGTCAATGGGAAGGATGACATCCCATATATGAAATGAGTTGGGAAATGGAAAGTCATAGAATTATGAAAAAATCCATGGTTCCAAACCACTTACCAGGTAGACATCTGTGAATCTTGGGCTATGAACGTGCCCTGAACCATCCAGTATCTTTGATGCTTGGTTTTTTCTAGGTCTCCCGGATGAAATCGGCAAGCCGGGTGACTAAGCGCTGGAGCAAAACAAAACCCACAACAGCATGGCGCCAGCCCTGAACAGAGTGGTCAGATTATCGTTAATTCATAGGAATTCCCACAATTCGTGGATGTTGATTGATGCTTAAGAATGGTTTAATGGTTAATGATGGTAAAAAATGGTTATATAATGGTATGTTGATTGATTTGAACACTGCTCATTTAGGACTACATACCAAAAGGGAGGTTCTGCCTGAGTTATGGGGAAGTAAGTGCCCACAGAACAAACCTTCAGCAAGCAGGGTTGTTAACAACCAAGTGAGAGGATCTTTATGGGGATACCTGTTTTTGCCTCACAAAGAATCAGCGACAAGCTACCAATCAAGGCACTAAATTAGTACTGATGGCATATGAGAGGATTTGTTGATGGGGTTATCACAGGGATGTCAACAAAGTTGCCTTTTCTTTCATTGACCCAATTCAAAAAAACTCGCCGCAACATCAGCAATTAGTTCTTGCTTAACCATCCCCAAATTGTTGGTTTAACCCCTGCTTCTTGGTAAACCAGGAAGTAGTAGAACCACTTGAACCATTGCAACACACCACCAGTTGGTTCATAGGTTTCCCTACTAGGAATTGAATCCCCAATCACCAGCTAGTACAACTGCCTATTTCATAATCCAAAAGAATATAATTTTAATGGCTCAGACTTGCTTATTGGATATACCACAATAGCATTAAATATCACATACAATATATACCTATATAGGTATATACACACATATATATATATATGGGTAATAATGACAAATTAGATAGATATACCCTCTGGTAATTTAACATAGCTATGGTGGACCATTTATAGATGACTTAGCTATCAAAAGGCTGATTTTATTTTTTTCCATAGCTATGTTAGTTTACCAAATGGTATATATATAATATACTACTATAGGTAAATTATAACGATTCACTAACCTGAAGACTTCGGCGATAAGGTCCCAGCTGATGCAACGGAGCGCTGAAGAACAGCACCACCCGTTGCTTTGCATCCTCACAGAGAACGGAGGCTGGTGCTGCTACTTGCAGTTCACATTTTTATCGGATGAACTATCGGAAAACCAATGGAAAACCTATGGAAAACCGCCATTTTATCAATGAATTCACGGGAAAATACATTGAATTCTATTGATATATACTGCAAAATGCCTTGATAGGTGTGACCAATGAATTCATTTCATGGAAACATGCCAGGAGAAACTACTATAGAAACAATGTGGCTTTGTCAACTTTGAACCGGGGCTACGGAGTAACCCCATGGTTCAACATGGTTTTCCCTGCATGGTATCAAACTTGCCATCATTTGTGCTACAATCGCCTCATTTCCGAGCAAACCCATGATCAGAACCGATGAAATATGACATTTTAGACCATTTTAGGGGATTAACATCCATAAATCACAGCAGTTTTGGTATGAACAATAGGGGATACAACGGTTTTGACCCATACCCATACTAGACTGCAGATAGCTTCCGATGTGCCCTTCATCGATCCACACCAGCGAAAAAAACCCGAGGAGCCGAACTCCCGTCTTTTCCCAGCGATAGCGTCCATGGAATAAGGTCTTGAAGACCTGGGTAAAACCAAAAGTCAAAGATACGATGGGTTTGTCAATAGGGTACCCTCTGGTAAACTAACAGTTTGCTATTGAAAAAGGCCATAGAAAGTTCATTGATTTATCCATAAAAAGTGGTGGTTTTCCATCGTTTTTTATATGTTTACCAGAGGGTACCCCCAAAACTTGATGGTGAACCATCTTTTTCCGCAAAGCTGTGATTGTGGAAAACATGATCCAATTCTACTTGTAGAATTGCATATCTGATCGTGTATTACATGTAAGTCAAAAATGATAATCTCAATGAGGAATGAGGATACTTCTTAATATCATCAGCCTCAACATCTCAATGATGTACGTATATCAATGTATTATATATATATATATATTATACACATATATTATATAATTGAGATCCAATTGCCACACTTGTCTACATACTCGTCATCACGGCGGAGACTATATGGTCATGATATCGGAGGTGTTCATGATGCTGATGATTGTGATATTCTATGATTTTATTTCTGTTACTTGATACCCGGTATTTGGGTACACCAATACTTAGATGTTTAATACTAAACATAGATTAGAATCTGTGGCCCCCTGCTGTTTCAATTTTGACCCCATATGCCTGTCTTTAAGGGTTTTCCCATTGACATCCACGGTCTACCGTGGGACTTCACGTCACTAAGATGGAGGCAGAATAGCTTCCGTTGATAAAGGAATTCCTCGGAGACCGCTGGAAGGGTGAAGCGCAGACAAAAATGACAAGTCTGCTGAGTAAATCATTGGATGGTATGATTACCCTCTGGTAAACTACCGTAACATAACTATGGAAAATCACCATTTTTAATGGGAAAACTCACTATAAATGGCCATTTTCAATAGCTATGTTAAATTACCAGAGGGTAGTCCAATGGATTGCTTTAGTATCTTTTTTCTGGAAAATCTACAGGAAAAGCCAGCAAAAAACCCTGGCTTTTCCCATGAAATATGCTGGTTTCCTACAACTTTTCCGACCAATCCATTGAGTCGTGGAATTTTGTACTGGTCTTGTGGAGCCGCAAGGTGCAATAAAAAAGGTCCTGTGGTCTCAGTGAGATTTGTGGAATCATCACTTATCACCTATTGAAACCAATACCCATAGGATCCATGTATGCTATATATGGTAACATTTACCATTAATATACCCCCAATGTTAGCATATATACCATACATGGATCCTATGGGATATGATTTATCATTGATCATTAGGTGGATTAATATCCCCACTTATCATAAATGGAAACTTATCAGCTATAGTGGATTGATCATCATTTATCGTCATGAAACCTGGGGATGTTTATTGCAATATGATCCGAGCTGCGGTTGCTTCTGGGATCGGCCTTCGATTCGGCCATCGTTGAACCTCGCCGTAGATGAACCGGCCGTGGTCCGGAGGGGTTCCAAACAGACATGTGATTAAACCCAATAATGAATGATACGCATATTTATATATGAATTATGATTTTAGTTGGTTATATAATGTTATATATGTTTATCATCAATCATTGACCGGAACTGATGCTCTTTGGTTGGCGTCTGACTGATGAGCTTCGAACTGCTGGGAACTTGGATGGGCACATGATGGCACATGCGCTTCAACTGCGCACCTGAAATCCATGGGAAATCCGTGGGAAATCGACCCAGTGTCCAGTCCTTTTCCGCTTCGTCTCTCGCCTCGGCGGGATGTTTTCATGGTTGGTTCATAGGCATCTGATGGGGTCCAGTATTCCTATCATGGGCTACCATCATCGCCAACAAGGTACAGTAGGTTAATAACCCCCTTTAATCGCCAATCAAACATGATCAAACGAGATATTTTGATTGGCCCATGGGGCCCATGTATCAACATACTGAAGTCCCTGAAGACTGAATTCCCCTTCATGCTGCGCAGTACAAAATAAACCAAATAACCTGAAGTCCGCAAATTTGGCTAATATGCTTCAATCATATGTTTGATAGTTAAAATGGGATGGGCACTCAAAAAGTCGCGAAATATGTATTATGATCCGCAATTTTGGTTGCCACCCACGATTGAGTGTGGGTGATTAGCCATCCAGCATTGCTGAACATGATCCAAACCATATCCACAGGGGCTTAAGCCTTAGATTCTGACCGACACCTATCTGATCCTGGGTAATCTTCAGCTGTGCCAAAACAGAACCATCCTCTTCCAAAGCCACTCCAAATGGATCTAAGTTAAATGGTATCATGTCACTTTGCGAGGCATCTCACCCAAATTTCAAAAAGTACCACTGACGCAAAGCATACCATTCACAGTTCCCAAAGTTCACTCATCCTGACTTCCCATCGACCTTTCTTTCCCATACCAAAGAAGGCCAAGCGACTTCTCTCCGGACTTTGACTTCCCCCCTGGCGTAGCTGCTGCTGCTGCTGCCGGGGCGCCCACAGGGGCGTGTGCCGCGTGCGTCGGGGACGCTGGTGCTGGGGCAGGGGGCGGGGTGGGCGCTGGCGGCACCGGTGCTGCAAAGGGTGGTGTGGCAGGGGCTGCTGCAGGAGGGGCTGGTGCAGGAGGGGCTGCTGCAGGAGGGGCTGCTGCAGGAGGTGCTGCTGCGGCAGGGGCTGGTGCGGCAGGAGCTGTGGCCAGGGTGAGCTTGGTGGCAGCCAGCGCCTGGATTTCGGGGTTCTCTGATTCAAAGTGTACCCTGTGGTCAGGAAAATCTTTAGTAATTCGCAATCTTCTTAGCTGCCTGGCTCCAGAAAAAAGGGAAGATGGATACTAGATAGCTCCTAACCTCTCCCCAAAAACCAGTGGATATATATTATAACAAATGCTTGGAGCCACTATACGCAGCAGATTCTTCTGACACAGGTGCCAGAACCATATCTGAAGCCTTTCACAAAAAACCTTGGTGATGACAAAGCAGGGAGTGGGTTTGGATACAGCAGATGGAACAGTCTGCCTTCGCTCAGCTCTGATCGAACTCAACATCAATGAAAGTGCTTTGAACTCAACCTCGTCCCTACAATGGTGCATGGAAAAAAAAACTAGGTCAAAATCTCCATTCATCCTCCTTGTTGCTGGTTGAAGATATAATATTCGTTGTTTTGCTGAAATTCACTTGTTGACTCTTCTCAAACCCTTGTTAGTGTCTTTGTTCAAGTCATAGGAATTGTGTTTCCTTGTTTACATTTACCTACAGTATTTTAGTTCTTCCATGCTAATATCCCAAGTGCTATTGATCAAACACAACTTGCTGGATTAACACCCAAATTCACCCCCCAGATCCACCACAGTTTATGTCATTTTTCCTCATAAAGTCACAGAGACAGCTGCAACAAATGGCTCTGAATCAAAACCCTGGTACCCTGCTATCAAATTGTCTGATGGATGTTCATCCCTCAAGCAACTATTATAGGAACCCATCCCCATATGTATAAACATAAACAATATACGCATGTTTACCTTCAACATAACTGTGAAAAAAAGGACATGTCTTAAAAACAAGTGGTATACTCAACAAATATGGGATAATTATACCTGATATACCTACACATATATATATATATGGATAAACATATGGTTTGTTTGTCACCAAATCATACAACATCATACAAATCATACCAACTTGGAAGTGCAGTTCCAGGCAACTAAGCGGAGTTCATTTCACCATAGTAGAAAAAGCGGCACCATATTCCGACAAACCATGGTTGCAACTAACCTCAACTGCACACCCAAGTAGGTGAGAACAATTCCGTAATATCCCCAGTATCCCATTAACGTCCAGTAAACATTCTGGATTCGTCTGAAACTGGGATAATTCATGATTTCTTCTATCTCAGCATTGCAGAAAATCATCACAAACATTACCAACAAAAACATCAATATATCAATCAATATATCAATTTTGTGGGGACCTATGGGGATCCTTATAGGGTACCTATTTTCAACCCCCATTTTCAACCCCACGGCCACGGCAGCGAAACTCGCCGCGGCACCGCTTTCTGGGCGGCTTCGGCGGCCATGCGAATGGCCCGCGCCACCGGCGTCTCAGAGACCTTGGAGATCTCGGGCTCCTGGGGGGACGAGAGCCGTTGCTGGAGATTTCTTTCATGGATAACATCATTAACATAGTTGAAACATCAACATCATTAAACATAATTAAACATGGTTTTCGGAGATCTTTTTTTAAAACATGCTTGAACATTAAACATATAATTAAACATATAATTAAACATCAACATTACAATCATAGACTAGATATATTGGTGATATCTATACATATTAAATGTGTAGATGATTATTTTCAATGTTGACATTGATATCTATTGATATCTGAGAACATTAACATTGAACAAAGAACTATGTGGGTGAAGTTTATCGGACATCTGATTTGAGGATTGTTTAGTGGAAACATGTGGAAACTCTCAAGCCTCATGTCCGAATAAACTTCACATTTTTGATGAGGATGCCTAGTAGGGCCTAGTTCCATCATTCCATGGTATCAAACAAACACTGACAGGAATCACTGCAGGTTCTATTGATGCATCGCTGTCGGTTATAATCCCAGGATCCATTTTCTCACTGAAATCTCCAAAGTCCTTCAGGCAACATCTCTGTTTGAACTGCCGCATCTCCCTTTGCATTTCAATACTTCATGGCCAATCTTCGTCACCCTGCACAAATCCAAACAACATGTTGACAAAAGTGTATGACAAAATGATAATTTCATTGTTATCAGATTTTCCAAATTTACCAAAACACACAATTTTTTCAAACAAATCAGGTTTTCGTAGCAACAGCTGGATCACCTCCACTGCAGGCACAGGCACAGGCGCAGGCGCAGGCGCAGGCGCAGCCGATTGCGCGCCGCCGGAAGATGCCTCCTGGCGCTGTGGTTTGAATCTGAAATTCACTGCATCCCCCCAACAACATGTTGAAAAACGTGTATGACATAATGATAATTTCATTGTTATCATGATTTTCCAACCTTTACCGAAACACATATTTTTCAAACAAATCAGTTTTTCGTAGCAACAGCTGGATCACCTCCACTGCGGGCACAGGCACAGGCGCAGGCGCAAGCGCAGCCGATTGCGCGCCGCCGGAAGATGCCTCCTGGCGCTGTGGTTTGAATCTGAAATTCACTGCATCCCCCCAACAACATGTTGAAAAAAGTGTATGACATAATGATAATTTCATTGTTATCAGATTTTCCAACCTTTACCACACATATTTTTTCAAACAAATCAGGTTTTCGTAGCAACAGCTGGATCACCTCCACTGCAGGCACAGGCACAGGCGCAGGCGCAGGCGCAGGCGCAGGCGCAGCCGATTGGGCGCCGCCGGAAGATGCCTCCTGGCGCTGTTTGAATCTGAAATTCACTGCATCCCGATGACATTTACCACTTAAACATCCCCATTGATTTCTGGGGGGTGTTTGATACATGGATGGGGGGATTGCGAAAGATTTGGGAAACCATTTTCCCGGAAAAGTGTCTCAATAAACTGTTTCTTTACCGATACCTGGGGGTTCAACGAACAACATAGAAAGAGTTGCAACAGTCACAACGCAATGAAATGCCAGCATGAAAGGAAGTCTGCTGTTTTGTACAGCATTGGTTTTACATAGATTGATACCGAACGTGAATTCAGTTCAGTTGCCCCCAAACAAAAGTCCATGTCCACTCATGTCCACGTCCTGCCCATTGTTCTTGGATGGCCCAGTGGAATCTTTGCACCTGGAGGGAAAATGACATAAAATGACAAGAATTGAGAAGCAGGAAGAAAACCCTGGGGACAAACAGGATAATGATCAGTGTTATATGATGTTATATGTTTTCGATTGTTTGTGTTTCTCTAATAAACGCTTATGATATCTTAGGATCAAGCTGGGTCATCAAGTCTGGATCTTCTTTTTCGGATGAACCACCTGGTCTACCGGTGTCAGAGTAGGCTGCATTGGTAGTTCAATGGATTGTCCAACATCCAAATGTGTGGATCCAGGGACCCTGGGTGTCCATATCTACAGCTAATCCACATCTATGCATGTGTATATATGCATATGTAACACATGTATATGCAGGCCCTATAGCCTGTAGGTATCAGGTATCTGTACATACCATTACATGATACATTTCAACAAACAAATGAACACAACGACACCATGTATCGTTGACAAGAATAGTTGCTATGACTGTAGAACACATATACGATCATTCAGTCGAAATATACCCGCAAAAATGAATGAAGATCCAACATAACTGGAAATTAATGTATCAGTTGAATCCTGATTAGTAGCTGGGTTCGCTTTTGTGGCCAGAATTTTCCAAATTATTCAGCACCCTGATTAGTGCTCTGGGTTCGGTATTCTAGCGATATTTTTCCGCAGACCAATGTTTCCTCAAACAACATGTTTGTGTGAAACACATACTTAGCATTAGTCTTTCTGAACACATATTGCTTGTGTGCCGTTCCTAAAAGATCCAATATCTTATTAAACCCTTATTGAAGAACCGTTTGTGAAAGGGTCCAATTTTTTGTTCCCAGGGCTTTCCCAAAAGGATCAGATCTCTTTAGTAGGTTTGTTGCCTAGATTTGGAAGTACAGCACACTTTTCCTGAGGTGATTCTGGAGCCAAGAAGAAAAACACCCTTTTACAAAAGCAACCTTCTCTTTCTCTTTATCTTGTTCTTTTTGTCTCTTCCTTTTCCTTTTCTGCTTCCTCTTCCTCTTCCGTGTCCTCTTCATCTTCCTCTTTCCTCTTTCTCTCTCTCTCTCTCTTTTTTCTTTCTCTTTCTCTTCTCTCTTTCTCTTTATCTTCCTCTTCCTCTTTCTCTCTCTTTCTCTCTCTCTCTCTCTTTCTCTTTCTCTTTATCTCATTACAGACCTTTAATCAAAAGCTTGAAATGCAAAAGGTAACGCAATCAACATGCTGAACCCCACTCACTACAAGTATTACACATGCTACAAGTTCATGGACAAACAAAACGTGTTACTTAGATTTCATTTGTCACCAATTAAAATCCTTATTCAAATGTAGGATTGCGTCCTAGCCGGGGGACAGCTTTCAAAAAAATCTACTTGAACAAGACTATAGCATTTGTTTGGGGGAGAGGGGAGGGCCCACACATAAATCAGGACGGAACATTAGCACATGTTGAGATCATTACCCTATTGAAATGATGATATTCCATATTATATATATAATATATACAAAGCCATCATTGCCGTAGTCTTTCCATCTTCGGCCAACGAAAAACCAAGAGCTTCCCGAAAAAATACTGAGCCGTTGGAACTGCTTCAGCAAACCATCTCGAAAGGCTGTGACCTGCGGGGCCCTGCGGGAGTCATGAAACCACCCAGCTGAAATCTCTCGAAATGATCTGAAGATACCAGGTACATTACTGACATATGAGCTGCGGACCATATTTGTTACATAACGCAATTGACGGGGTGTTCCTACCTCGTTCTCCAGTCCCGTAACGTTTTTGCCTACCTCGTTCTCGGGGTGTTCCTACCAATGTTTTTGACAAACCGGGGTACGTCCGAATACTACTTTCCATATACGCAAATAAGAGCCGTCGCTCATATATGGTGTACCTGGTGTACCTATCCTATATGGAGTATACCCAACTACACTGGCAAGTGATTTGGGAATCCTTCCATAAATCGTTTCTGAGTGGCAAGGGGTATGCTCGGGACTTACCATTTCAGGGTCAGTATACAAATAACACGCATTAGGATCTATCATTGGATTTACGATGTCAACTCACCTGTACAAACAAATGGTCAACAGCGATTCAGGTCACGCACCTTAGTATTTCTGACAATGATGTCCAAATTTGCAGTCCATATGCTTTTATTTACTTTCAACATATTAAATCAGGGTAAGCAACCATTTGCAACAATTGGATCATGCAAAACAAACCACTTCTCAGGACTGCAAGCGCGATGCCATTTAACTAGCCCATCTGCAGGTGGGGATCTAGATCTGACTAGTGGGAAGGGTGAATCGCATACTCCATGAAAACTTAAGGCAATTTCACCAAATATGATGGTATAGTATGGTATAGTGGGGATATAATTCAATGGAAAATTAATATGGAATCGACTATACCCTCCAGCAATTCAAGATAGCTCTGGAAAATGCCTCATTTATTCTTGATGTACCTGTACAAATAATGGTAATTGTCCACAGCTACTATTTTGAATTGCCAAAGGGTATCAATGGCATCCAATGGTTGCTTAACCATACCCCGATTTTACGCGCCACAGCCTTTCCTGATGATCTTCAGTAGGTGACATCCCGATGGGACCTCCTTCTTGTTGTGGCCAAGTTCAAACTGCTCGTAGCAAAGTTCAGCCTCGGTACAGCTTGAAACCTTCGCTATCCTTCGCTAAACCCTTGTGAATATGTGAAGGTTGAACCTGAAAACCATGTTTTTTAAGAGGTTTTTAACGTTGCTTTATTGGAACCAGGGAAAAAACACAGAAACTGGAATTTCAACCCCTCCCAACATGGATCGAAATGGCCTCTTGGCCGCGGCCTGAGTTTCCCAACAATTCGTTCAGCCACGGCCAGCGAACCGGCTCTTTTGACAGGAATCTGAGACAAATTGAGGGAATTCAACAGGGACGAAGTTGGATGAGATGGAAACAATTTATCAATGGACAAATACGGACAAATCATCCAAAATAAAAACAGGATGATGTGATTTAATATGATACACTAAATTGTAATCACATATAATATGAAATTCTATATTCTACTATATAAAATAAAACATATCTATTTATCTGTCGATCCTATCCTATCACCAAACCCGGGAAAGAATAGCAGGGCCAGCTTGCGTCATCACTCCATGTTCGGTGACCCTGCAGAGACATCAGGAGAAACCCGAAAGGAATTGGCCGATCGATATCAAGCACTCTCTCAGATGAATTATAGGTGTATTACCCAAGGAATTATAGGTGTTCACCAGGATCAGTAATCCAATGACATGAAAATAGGTGTATTACCCTTACGCGAATATCATGTCACTGGAAACTCTCTTGAAACACCAAGTTTTTCATCTGTGAGTGTCCCTAGGACATAGAATCATACTGCAACTGAAGGCATTTCTTGAATGGGAAAACAGGGTTGCTCCGAACACCCCTAGATACAAGGGGGGAGAATTTCAGAATGGCTCGATCACGAGCCAAAACTACCAATTTTCCTCCCTTTGTAGCTACAATGACCTATAATGGACTGGAGCAGCCCCAAATTATGGTGAAATTCCCGTTTCAATCCATGAATCCCCATGTTTCACCAGCGGAATTCCCATGGAAATCGCCTGTAGAGTGACCTTCTCCAGGCCCGAGTACCTGGTCGTAGAGCTGATCTAGATGACCTATGTAAACATATGTGCTATAATGCCGCATGTGATTTGAATCATAACGTTCAAATATAAAAACATATCAATATATATATATATATACATATCTACATACATACATAAATATACATATCTACATACATACATATATATATATATATATACATATGTATATTGTGTTTAGATGGATGGATAGATAGATAGATAGATAGATAGATAGATAGATAGATAGATAGGTAGATAGGTAGATAGGTAGATAGGTAGATAGGCAGATAGGCAGATAGGCAGATAGGTAGATAGGTAGATAGGTAGATAGGTAGATAGGTAGATAGGTAGATAGGTAGATAGGTAGATAGATAGATAGATAGATAGATAGATAGATAGATAGATATATAGATAAGATAAGATAAGAGAAGAGAGGATAAGATAAGATAAGATAAGATTTGTTTAGATTAGATTAATAGACTAGATTAATAGATTAGATTAATAGATTAGAGAGATAGATAGATAGATAGAAAGATAGATAGATAGATCGATAGATAGATCGATCGATCGATAGATAGGTAGATATATAGATAGATAGATCGATAGATAGATAGATATTGATAGATTGATAGATAGATAGATAGATAGATGATAGATAGATAGATAGATAGATAGACAGATAGATAGATAGAAAGAAAGATAGATAGATAGATAGGTAGATAGATAGATAGGTTGATAGGTAGATAGGTAGATAAATTGATAAATAACTTGATAGATAAATTGATAGATGGATAGATGGATAGATGGATAGGTGGATAAACGGATAGATGGATAGATGGATAGACGGATAGATGGATAGATGGATAGATGGATAGATGGATAGATGGATAGATAGATAGATGGATAGATGGATAGATAGATAGATAGGTAGATAGGTAGATAGGTAGATAGGTAGATAGGTAGATAGGTAGATAGGTAGATAGATAGATAGGTAGATAGATAGATAGATAAATAGATAAATCGATAGGTTGATTGACGGGTAGACAGAAATATACACAGATATTTTGTTTTTGCCTCATGCATATGTTGAGCATCTACAGTGTGGAATGGGCATAGATACTCCAAATAAAATCATGCATAGCAAACACGCATTTCCAAACAAACGTTCACTTTGGTTTTGGGGTTATTCAAGTTAATCATTTTTCCCCACGTTGTTGAGACTCCGATTTGCATTGACACATGCTGCCACTATCTTCATGATGATTCGCCATTGCGGGATACAAATCATTCCAGGCAAATCTCAATGTTCGCATTCTAAATCAAAAGCAAACCAAATGGTTGTATTTCCGAATTCCACAGATTTTGATTTATCTATTTCAAGCATCAACCATCCCGTCCCACCCCCATGTTGTCTGGTGTATGAAAAAAAACTACTTCCAATGATGCCTTGATTCCAAAAAGTCATGTGGTCAACCACTCCGGGCAAAAGAAATACATCACTTTCCCTGTTGGAAGGGCAATTTTGTTTGCCACGAAGATCAACAACCCAGCACCACTCCAACTTTCCCAACGGCCATCCGGGTTGGTCACCGGATGGCGAAGGAGTCTTTGCCCCCAAGGTATTTTGGCTGCCCTTTGGCCTGTCGGGGCAGAGCTGAGAAGATTGCCATGGCTGGGCGAGGTCTACCTGTGAATGTTGTCAGTTCCATTCATGTGGGTAAAACAACGATCAACCACCCATTTGGGAATGGTTTATACCACCTATTTATGGGTGATTTGGGGGATGGTTTATTAATGTTTTACCCACGTTAGATCATTAGGTGATGGAAATGTTACACTGCCAATCTCGGATACACTGCATACCTGAAACATTCCAATTGATAAGCAAAAGGATGCAGAGATCTACAGTATATAAATATTATATATATATATAAATATATTTATATACATATTTAAAATATGTATATAAAAAAATCTATATATATATATATATATATTTATTTATTAAAACATGTAAATGCAAAAAAATGTGTATATATATATATTGAAAATAATATGTATATAAAAAAAATAAATAAAATAATATGTATATATATATATATTATATGTATTACAATATGTATATACATTAAAAACATACATACAAATAAATAAAAATGTATACATATATGTGTATATATATATGTATATAAATAACATATCGCTAGATAAAATATATCGATATATATATATATAAACGTAATAAAATATAGTAATTATTTATATTTCATATCTACATATAATATCATAATATCTATATATAATATCGATATATGTGAAACCAGCATCCTAGCACCAACCGCAAGAAAACATGAATGAAAGATGCAACCTGTCGCAGCTCAACGGGCTTTTTGCAGAAGGCAAAACGCATATACCATGGGCCCAAAATTGGGGTCACAAATTTGGAAGCTGGGCTACCAATTTTTGTATTGTGGCTACTCAATACGGGCAGCAAGTGCGCTACTGCTGCCGCAAGCTGACAGCAGCACATATCCGTGATACTCCGAGGGTACATGCCGGAGAAGCTTACTTTACCACTAATTCCAGGATCCGGTTTTGGAGCCTTGGGCCCACCTAGGCTTTGAGAAAAAGCGCCCCCAAAGCCTTAATAAAAAACCACCAAGACATGAGGTATCAATCACAATGACTTGGATGTGAAACTACTACTGTAAGCATATTCGGAAAAACTACTAAAGCACGAGTTGCGAATCACAATGGCTTGGACGCAAAACTTCTAAGGAGTTCATGAAAAACTACTATGGCGTGAGTTGCAAATCACACTGGCTCGGACGGAAAACTACTAATGTCTCTCATAACTGAAGAAAAGAAGAAGATACTATGTCTTTTATTCTTTGGAACATTTTCTTAGTAGTTTTGCGGCCTAGCAATTACGAATTGCGAAATCATCCTTAGTAGCTTTTGAGCGCATTCTTGGTAGTTTTGCGGCCAAGCCAATACCAATTGCTAATTTAACGGTGCTTCCGCGTGATGTATGTGGGTATGCGCACGCAGAAAAGGCTTTGTTGTTATAAAAAGTCTGTCCCCATTTATAACTAGACGACGGTTGGCCCGAGAGCGAAAAAGATGTGTTTCAAGCAGCTCTGAGTATGGTAGTCGTAAAAGATAGTCGGTGAATAGTTGGTGAATTTTATTGGTGAATTTTAAATGAGCTATGGAAAGACATGATGTAAAAAAGTAAAATTGATCAAGAAGAGAATATTGGGTAAAGGGCATCAGATGACATGTGTCGTGGAACCACAGAGAGAAAGAGGGGGAAGAGATAGAGAGAGAGAGAGAGGTCAGACGCATTTCCACACAAAGACCTTTGAGATACAAAAGAAGCTCGGCACCATGATGCCGTGGATGACCTTAGTTGCAAACAAAGGTGGGCAAACATAGTCGCAATGGAAATGCTACAAAATGCAAAAGTACACAAACAAAGGCTCCGTAAGAAACTAGAACTCCGTGCAAGAATGCTGTGAATGATAGCAAGTTCGATATCATGATGGCAAGGATAACACCTGTTTCACTGCATTTCTCCGATGTCCCTACAGGATGGAAAAAAAAAACTTTACAGACAAACAACAGTTGGCTACTGGTTTTGCATGTTCGTCACGAACAGTCTCTCCAGACGAACATACTGGTTTTGCATGTTCGTCACGAACAGTCTCTCCAGACGAACAGTGCTACAGATTAATTTGCGCCAGTTGCACTCAGTGCCACCCGGTATGCAAGCCTTCCAGCTCCCACAAGCTGCTTCCAAGCAAAGGTCGGTACCATGATGCTGCAGATGTAGCATCTGGTCCATGCGTTTACATCTGAGGCAAAAAAATGTATAACACACAATGCATCTTGTCTCTACGTTCACATCTGAGCCAAGGAAAGAGGTAAAGAGGTAAACTATGCTTGTCGCTGCAGAGTTGCACAATCCACTGCAAAGGATTTGTTCGCTGCGTTCCAAACTGAGAATGCCACTCATGAGTTTGACACACGCACACACGCTTTCACACACAAACGCTTTTACACACAGACGCTTTTACACACAGACGCTTTTACACACAGACGCTTTTACACGCAGATGCTTTTTACACGCACACACACTTTCACACACAAACGCTTTTACACACAGACGCTTTTACACACAGACGCTTTTACACACAGGCACTTTTACACAAACGAAAGCGTCCATGGCAATTTTACCTCAGTTTTTAACGTCCAACGTCCATTTCGTGCATAAGGGCTGCGAATAACAAAGTAAAGTCGCAATTTTTCCTCAGTTTTTGACGTCCAACGTCCATTTCGTGCGTAAGGGTTGCGATTGACAAAGTAAAGTCGCAATTTTTCCTCAGTTTTTGACGTCCAACGTCCATTTCGTGCGTAAGGGTTGCGAGTGACAACTCAAAGTCGCAATTTTTCCTCAGTTTTTGACGTCCAACGTCCATTTCGTGCGAAAGGGTTGCGCGCGACGCTTCAAAGTCGCAATTTTTCCTCAGTTTTTGACGTCCAACGTCCATTTCGTGCGTAAGGGTTGCGCGGGACACCTCAAAGTCGCAATTTTCCTCAGTTTTTGACGTCCAACGTCCATTTCGTGCGAAAGGGTTGCGTTTCGTGGCGCTCCGGCGGCACCGCCCCCGCCTTAAGAGAGAATAGAAGAAGAGCGAGAAGAGATCTGCAGATGTGAAGGTGTGAAGATCTAGCTCTGCAGGTGTGAGGGTGTGAAGATCTAGATCTGCAGGTGTGCGGGTGTGATGATGTAGATCTGCAGATGTGAGGGTGTGAAGATGTAGATCTGCAGATGTGAGGATGTGATGATGTAGATCTGCAGATGTGAGGGTGTGAAGATCTAGATCTGCAGGTGTGAGGGTGTGAAGATCTAGATCTGCAGGTGTGAGGGTGTGAAGATCTAGATCTGCAGATGTGAAGGTGTGAAGATCTAGATCTGCAGCTGTGAGGGTGTGAAGATCTAGATCTGCAGGTGTGAGGGTGAAGATCTAGATCTGCAGGTGTGAAGGTATGAAGATCTAGATGTCCAGATGTGAGGGTGTGAAGATCTAGATCTGCAGGTGTGAAGGTGTGAAGATCTAGATCTGCAGGTGTGAAGGTGTGAAGATCTAGATCTGCAGGTGTGAAGTTGTGAAGATCTAGATCTGCAGGTGTGAAGGTGTGAAGATGTAGATCAGCAGATGTGAAGGTGTGAAGATGTAGTATAACGGCTGCTTTTTTACGAAGAACCCTTCGCAGGCGCTCTCGGGAAAAAGTCTGAAAAATCAATGAAATTGATGAGTGAAAATTTGGAAAAATTGAAAAGTACAGAGAACGAAAACAAAAAAACATCATAAGGTTAATTACGTGATGTTGATCACTGCTGTAAGGATGTGTAGATTTGGATAGGCACTGTGAGAGTGCTGTGAGAGCGCGTCTCTTCCAATAGATTTGGCAAATTGCGTCATCGGTTCAAGGCAAACCCATCACTGTGAGAGTGTGTGGGCTCCACTTGGCGACATTAGCCGGATGTCTAAACAATGGTTTCAGGTTGTATCTGACTCAAAAATACCATCAATGGGATTCGATCTGTAGCGGATCCAGCAAACCTTGCACCCTTTTTACATCCCATTGGTTATAGTGAAGCGTTTGTTTCTGACCTTGGTTTGAAAATCAGATGCCTAAAAAATAAAACAGGATGTTAAAAGTCTCAAGATGATTCCATATTTATTGATATCGTCATGTAGTCTCAATCTTGGCAGATCAGGTTCGCTCAGGCATGTCGGGAGCCAGTTCTACCACTTCTAGGGCAGGTCAGTTTGACACTGTGAGAGTGTCGAACATTGAAAGGCAAGTGCTATGAGAGCACCATGTTTATTAGCACTGTGAGAGTGCAGAACAGCACTGTGAGAGTGCAGCACTGTGAGAATGCAAAACAGCACTGAGAGAGTGCAGGCTAGGTACTGTGAGAGTACCACACAGCTAGGCGTCATTGACTAGCACTGTGAAGTGATGTTGTGCCATCCTCAGATCATACAATTGGAGTTCCAGGTGCCGTGGTGCCCTTAAAAACATTTTGTTTAACTGATCTGGGCCAAAAAATGATGGTCAGGGCAGTCTATGTTTTTGTCATTGAGAATATCTGGGAGGTGGTCAAGACAAGGCAACTATACAGTCAGTGCCAGAATTATAGAACGGAGCGAAGAGGACAAAAGTACGGTAAAATACCGTACCTTTGTCCTCTTCCGGGTTCGAACCTGGAGCGGAGTCGGAAAATTTAATTATAGAACGGGGAAGAGGACAAAGGTACGGTAAAATACCGTACCTTTGTCCTCCTGGCTCCGTTCTATAATTCCTGGCACTGACATAAAATGAGGATAAAATGAGGAAATGATGAGGAAATGATAATAAAACGCGGATAAAATGAGGATTTAATGGGGATTTGATGAGGAAATGAGGATAAAATGCATATTTAATGAGGATTTAATGAGGATAGAACGACGAAAAAGGTTAGGAGTAAATTCAGATACATTTTTTTCATACCTTCCGAGGAAAACAGAATTATAGAACAACAGGGTACGGTAAATAACCGTACCTTCGTACTCCTCAACTTCCGTTC